CTGCTATAAACTCCCCTTGTTCTTCAAAAATATTATATTCTTGCCTCTTAGTGCTTTTGGGGGGGAGATGGGGGAGGACACATCCTGCAGTGTTCAGGGCTTACTCCTGTCTCTGCATTCAGGGGTCACTCTGGGTTGGACTCAGGGAACCATATGTAGTGCCAAGGATTGAACGTGGGTTGATCACATGAAAGACAAGTGCCGGGGCTGGAATGATAGCACAGTGAGTAGGGCATTTGCCTTGCATGCGATAGACCTGGGTTCGATTCCCAGCATCCCATATGGTCCCCTGAGCACTGCCGGGAATAATTCCTGAGTGAAGAGCCAGGAGTAACAATACCTTGCATCGCCGGGTGTGACCCAAAAAGCAAAAAAAAAAACAAAAAAGACAAGAGTCTTATGCACTGTACTATTTCATTGTTGAGATTTTATTGAGTTGATAAATTTGTTTTAGAAAATTAACATCTATGTGGCATCAGATCTTTTTATCCATGCATAATTTTTATTTCCAGTTTATTATTATTTATTATTTTATTACTTATTTTATTATTCATTTTGCTTGGGGAGATCAGGGTACCCTGTGTAGTTCAATGGATTGAGCTGAGGTTGGCCATATGTAAGGCAAGTGTCCTATCACTGTACCATCATTCTGATCCCTACATTTATTGTCTTTTGACTTAAAATATTAACTTAAAAATATTGTTATATTTGTTTTCTCTGATCTTTTGTAGTCAGTTTTACTTTTGATAGCTTTTAGGAGTGTGTGTGTGTGTGTGTGTGTGTGTGTGTGTGTGTCTCCAAGTGTGTGTGTGTGCATGTCTGTGAAATAGAGTAGTTTTATTGAGGGAGGGTATTAATTCTATGGACAGTGTGGAAAAAACCATTGCTAAAATGAGCAAAACAAGTAGATTGTAGAAATTTGCCTTATTTAGAACCTGAGTGATTTTTGACTCCTTAGTGTCCTTGGTTCATATCGAGGTTCATATTTCACAGTGTTCTTCAAGGACACTTCCTCTCCATGTGATAGATTAAAATGGTTGGAGAGGGGCTCCTCTTTTACTGCATTCTTCATCCTCTGGAAGATAAACTCTAAATATTATTGGTCCAGCTCTAGTATCTTTCTCTTCCTGTTCTTTTCTTAGGTCACAGTTAGTGGTGCTCAGATGCTACTTTCAGTATTGCTTAGAGTTGCTCCCAGTGTAGTGCATGTCATGCAGACCTGAAACAGGGGTCCTGTACCTCATAGCATGCCCTGCAGCCCTTTGAACTACTTCCCTGGCCTTAGAGTATCTTTTTAAGAGTAACAAAACTATGGCTGGAGAGATATCTCAATGGGTGGAGTGCATGCTTTGCCTGCAGGAAGCAGGGATTGAATCCCAGCCCCCCCATAGTCCTCGGAGCAAGCCAGGAGTGACCCTGAACACAGGCTGGGAGTAGCCTCAGCATAGCAGATGTGACTGTAAAAGAAGAGGGTCAGGAATGTGGCTCAGACAGAGGCCCTCTCTCAGTTCTGGATGGAGAGGGAGGAGAGACAGAGTGAAAATTGTACTCGTGACAGTAGACACTTGACTGTTTTAAGTTTTGGGGCCATACCTGGTCATGCTTGCTGACTTACCCTGACGCCTCAATTTTTTTTTTTTTATGGGAAGTTACTCTTGGTGATGCATGGGGACCACAGGGTGTCAGGGATCAAATCTGGGCCTCCCACATGAAAACCATGCTCTCCATTCTATTGAGCTAGCTCTCTGGCCCCCAGACATTGTAATTTGTAGCCCCTTGGACATGGAGAGGATCTTTTACTGCTGGGTTCCTTAGTGTTGTTGTTCATCAGGTGTTGTCTGTTGCCTGGGTGTTGTATTGCTGCCAGTGAGCTCAGTAGGAGGGAGGTCGGGTATGAAGCTCACTCTGAGCAGTGCTTGGCCTAGTGTAGAAGTCTAATGATAGCTCAGCGCTCCCACTTGAGCATGGGGTGGCCTGGCCACAAGGCTACCATGATGGTACTCGGGGCTGCTGGAGCTACACATAGTAGTGCTGAAGGAATCGGGCGATTGATCTCAGGGCCTGGCATGTACCAGGCTTACACTCACAACTCTGAGCTATCTCCCCACTCCATCCAGGCTTGTGAGAGCCAGAAAATGATACTGTATGGAAAAACACAGACATTAGATAACTCTTGAGTGTGTGAGTGGCTCAGGGATCAAATTTAAGTAGAAAGTATTTGACTTTTTAATGTATGAACTAGAATGTAGATAAATAGTAACTTTCTTTGGGTCTAAATATGTTCAGAAGAACTCTTTGAAAAGATAATAGCATAATAGTTCTAAATGATTAAAATATTTTATATTTTAATAGTTTATTTGTACTTTCCCCCTTAAGTAGAATAGAAGTAAGATAGCATTTATGTTTAGGTTATCTTCTCCTTTTTTTCCTTTAATTTTTGTTTTTGTTTTGGGGCCATACCTCCCGGCGCTCAGTGATCACTCCTAGCGGGGATTGGGGGATCACATGGGGTGCTGGGGATCAAACCTAGGTTGGCTGCTTGCAAGTAAGTGAATGCCCACACACTGTACTATCACTCTGGCCTTGTTTAGGCTCTTTAAAAAGAAGTTTGTCAAGCAAATAGAAGGATAAACCATTGGGAAAAAAGATAGGTAAAAGACATTGATAAGGTGTTGTTAATATATATATATATGTGTGTACACACACACACATATATAGCACTGTAGCACTGTCCTCCCATTGTTCATCGATTTGCTCAAGCGGGCCCAGTAATGTCTCCATTGTGACACTTGTTACTGTGTTTGGCATATCGAATACGTCACGGGGAGCTTGCCAGGCTTTGCTGTGCGGGCGAGATACTGTCGGTAGCTTGCCGGGCTGTCTGAGAGGGGTGGAGGAATTGAACCCGGGTCGGCCTGGTCAGCAGCGTGTAAGGCAGACGTCTTACCTGCTCTGCTATCGCTCCAGCCCTAAAAGCCCTAAAGTTCAATAATCAGAAAATCAGTAATTTTTAAAAAAAGGACAAAGGTAATATACAGACAGCATCTCACCAAAGAAGATATACAGGTGGGCTAAGTCTTCAAACATAGGGCATGCTGCGACTTCAAACTCTGCTTTGCACGTTTCTGATAATGAGTTCAAATCTCCGATGTTGCTTCATGTACGGAATTCAGTGCTGGCAGTTCTGCTGTTCCTGGTACTGCAACTGATTTCCAACTGCACTGTAGTCAGGTGTGTGAGTCACTGTCACTGTCACTGTCCTTTTGTTGTTCATCAGTTTGCTCGAGTAGGCCCAGTAACATCTCCATTTTTTGAGACTTGTTGTTACTGTGTTTGGCATATTGAACATGTCACGGGTAGCTTGCCAGGCTTTGCCGTGCGGGTGAGATACTCTCGGTAGCTTGCTGGGCTCTCCGAGAGGGGCGGTAGAATTGAACCTAGGTTGGTTGGTTCGGCCGAGTGCAAGGCAAACACCCTATCACCAATAAAAAAAAGGGGAGCACTACAACTAAAACAAAATGATAGGTAAATACTATGTCCAGGAAGTTGACCTCTGTTGAGCACAGGTGTAAACACTGGAACGGAAGGAAGTGTGAGCCTCAGTGGCACTGTGGTCGAGTATGCAAGCACTAGACCATTGGGCCATACCATCCAGCGCTCAGGGCTTACTTCTGTCTCTGCGCTCAGTGATCACTCCTGGCGGGGATTGGGGGATCACATGGGGTGCTGGGGATTAAACCTAGGTTGGCTGCACTAGCTTAATGTATGACCCCAGAGAGCTTCACGGCTCAAAAACCGTGCAAGGATCACATTAGGTTTGTGTGCAACCTTCAGACATTGTAAAGGAAGCATGGTAGCAACAATGAAGGAAGGGGTAGGAATAAAAATAAAGATATACAGATATTTTGGCATATTGAAAGATGCTTCCCACTGCCGAAAGGACATACTGCTATATGAATGACAAAGCCTAAACTCACAGCAAATGCTGGTGAGGATGGAGAATGGGACTGTCATTAATTGAAAGTGGGAATACAGATGTCAGTATTGGCAATATTGAGAGAATGTCAGTATTACAGACTTTAAGAAATCAGATGATGGGGCCGGAGTGATAGCACCACGGGTAGGACGTTTGCCTTGCACGCGACTGACCTGGGTTCAATCTCCGGTATCCCATATGGTCGCCTGAGCACTGCCAGGAGTAATTCCTGAGTGCAAAGCCAGGAGTAACCCCTGAGCATTGCTGGGTGTGACCCAAAAAGGGTCCTAGTATTTAGGACCTAAATGATTTAGTCCTAGTATTTATGTGTAAATTTGATAATTACCCAAAGGAGTCAAAAACTTACGTTCACTCAGATACCTAAACTATTATATTCATAGTTGATAAAAACTCGAAAATCACCAAAGTGGCGTTCAGTAGCTGAATAGATAAAATTAAAATGAATTCCTATTCAGTGCCAAAAAGAAATGAGCTACTGAGTCATGAAAATAAATAGGCAAACTCAGAATGTATGTTACTAAGTCAGAGAATCTGAAAAGGCTACCTGCTGTCTCAACAATATGACTTTCTGAAAGAAACCAAACTCTGGAGGCACTAGAAAGATCAGTGTTGGCAAAGGGTTAGGAAGAAGGGAGGAATGAATAGGAGCATAGAGGAGAGAGGAATAGAAGGTTTTTAGTATAGACTATTCTGTATGATATTCTAGTGGTGGTACATTTGCAAAATCTGTAGAATGTGCACCAAGGGTGAATCTTAACTACAGGCTTTGAGAGATAACGATGTTTTAGTGTAGGTTCATCGGCTATACTATATTCCACTCTGGTATGACTTATTGATGGGGGAAGGTTGTGTAGAGGTGGGGAGTAGTGGGCATTCTCTGCACTTTCAGTTAACTTTTCTGTATACCTAAAACTACTACTTTAAGAAAAACTTGCCAAAGAAAAGTTTGAAAAAAATGAGCATGCATCAAATATGTGACACTTTGAATACTTTTCATGTTTAGGCTCAGAATAAAGAGACCAATGTTTTAGCTGCAGCAAAGGTGATTGATACAAAATCTGAAGAAGAACTTGAAGATTACATGGTTGAGATCGACATATTAGCATCTTGTGATCATCCCAATATAGTCAAACTTCTAGATGCCTTCTATTACGAGAACAATCTTTGGGTAAGTGTTTTCAATGGATCTACAGGAGTAGCTACAATGAGTTAATTTTTCAAAAGAGGTTTATAAGTTACAAAAGTCTATGTTATGTGTCGATTCTCCTGTTTGGGTATTTATTGTTATTGTTACTGAAGAAGAGTTGATCTGCTGGTGATAGAGTCATTAATGACTTAATTATCCTTAGCTTCTACAAATACTCAGATATATTTTTCAAATTGTACCATATTCATGATTGGTTGACATTAGACCCAAATGAAGAAACTTGATTAAAAATAGTAGATTTTTCTAAATTATGAAATGAAGGATCTTATCTTGTTTATAATTTACATTTATGCAACTTCATGAAAGTTTTTGTTTCTCTTAGTAGCACTGTAGCACTGTCCTTCCTCCCGTTTATCGATTTGCTCGAGTGGGCACCAGTAACATCTCACAACAAATTGTGAGGCTTGTTACTGTTTTTGGCATATCAGAAGCACAGCAGGTAGGGCGTTTGCCTTGCACGCGGCCTACCTGAGTTCGATTCCTCTGCCCCTCTCAGAGAGCCTGGCAAGCTACCGAGAGTATCTCGCCCGCATGGCAAAGCCTGGTTTCTCTTAGTATTCAAGAACAAACAGAAAACAAACACTGTCCTCCCGTTGTTCATCGATTTGCTTGAGCAGTCCCAGTAACGTCTCCATTTTTTGAGACTTGTTGTTACTGTGTTTGTCATATCGAATACGTCATGGGGAGCTTGCCAGGCTCTGCTGTGCAGGCGAGATACTCTCGGTAGCTTGCCGGGCTCTCCGAGAGGGGCGGAGGAATCGAACTCGGGTCGGCCATGTTGGCTGTGTGCAAGGCAAACGCCCTACCTCTGTGCTATCGCTCCAGCCCCAAAGCAAAAGATACTAGAAATAAAAACTATTTTTCTTTTATGTATTTGGTATATGATGCAGTGGCAAAGCCTTTCTGTATAATAAGTTCATTTTTAGAAAGCACTAAGCACAGATTGAGAACTAATTTTTGTTGATTTTTGATCCTGATACTGCTAGGTGGGAGTTTGAATAAGACAGTTAGACTTATAAGCCAACTAGAATAAGTAGTCATCTAACTTTCAATTTATTTTTTCAAATAATACAATGAATTTGAAAATTAATGTGTAATTGTCAGAAATCTATAAACTTTACTATACTGGTAGGAGGAAAGCAGGGTACTACATGATGAATGAAATAAGTCAGAGGGAGAGGGACAGACATAGAATGATTGGACTCATTTCTGAGATATTAAAAAAAAAACCAGTATGAGACTAATATCCAGCAACATTAGAAACAAGGATTGGGAGGAATGGTCTACAGTTGGAAGCTTGTCACTAGTAGTGGTGGGAGGAGGGCAGCTCCGATAAAGGGACCACTCTGACAAAGGTAGTTGGAAATGATCACTTGGGAAAAGAACTGAGTGCTGAAAGTAGGTAAAGGGATGAACATGATAACCTTTTAGCACCTGTATTACAAACTGTAATGCCCAAAAAGGGGGGGAGGGGAGAGGAGGGAGGGAGGGGAGAGAGAGAGAGAGAGAGAGAGAGAGAGAGAGAGAGAGAGAGAGAGAGAGAGAAAGCTTCCAGAGAGACAGGCTGTGGGGAGGTAGGGGAGGTGGAGCAGAAGGGAAACTGGGGACATTGTTGGTGGGAAATGTACACTGGTGAAGGGATGGGTGACGGAACTTTTTTTTTTTTTTTTTTTTTTTTTTGCTTTTTGGGTCACACCGGCAATGCACAGGGGTTACTCCTGGCTCATGCACTCAGAAATTACACCTAGCAGTGCTCGGGGGGCCTTATGGGATGCTGGGAATCAAACCTGGGTCTGTGGTGTGCAAGGCAAACGCCCTACCCACTGTGCTATTGCTCCAACCCTGAGTGATGGAACATTGTATGACTGAAACTCAGTCATGAACAACTTTGTAACTGTGTATCCCATGGTGATTCAATTAAAAAGAAAGGGAAAAAATTCCTACAAGGGGGAAAATAAAGGCAGAATACTATACAATTTACAATACAGAATTTTAAAAAATTACAGTTGTGTTCTAATGTGCAACTCTAGAGTTGTATACAACTACTTATTTGGCTTGCTGCTCCGTTTTCAGAAAAAGGACCACTTAATGGCCACCAGGAAATCGACTTCTTTAAGTGAATAAACAGAAAGTGCCCCTCGTGTGCACCAGGCACCTCAGGGTATATTGCCCTTCCCGCTTTATTCCACTGCCCCCCACTTTAAGAAATGCTTTATAATATTTTTAGAGATTGTAATGGAAATAAGCTCCTAGACTAGTTAATAGATAAGTTTATGGGTTTTTATTTATTTATTCAGCGCCATACCTAAGAGTGCTCAGGGTTTACTCTTGGTTTCTCCCAGCACTCAGGGATCTCTACTTGTGGGACCATACGGGATTCCAATGATAGTACCCCAGTCTGCTGCATGCTAGGCATGTGCTCTACCCACTGTACTGTTTCTCCAGTCCCAATAGATCAGATCTTTACATGAGACTATTTTAAAATAAAAATTAGACAGTTGTGTGTAATGTACTGGGAAAGATATATACTAATTAGTCAAAGAATTAAAATTGTGGTAGCACTGTAGCACTGTCCTCTCGTTGTTCATTGTGGTAGAAATGAAAAAAGGAAAAAAGTTCATGGCATATGTATCAGAGAAGACAAAGAAGGCTTCTATTCGGAAAAGATTTTGCTTTGTTTTGGGACCACACTTGGAAGTGCTCAGGGTTTATTCCTGGTTCTGAGCTCAGAGATCACTCCAGGCAGTGGTTAGGGGACTCTTTGGGGTGCTGGGAATCAAACCCAGGTTGGCCACATGCTAGGCCTACCCACTATACTAGCTCTCTGGCCCTTATCAGGAAGAATTAAGTAAGTTAGACTCTGAAGGTTTATGTAACATATGCAAATATAGTTTGTGTAATATATATGTCAACTAAATGTATATGTCAACTAAATGAAGCCTTTAAAATTTATTCATATTTGTAAAGTTAAGGCATATTTGATTATTTAAATCACAATCACAGTAGTTGCCCTAAAAGTGAGAAGAGAGTGCTTGCTTCGGCAGCACATATACTAAAATTGGAACGATACAGAGAAGATTAGCATGGCCCCTGCGCAAGGATGACATGCAAATTTGTGAAGCATTCCATATTTTTTGTATAATTGAAACTCAAAGCACAAAAATTTGTAAATCTACAACTGTACCTCATGGTGTTTCACTAATAAAAGTTCAAAAAAAAGTGAGAATAGAATCAGTTAGTGATGAAATAGATATAATAGTACCATTTATCAAAAAGTTGTTTTTAATAATTTTAGAGAATCAGAGACATTAAAAATGGTAATTTTTGATGAAAACACATGTACTTCCACAAAATGTTTTTTTGGGGGGTTTTCTCAGCTGTCTCTTGGTAAGAATTTTAACTTTTTTGACTAAGAAATCCTTATGGTCAGCATAATAGTGTTTTTATAACCTAGATTATTTGATAGCTGTTTCCCTGTCTTTTTTTTTTTTTTAAACTAAATTGAAGAAAGAATACTAAGTGTTGTGCTGGATAGATCATTCTCTTTATTTACCTTCAGATCCTGATTGAATTTTGTGCGGGTGGAGCAGTGGATGCTGTGATGCTCGGTAAATACCTTTTTCTTCGTTATGTTTATTTTTAAGTTATACTTAATAAAATAAATAAAAGAATTTTAAGCATTCATGCGTTTGTATACCTGTATCACTTGAGTAAAAATCAATGAAAGATTAGCTTATTTTAGTTTGCAATACGGGGGCTACTGGTGCTGGGAAATGTACACTGGTGGAGGGATGGGTGTTGGAACACTGTATGACTGAAACCTAATCATGAACAGCTTACTAAGGGTCTATAACACAGTGATTTGGTAAAAAAAATCTTAAAAACAGTTAAAACAGTTAACTTATTTTAGTATTCTTATTTATAGTTCTAAGATAAAATGTTCAATATAATGTTAGAAAATAAATCTTTGTAGGCATGTAGTACTTACTAAAAAATTCACTATCTGATTCTTTAAAAAAAATTATGTTTCTAATTAGTTGGTTCTTTTGGGTGTATGATCCTTATACTGATGATAAAGGTTTAAAGTCTGCTGGTTTGTTTTCATTGTACTAAAATGCAGATTTGTTTACTTTTTCTCAACAGAACTGGAGAGACCATTAACTGAGTCCCAAATACAAGTAGTTTGTAAACAGACTTTAGAGGCATTGAACTACTTACATGATAACAAAATTATCCACAGAGATCTAAAGGCTGGCAACATTCTTTTTACTTTAGATGGAGATATTAAGTTGGGTAAGTTTAATTACTTGAGCAATACATTTGAATTTGTGCTCTGAGACTTCTCTCTGCATGTAAAGGACTTAATTTCTTTTCATGACTCCAGTATATACAGTGTGAAGAGTTAACTTCCTAAATAGTTAATTTCCTAAATATTTCTTTGGATAAATAATAATTCATTAGTTCCCAAAATTACTAAGTATAGGCACTTAATATAAGGACATTTAATAAAAGAAAACAAGAAAAATGAATTTTCACTTTTAAAAGGCAAACTTTTCAAAAATAGGTTAATTCTTTTTCTCTTTAAATTTTTGTACAGATACTGTATTTAAGACATGTGTCACAGTGGTATTGATAGTGGGTATGTGGGGCTCAGGAGAGGTAGTAGAGAGACCGTCTTGTTTGGTCCACACAACCTCTGCAGTGAGGTGCCTGGGGCCGTCAGGACTCAGAGAAGCCCCCAGTATAGACAGTAAGTCGAGAGAGAGAGAGAGAGAAGAGAGGAGAGGAGAGGGGAGGGGAGGAGAGGATGGGATGAACTCCAAATGTGAACACAGGTTCTTCCAGAGAGAAAGAGAGGAGAAATTATCATATCATAAAGTAAAAGGAATCACACTCTCCAAGGTAGGATGGAGGCTACTCCCAGGAATGGAGTGTACTCCACAACAGAATAGGAACTAGTCATGCCCCAGAGTAGACAGGCATGGTGGAGAGTGGATGCTGCTTGCTTCTTCAAAGCTGATCTTACAGGAATTTTTCCAAGACCCCCCTCCCTTAGGGTCACTGCTCAGGCATTATCTAGGAGGGATCCTTGGCAGATCCAAGCTGATTCTGACTGGGTGAAATTTATCTGAAATTCATTGCCATGCCCCCCTCCCCTCAGCTCTGTTTATTTTGCATAAAACTGCCAATTTAAACTCTTGTCCAAGGGGTTCCTTTCTCATGGTTTAGTCTTTAGTCTTATACTCTGGAGATGGTATTTTGATTAAAACTAACAATAATGGGGCTGGAGCAATAGCACAGCGGGTAGGGCATTTGCCTTGCATGTGGCCAACCCAGGTTCGATTCCCAGCATATGATATGGTCCCCTGAGCACTGCCAGGAGTAATTCCTGAGTGCAGAGCCACGAGTAACCCCTGTGCATCACCAGTGTGACCCAAAAAGGAAAAAAAAAACTAACAATAACCTGTGTTTCCAGAGATTACCCAGGTCACTAGAGCCCTCCAGGTTCATACCTAGTGGTTCTCAGGGGAGCTGTAGTACTCTACCTAGTCATGCTCAGGAGACCATTTGGTACTGGCGATCTTAACCCCTATACCATCTTATCTCTCCAACATTCCCTGGGACCTGACGATCATTCTCAGCCAAGAAGCCTGCCAGTTAAATGTGAGGAGTCTGTGGTGCTGTGGATTACCAGGTCACCTGGCAGTGTTTGGGGCCTCTAACATGCTCAGAGCCTACAGGATGACACTTGGCATGCTTGGGGTCTCCAGGCCCACACTCGGCATGCTTGGCGTCCTTCAGGACTATGCCTGATAGCGCTTGAGAAATCATGTGGTAGTAGGGATAGAACCAGGTCAGCCACATGCAAGATAATGCACCTAACCCCTGCACTCTCTGGCCCCTGGAATTCTTCTGACTGATGTTACATTTTTTTTTTTAATTTATTGAATCACCATGAGATATTTACAAGCTTTCAAGTTTGGGTTACAATCACAATGATCAAACACTCATCACTCTACCAGTGCACATTTCCCACCACCAATATCCCCAGTATACCTCCCCTTTCCCACCTTCCCCCTGCCTCCATGGCAGACATGATTCCTCATACTCTCTACTTTTGGGCATTATGGTTTGCAATACAAACCCTGAAAGGCTATCATGTTTAGTCCTTTATCTACTTTCTGCACACATCTCCCATCCCGACTGATTCCTCCAGCCATCTTTTTCTTAGTGATCCCTTTTATATTCTAGCTGCCTTCTCCTCTTTGCGCAGGAGGCAGGCTTCCAGCTATGGAGCAGTCTATCTGTCCCATGTATCTACTATCCTTAGGTGTCAGCCTCATGTTATATTGTTTTATACTCAACAAATGAGTGCAGTCCTTCTATGTCTGTCCCTCTCTTTCTGACTCATTTCACTTGGTATGATACTCTCCATGTCTATCCATTTATAAGCAAATTTCATGACTTCATCTCTCCTGACAGCTGCATAGTATTCCATTGTGTAGATGTACCAAAGTTTCTTTAACTAGTCATCTGTTCTAGGGCACTTGGGTTGTTTCCAGATTTTGGCTATTGTGAACAGTGCTGCAATGAACATATAGGTACAGATGTCATTTCTACTGTGCTTTTTTGCATCCTTGGGATATATTCCCAGAAGTGGTATTGCGGGGTCATATGGAAGCTCAATTTCTAGTTTTTGAAGGACTGTCCATATTGTTTTCCAGAAAGGCTGGACTAGTGGGCATTCCCATCAACAGTGAAAGAGTGTCCCTTTTTCCCCACATCCACACCAGCACTGGTTGCTTTTGTTCTTTTGAATGTGTGCCAGTCTCTGTGGTGTGAGATGATATCTCATTGTTATTTTGATTTGCATCTTCCTGATAGCTAGCGATGTGGAGCATTTTTTCATGTCCCTTTTGGCCATTTGTATTTCTTTTTTGAGGAAACTTCTGTTCATTTCTTCTCCCCATTTTTTGATGGGGTTGGAGGTGTTTTTCTTGTACAATTCTACTAGTATCTTGTATATCTTGGATATTAATTCCTTATCAGATTGGTATTGGGTAAATATTCTTTCCCATTCTGTGGGCTTTTTCTGTATTTTGGTCACTGTTTCTTTTGAAGTGCAGAAGCCTCTTAGGTTGATATAGTCCCATTTGTTTATGTTTGCTTCCACTTGCATGGTCAGTGCTGTTTCATCCTTAAAGATGTTTCTAGCTTCAATGTCGTGGAGAGTTCTGCATACATTTTCCTCTATGTACCTTATGGATTCATATCTTTAATCCTCTTTGATCTGACTTTTATGTTACATTTTTGTCTTACAATTTTTTTAAAAGACTCAGTATTTTAAAATATGTTAGAGTTTTGATCCCTTTACAATGCCTGTTTTTCTAGAAGTATATTAAAAATCTAATTTGAATTCAGGAGCATGCTTTTGTGTAAAAGGATTCAGACCTATAAAAAAAAGTATATTATTGAAGATTTAGTAATGCCAAAGTAGTTTTGACAGCTCAAAACAACTAAAGTTGACATTTTAAGCAACTGTAATTTATGTTTTATTGATTTGTGATTATAGAGAACCTTCCATTTCTCTGACACTTTGTTAGGTGTACACAGAAGGTGTACATCATATTGCCCTTAAGAGTTGTATGCAAAGGACACAGATAATTTAAATACAAGTCAGGATTTAAGTTTTACCAATAAAATATCATAAAGGTTAAAGTTATGGATATAATTAATATTAGTAACTGCCATTTGAGTGTACATTCTTTGTCAGGCTCTGAGTACGATTTTAGTATGTATTTGATTTTGAAAACTGTGTCACATAAAATAAGAAGCTTTAAAAGTAGTACACATATGGCATGAGATAATTTGGCGTACTTTTTTTCACACCATAGAAAAAAAGTCTTTGAATTTGATTGTAATACATAATGTTAGTTGACATCTATTTTTTTTTTTTGACATTTATTTTTAAGTCCTGTTTTGTAGCCAGAGATAATACAATGTGGAACGCATTTCCCTTACACAAGACCAACCCAGGTTCAATTCTCAGAAGCCTGTATGGTCTCTTGCGCCCCACCAGAACTAGGAGAGAGTCCTGAGCACCTCCAGCTGTGGCCCGAACCTTTCCCCTTCTTTCCAGTAAAGTTACTATTTTTATTTCATTTCTGAAGAGAAATGAAGACTTGTTGCTGAAATTATTTAAGAAGTGACAGTAAGTATTTATTGATGAGATCTTTACCTTGGTAGATTTTTTTTCGAGGGAGTGTAACAGAAAAAGGTTAGTCACAAGGATGGTAGGGATGTAATTTCCCTATTCCTTTTACCCTATAATAAGAATGGTCTTAGTCAAGACTAAAAATGCTTTTCCTTATGTTGCATATAGTAAATGCTGGTTAAAGAATACCATTAATACTTTTGTCATTATTTGTTTCAAGCGGATTTTGGAGTATCGGCTAAAAATACAAGGACAATTCAAAGAAGAGATTCCTTTATTGGCACACCATATTGGTATGTATTCAGTTTTATAAACCTACGATATTATTTGTAACAGTGATTACTGTTACTCCTGAGATTTGCCATATAATCAGTGATACTCTCTTTTATGTGATTTGCCATCATTTTTCCTGAGTTTAAAGATCTTTCCATTCTCTGTTTTGATAGGATGGCTCCTGAAGTAGTCATGTGTGAAACGTCTAAGGACAGACCTTACGATTACAAAGCCGATGTTTGGTCCTTGGGCATCACTCTCATAGAAATGGCTGAGATAGAACCACCTCATCATGAGTTAAATCCGATGCGAGTACTGCTAAAAATAGCCAAATCAGAGCCCCCTACATTAGCACAGCCCTCAAAATGGTAAGACATTGTAAACAAAGCTTTAGAAGAAAAAACATTTTTATTGTTTTATTCTTTTGTTTTTCCCAAGGGTATGTAGTTTGACAGACATGCTACAAAGCTGTGAATCAAAAACTGAGTTTTGGTATATTTTCAATATGTAAAGACTGTGTGCACAACTTTTATAACTAGCATTTTCCGTATAATGTACATTTCAATGATTTGAATCCTGCTTAAAAAATTATTTCCTATATGATGAGAAAGTGAAGAATATATATGGTTGCTATATATATGTATACATACATACATGTATATATAGATATATATGGTTTATATATATGTATACATACATACATGTATATATAGATATATGATATATACACACAACATATGTATATAAACATATGTGTATATATGGAATTTAATGGAATCATTGTGATTTTTGAATACTTGACTGTATTTTGAATGGTTAAAATTGTGAACCTGATTACTTATGTCAAAATTGGTCTCATGATTCATAACTTATGATATATTAATAGTCTTATTAAGTAGCGCTCTTATGTTATATTACTACTATTATATGCATAAGAAACAAGCATCGTTTATCTGATTTTTTGTTTGATTTTAGTAACAAAATGAATATTTTGGTTAAATTTTTATTTCAAAGGTCTTCAAATTTTAAGGACTTTCTTAAAAAGTGCTTGGAAAAGAATGTGGATTCTAGGTGGAATACAACTCAACTATTGCAGGTAATACTAGTATGACAACAGCAAGCCAAAGATTGTTTTAATGTCTCATTAAAAATACACTTTCCCATGAATTCAGTATGCTTTCTTTCTTTGAAATTCCCTCTGGAAATTGTGTTAGTACTTGTGTTAGTTAACATTTGCTTTATAGAAGATACTTGATTGTTGTTACTAAAATAAATTAATTTTTTTTGTTCAGTTTGGTTTCTTCTCAGTTATTAGAATGAAAATACCTTGGGGATAGGAACTATGAGATAATTTTTATGTGATTTACAATGAGGGTGAGGTTGCGTACGAGAAAAATGGTTTATTCCATGTAGCAAGTTCATCACCAGGACACATTTTTTATTTTATTGCCTCACTTTTGAAAACTTTACTCTGTGACAGTATTAAATGCTGAGTATAACTCTAAATCTCTCTGTAATTCTTTTGATGATATTTATTACTTATTTATTTATGGCTACTATCCATACCCAGCTATGTCCAGGGCTGATTCCTGGCTCTGTGCTCAGAGATCACTCCTGGCAGGGCTCAGAAGTGCCATATGCAGTGCCAGGGATAGAAACTGGGTTGGCAGCAAGCAAGGCCAGCGTCCCACCCACGGTACTATCTTTCCAATTAATGACTGTACAGAGTTTCTGTGTACTGTTATTTATTTTTTTTGCAAGAACTAATAATGCCCTAATTTAAATACCTTAAATTTTAATTTTAAGTTTCAGACATGGGGACAAGAAACATGTACTTGTAGATACTCTACTACCAAGTTTAATGTGTAACCATTTTGACATATTTCCTTCATATTCAAAAAAATAGTATAGATTGGGTTACAGGTACCTCCTTTTCTCATACTATCCCCTTTCCCTCCCTTTCAGCGGTAACATTGTTTGGTGTGTAAATATATGTGTGTATATATCTCCCATCCATGATTCATATTTTTATCACATAATATTATGTTTTATGTGTTGTTTTACCAATGTTTTAGCTGTTAGTGACAAAGTTCTTTTTCAAATGATCACCAGCATCCCTTTGTTACTGTTGACTCCAACAAACCAATCCGAGAATTGATTGCAGAGGCAAAGGCTGAAGTAACAGAAGAAGTGGAAGATGGAAAAGAGGAAGATGATGATGAAGAAACAGAAAATTCTTTGGTCAGTATTTTAAATGAAAATTTCTTTTAGGTAATTTTTCAAGCTGGGTTTTAAGATGTTGATTGTATCTTAAAATTTAAGAATTTATTGATGGCTAATGGTGTAAAACGTTTTATTTTAAAGTTTAAGATTTACAGCAAGTTTGCTTCTTGCTATCCATTTTTATCATTATTTAAAGATATGTCAGTTCTTTCAATAATTTTTATAATTTCAGCTGTGATTAAATATATTACATTTTATACATATAAAACACTGTGTTAGCAGCATCTCATGTTTTAAAACTAAACAATGTGTAAAATCTTTTTTAGCCAATACCTGCAAGTAAGCGCGCCTCCTCTGACCTCAGTATTGCCAGCTCTGAAGAAGATAAACTTTCACAGAATGCTTGTATTTTGGAATCTGTCTCAGAAAAAACAGAACATAGTACTTCTGAAGATAAATTTAACAGCAAAGTTCTTAATGAAAAACCCATCACTGATGAACCTGAAAAGGCTGTGGAAGGTATTAATGAGCATGTTAATGATGCTCATTTAGGAGCTACTGAACTCCATAAAAGATCAATAGTTACCAAGGAGAATGGAAGAGAGGAAAAGAGACCCAAGCTTGAAAATCTTCGTGACACAGGAGATCAAGAAGCAGTAGACGTTCATTCAGTACATGGAGATCAAGAAGCAGTAGACGTTCATTCAGTACATGAAGGAAAAGAAAATAATGTAGTAACTTTAGGAACAAAAATTGAACAGAATCGGAAGCCTGAGGAAGAAGGGGATCAGGACAAGCAAGAAATATTTGAAAATAAGGTTAAAAAATCCAAGGAAATTAAAGATACTGCTCTTTCATCAATAAATTTAGTTTCTCAGGAGACTGGAGAAAAAGAGGCAAATATTCAGGCAATTGGCAATGCAGTTGAGTTTCCAAATGCAGACTCACAGGGGAAATTGGGAACAGATGACAAAACTCAAAGAACTGTGGTCAGCAACTCAAGTACCGTGCTGGGAATAAATGAGGCTGTAGGTGCTGCCCAGAGGGCAGTTGAAATCAGTGCTGAGGATGCTGAGATTAGTGCCCGGAAAGAAATGACTGAAGTCGGCCAGAAAATAAGTGAGCCCCTGGCAGCTCCTGAGGCTGGTGGTACTAAGGAAGTTTCTACTAAAGAACTAGTTGACATTAAGGTGCTAGATAAAAAGTCTGTAGAAGGTAAAAGTGAGGAACAGTTAACCAACCATTCAAAGAACATGGTAGAGACCATTGAGGAACCAAGGACAAATGAAGATGAAGAAACCACTCAGTCGGGTGGCGCTGAAGAGGTAGAAGTCAAGGCTGTAGGAGGCAGAACTCAGGATGTTTGTAAGGACACAGAACAAGAAGTTCCACGTGAAATGCCAGTTAAAACAGAACCTCAAGTCCCTGCCATTTCACAGCCCAGTGAGCCTCAGCCTGTTCCAATACCCAGCATTAATATCAACTCGGAAGATGCAGAACATAAGGGAGAAAGAGGTGCTTTAACAAAAACGGAAACCATGTTCCTTCCCGAATCTGAGAATCACAAGGAAAATGATACTGATTCAGGCACTGGCTCCACTGCCGATAATGGTAGCATTGATTTGAATTTATCCATCTCTAGCTTCCTAAGCAAAACTAAAGACACTGGATCAATATCTTTACAAGTAAGTGTACGTGGGTTCTTGTTTGGGATTTTGTCTTTTTGAAGTTAGTTTGGAACTGCTACCTTAGAATGACAGCACTGAATCTGTGTAGCACTCACCCTGCCAGATTCTGCAGGCCTAGGAAGGCAACCAATTAAAAAAATTTTCAGACATTCTGGAGATGGTCTTTTCAGTTTTTTTTTTTAATTTTTGTTTTTAAAATAATACCTACCTGGGTTTTTGTTTGTTTGTTTCATTTTATTTCTTAATTTTTGTTTTTTTGTGTGTGCCATACCTGCCTGTGCTCAGGTGATTGGGGGTCACTGCTAGCAGTTCTCTAGGGACCATCCGATGCTGAATATTGAACCTGCATGCAAGTCCTTCCAGCCCTTTGAGCCATTGCCCCAGTCAGTACCTAGGTATTGTAGCCAAGTTGGCATTAACAGTATAATATAAGTTCTCAGTGTTACTTGAGTTCTTACCCAACTTACCTGGATACTATTTTATAAAGAACTGATAGTCATAGGAAGGAACTGACAAACTGAAAGAATGATTTCCTTTTTAGCACATTTAGAGTGTAAACAGCTCTTGTTCTATTTTGGGTCCATCCCTGGCTATGCTCAGGGGTTCCTCCTGGCTCTGCACTCAGGAATTACTCTGGCAGTGCTCAGGTCTATATGGGTTGCCAGAGATTGAATTTAGGTTGGCCCTACCTTTGGACTCCCTACCCACTGTACTATCACTCTGGCCCCAAGAGTGTAAACAGCTCTTGATTTATACTGTCCCATATAGATGACCAGTCTTTCCACTTTGGTTATAGCCATTATATTGCCATGAGAACTGTTGTGGGAAAGAAATGAAACAAAAAATTATAATCTAAAGTATTAGAATGTAATTGTAAGATCCGAGTGCACATTAGAGTTATAAGGAGGAATTATATCTAAGGCAGGAACCAAGAATAAGCAGATGTGGCAAAATGGGTTTCTGATACTATTGGGCTATTAGCGACTTTGAGTTGCCAGATCTTTTGCTAAGAAGAGAAAATTGAAATAACAGAAGCAATTTAGGTAAACTGAGCATAGGGACAGAACTCTAGGGCATGGCTAATTAAATAAATACAAGGACTATTACACTTTCATTTCTTTCTATTTGCATATAAAAACTAATACCAACTGAGGATACCAACTGAGGAATAAAATGTTTGTGCCTAATAAAGAATTGTAAGTAATGTGTAGCAAGCAGATGAGTATTTTTGGGTACAGTAGAAATGCTCTCTGGTAATTATAAAATCACACCTTCTCAGTCCCTGCAAATGAGGAGGACTGTTGATACTATTGTTGATGAAAGGTTTTTGATTCCCAGCATTTGGTTCCCTGGCAATCTTAAAAAAATTACCTACTTCCCCTTCAAAATGCAAATTCCTAGTTACTGACAGGGCAGATTTATTGTCTTATATTATTTCAAGGGTGAGTGTTAAGAATACCTTTTTTTTTTGAGGGATTGGTAAGGGCAGTGAGCCATACCTGGCTGTGCTCAAGGCTTTTTCCTGACTTTGTGTTCAGGGATCATGCTTGGTGGTGCTTGTGGGGCCATGTGTGGTGCTGGAAGTCAGTCTGGGGTTCGCTATGTGCAATGCAAGCTCCTTACCTACTGTACTTTCTATTTAGCCCCACAAATGCATTAGGAAAAAAATGGCTTTGGGGCCACACCTGACAGGGCTACTTCTGGCTCAGGACTTGGGGCTGGCTCCTGATGATACGTACACATGGGACTGTGCTGTACAGGGGAGCTGGCTTGGGCTTTCCAAATGCTTAGCTTGCTGAACTATTCTGGCCCACAAATGCATTTTTAAGTGGGTTCCCTCCCACCCCCAGTGATTCTGAAATTTAGGGAGAGGTATTTCCAAAATCTACCCAGTGAAAGAAAGAACAATAAAAGGGCTTACATACAAAACTTATACAGATGAGTCATTTACATAAGTTACTCATTACTACTTACACCTAATTATGATGTGGCATCATAAAACTCACACATGCAAGGCATTGATGACATAGCTCAAGCTGCAGGGCATATGTCTAGCATTTTGGACCTTGAGTTTGATCTCTGCTACCACATTTCCCATACTCTCAGCACTGTTGGTTGTGTGTGTGGCGGTCACCGTCTAAGCTTTGAACTCTCAAGAACAACAGCCAGTCCTTGCATCTCTGCTGAGGGTGGACCCTACTGGAACAAAATGATGCTTGTGTATCATCACGATGCATCATTTAATTGAAAAAAATTGTTATTTTAATCTTAAAGTCATGTGACAGATAAGGTTTCAGATTTTAAAACTTGTTTCCACTGGTGAGATTCGTCTTTATATTTTTATATATAGTGTTAATGGCCATAATGACTGCTCCTTTTCTGTCTTTTATGAAGACCATGTTTTCTGTTTTCAATATAACAAAGTCCAAGTAAAATAAAAATCTTTTTTAGGAAACTAGAAGACAAAAGAAAACATTGAAGAAAACCCGCAAATTTGTGGTTGATGGTGTAGAAGTGAGTGTAACAACATCAAAGATAGTTACAGACAGTGACTCCAAAACAGAGGAATTAAGGTTTCTTAGGTGAGTAGAGAAACCACATAATTAAAAGTGGTTTTCACTTCATCTATGAAAAGGCTGAAGAATAAAGAAGTAAATTCTCAATAAAATTTGAATTATTCTTCTATTACTTTAGTATTACAAAATTGTTAAAAAAAATTTTAAAGCATTATTTCAAGATATTATTTTGCTGTCTTCTGTTATTGCTGATAATTGATACAGACGTCAGGAATTGCGGGAATTAAGATTTCTTCAAAAAGAAGAGCAAAGAGCCCAACAGCAACTCAATAGCAAACTGCAACAACAACGAGAACAAATCTTCCGGCGCTTTGAACAAGAAATGATGGTAAAGCCTCATTTATTAATAATAGAATTGATTGCTTTAAAATAGAACTAAGTAGAGGGTTTTAGAACTTGTTCTCTGATTAGACTTTGGTATATTTCTAACCCTTATCTCTGTGTTCTAGATGTCTTTCTGGATTTTCTGCTTGAAAGGATCTTTCAGTCTGTCATTGACCTACATGGCATACTGATCAGTCTTTTTTTTCTCTGATTAAAATCTATGTTGGAAACAGGAATCTTGAGGACAGTAGATGGTTTACAATATTCTTAGATAATTATCTAGCAGTTGTCTGTTGCTAGATAATTTTTTGATATTTTTCAATTTAGAATCTAAGATTTTTAAACCAGCCTAAAACAGTTTTCTCCAAACCCAGTTGAATATTAGAACTTGGGGGTTTATGTTTTTTGAATTTTGGAATGCCAGAGATAGGACCCAGAATGCATTGGACCATTGAGCTGCATCCTTGGACACCTGGTGGCTTAAAAAAAATACACTGATATCGCTGGTTTCTGCAGTTAAGCTTCTAAATCCCTACTTACTACTTCTAGAGAAATTAGTGCCAATTAACCAAGGATAGTTTCACTGAGTTAATACTGTTTTTTGCCTTGAAGTTGGAAAAGGAGATAGTAATGTTACAATTTTTTTTGTAACTTAGGTTGAATATCTGGCTAAGTATTGGTTAAAAAAGATAATTTGAATGTTACAGTTTTCTGTTTTGAAAATAATTCTGTTGCTATTTTTAAAATTGCAAGTGATACACATTGTTTTGTGTTAAGTGTGGCTTTATGGGTTACATTTGTTGGAACACAGCTGTGAAATTCTGAGGAAAAATGAACTGTTTGTTTTCATGGAGTATTTTCATAGTATTTAAATTCCGTTTGCTAGAATTTTATAGAAATTATATTTTTCTCCAAATATACTCTAAATTATTTTGGTTTTTAATTTTTTAAAAGAAAATTATCCTTTACATATATTTAACTCTACTGATGTACAGATTACAGTGTTACTCAGTGTACATAAGCAGGAACCTTTTGCTGGGAGAATATATAGATAATTCCAAAAGTCTAAGTTCAATGAAATAGTTTAGTTATTTTAAGAAATCTCACTGAGGAAGAGCTGAAGGAGTGGTCTATCATTCAAGTAGAATTCAAATTAACCCTTAGATATATTGAACTTTTTATTGGGTGAATATTGAGATTTTTCTAACCTTAGAATTGTATTTGTTCAACGGAATATTTTTTTAAATTGTATGTGTTTAACTTTTGTTGTATTTTGGTTTGTGGGCCACACTTTGTAGTGCTCAGGGGTTTTGGCTCTGTGATAAGGAATCTCTCCTTGTGGTGCTGGGGATTGAACTCAGGTTTGCCACATGCAAGGCAAATACCTTACTTGTTTACTATCTCTTTGGTCCCTGGATATGTAATTTGTAAAATGTATTTAATTCCTTATATAATAGAAAATCATTTTTTGAGATTAGAAAAAAATGAACTCACCTTTTTGAAATATAACATTATAATGCATCTGATGTTGTTCATTATTGCAAGTCTTATTAAATTGAAGTGCTAGCTTTGTGCTCTTAGGAATATAATTCATTATAATGAGTTAATATGGGTGATAGGAAAGATGAATGATCTTGAGCTGTTTCACAGGGCAAAAAAAGGCAGTATGACCAAGAAATTGAGAATCTAGAGAAACAGCAGAAACAGACCATTGAACGCCTGGAACAAGAACATACAAATCGCTTGCGAGATGAAGCCAAGCGCATTAAAGGAGAGCAAGAGAAAGAACTGTCCAAATTTCAGAATATGTTAAAGAACCGTAAGAAGGAGGTAAGTGTAACTGCTGTTTTTAATTTACTAAAAGGATACTTTTCAATGTATACCTGAGTCTATCTAAGGAGTTAGGAATAATATGTGATAGTTAAATATCAGTTCTCCATTCTTTTGTTTGGTCTTTTCTCCAGTCGGTCATCAGTGGTGAGGGCAGTTGTTTTCGCCATTTTATGCCTAGTAAACTGGAATAGAAACATTTTATGTTCTTGCTTTTATACCAACCTAGCAATGCTTGGGGCCCAAGGACAACACCCAGCAGTATTCCGGGAGACTGTGCAATGTTAGGGAGCAACTCTGGAGTCCTGTGCTATAAGTCATGGGCTCTAGCCCTTTGAGTTATCTTCTTGGTCTTAACATTTGTTTTTACTTTTGTGAAGTGGAAAGAACTAAGAGTTCAATTTTACAAACTGCCATTAAATCTGCAAGTAATAAACCTTCAACCTAGTTTCAAATCAAGTCCAGTCATTTCCTTTCAATCTAATCTTTGCTGATGCGGCATTTAAGACCTCCATACATAGAAATATTTTTGTTAGGAAAACGATTGTATAGTGGTAGGTGGCAGTTATTAATTTTATTGCTTATATGTAATATTTAACTCATTTAAATTTTTTTCTTGATCAGTTTGATTTCCTTTCTTGGACATTGTGTCAAAAAAAAAAAAAAACAAAAAAACCCCAAAACACTGTATAACCTGAAGTTTGAAATTCTGTCTATATTTCATTCAAAGATACTTTGGTGAACTGCAGGTGGAGAGTGAAAAATTATTGGATTAGAATGAAGTTTTTCCTTTTTGCTTAAGATGTCCTTTTCTTAAAATGTTCAATTCTATTAAGTGGAATCAAGAAAATTTCAGCAGAACTAGTGAATACGTTTTTACCCCTGTTGCACATCTCAAATGTATAGGTTCATTGTCTTAACATTTGGATTATGCAGAAAATTGAACATTATGTTGGCAGAACTTAAGAATCTACTTTAAAAAAGGATAGAACTCTATATGAATAACATGTGTTCTGTGATTTCTTAAGGTAAAGATGAACACAGTGTTATATAATTCAACTAGAGATGGCTACTATTTCTGAAATATGTTTTTTACTGTTGTTTTAACATAGAGTTGTTCGGTATATCATCATGATTGAAGCTACATAAATTTTCTTAAATTATGGGTAGTTTTTAATTGAGATATTTTAAAATAACAGATTAAATTTAAAAAGTCACAGCATATGATTTAATTCTAAATATATGAAAGTCTCTAGTTATTTATTGTTAAGGTTTGGGAGTAGGAGAATTTTAGCCAGTGGTCATGTTTGAGATCATGATGTGCATATTTTAAATAATTTTTGTGTTTTTTTTCTTACTGCTAAACTTCTTGCATTTGGGAATCTCTTCCTTTTAATGGTGATTTGGTTTCATGAGGGATTACTGAGTAAAATTTTAAATATACTGTGTTTAATCAAAATCAGTCTTTTTCACAGACCATCAGCAGCATGTGGTGATTTGGAATCTGGTTGCTTTTGGTGCTTCTGTTCATAAACACGATTTTTTTTTATCATTGGATAATAGAGGAAATCATATCTTGGATTTTGAAATGATTAAAAGAAGGCACTCTAAAATATACTTTATCTGGTATAATGATCAGCTTACTAAACTGTTTCTTAATGAGTGCTTATATTCCTGATTTTCTTTTATTATTTTTGGGGGCCGGGCTGGAGCGATAGCACAGCAGGTAGAGCATTTGCCTTGTACGTGGCTGACCGGGTTCGATTCCTCCATCCCTCTCAGAGAGCCCAGCAAGCTACCAAGAGTATCCCGCCCACATGACAGATCCTGGCAAGTTAGGAATATTTGATATGCCCAAAACAGTAAAAACAAATCTCACAATGGAGACGTTACTGGTACCCACTCAAACAAATTGATGAACGACAGGAGGACAGTGACAGTGATTTTGGGGGGCCACGCTAGCATTGTGCTAGTTGTGGATCCATTTAGTGTGGGGGGGATTGAACTCAGGCCTTCACACATGCAAGGCATGCCTTATTCCCGGGTCTTAGGTTACTGTTTTGAAAGTTGATAATTAAGTGTGGCTTAAAATGTTAACAAAGGAGAATGTTATTCTAATCCAACTCAAAATCATCCAGTAAGTTCTTTTGTATCACACTGTGTATTAAATGGTGTGTTTTATATTAAAAAAAATTTAGTATCCATTTATGTCTCCTTTGTGTAGTCTAAGACTTGGTATCTCCCTCCCCCCTTTTACCCTTGGAAGTAGAATTCACTTGGTGAATTTACTTGGTGGGTTCACTTTGGTGTTGCCAAGTCAGTTAGGAAATTTTGTAGTTTTTGGTGGGGAGGGCTCCTGAGTAGTGCTCAGGGGCCTGCAGAGCTACTCTCAGCGATTCTTGGACAACCAGGACTGCAGATCAGTGGGGAGGCCAGAGAATACAGTGCTGTTTGAGTCCCCTCAGGGCCAGGGATTTTCCAGGCCACTGGTGGTGCTCAGGGCCTGTAGGACAACACCTAGCAATGCTCATAGGACATGAGGTGCCAGGGATTGGACTGGCGTCGTCCATATGAGAGGCATGTGGTACCCCAGCTCTGTCTTTTTGAGCTTGAAATTTTGTGCTTTTATAAACGACATAAGCTTTTTTATGTTTAATACTTGATTGACAGTGGATGCATTTATAATTTGATGATCTTTCAAGAAGGTCAGTTGAGTGTATCACCTTTAATTCATTATCAGCACTACAAGTAATTCTTCACCAGTTGTCTTTGAATTTGATTTTGTTTTTGGTTTTGGTTTTTTTGGGCCACATCCGCCAGTGCTCTGGGGCTACTCCCAATTGGTGCTCAAGGGCTCTCTTCTGGCATTGCCTGGGCATCCATTCAGTGCTAGGGCTCAAACCTCAGCCTCCTGCATGCAAAGCATGCACTATAGCTTAGTGAGCTCTATCTGTCTGACCTCCAGTGATTATCTGTGGATCTTTCATGCATCAGTGATCTTTAAGGATAATTAAGCAACTAATTGACCTATGTATGGTATCCGGTCCCTTTCTGCACTGAAATCAAGCATGCTCTATCTTCCATTCTTTTTCACAAAACTAACACCTTTGCTCATGCATGTTGAAAGGAACTTTTTAGCAACTTTAATATCTGGCTTTTGGCTTATCTGCTCACAGAAATGCTTGCTGTGGAGAAAGTATTATTTCCCCACCTCCTGCATGCTTATACACTATAGGTTATAAATGAAGTGGAGAAAGCACCCAAAGAGCTGAGAAAAGAGCTCATGAAACGCAGGAAAGAGGAGCTTGCACAAAGCCAGCATGCTCAGGTAACAGTGGCAGCTTCCAGCTACTAAAAAAGAAAGCAGCGTATTCTCTCAGCTCAGAAAACCGTGGCTGAAAGGGTGAATCCTAACTGCACTTATTATCTGATGTTGACTTCTCATATAGAGGTTCCCTGGTCATTCTTTGTGTCATACTACATTTGTACTAATAGTGGCATTTAAGTTGCTAACATGAAATAAAGTAATTTTTGGAGAGCTAATGCCAGGTGAAAATAAGTGTTGTGTTTAATGTATAATCTACTGTATTTTCACTGTAATCGTGATGTAACTTTATAGACTAAGAAGCATGTTAATGTTTGATAGAAGACTTTAAGGACAAAATTAGAGAGGGTAAGTATATATATAAGCTTTGTGCATATTTAAAAGGATGCCCTTTAAAATGTATTTACTTGCTTTCTAGCCATTCCAGGTGGTATTTGGGGATCGTGCAGCCCCAGGGATTGAATCTTGGGCTTGTGCATGCAAAGTATACATTTGAGCCATTTTAGTCCTCTCTCTGCTCCAAGAACTTTTTTGTCCTTTTTCTCCCCGCCTCCCCCCATTTTGGTTTCTGGGTAACAACTAGCAGTGTTCAGGAGCTACTCCTGGCCCAGTGCTTATGTGTAGTTCCTATGGTGCTCAAGGGACCATGTGGTACTGGGGGAACAGTTGAGGGTCTCCTGCATGCAGAGCATGTGCTCCAATTCTTGGAGCTAAGATCGTGTTTGGCCCAAAGACTGTGCTTAAAAGGCCATTATTTCTGGGCTGGGGAGATACTCCAAAGGGCTGCAGCACGTATTTTGCATGCTGGAGACCTGGGTTGGTCTTTGACATCATATGATCCCCCAAATACCGTGGACTGTAACCCCAAAGCATCCCAAAGCAGTAAGGCCAAAATTCAGATGTGATACCTGAGCACTGTTGGGTGTGTATTAAAAACCAAATAATAATAATAATAATAGAATAATAAGTAAAATGCCTTTACTTTTGTAACATTCAAAGATAAAATAAATGTCAAATAGCAGGACCACTATTTATTACTGTTCACACTCAGCAATATAAGCAGCTTAGCAGCTTAAGACAGATCTTAAGCGTTATTTATTTTCTGTTTTTTTTTTTTAACTGGAATTCCCAAATGGTGCTGAGGAGACCCAGGGAATTTTTCCAGAGATTCTCAGCCAGTTGGGCAGGTGGTTCAATGCAGGAGGCTAAGGATGTGATGCTGCTTTGGCCCTGTCATGCTAGGGATTACCTGGACCTCACCTGGTGAAGCTCAGGGAACCATGTGCCAGAGATTGAACCAGAGTCAGCAGCACCTTCTAGTACTACCTCTCTAGTCCAAAGTATAGATTTATCTGTATAAGTCTATTATAGTTTATGACTCTCCCTCAAAAAATATTCATCCTCATTTATTTATAATAGTACTGCTACATGACTTACATACAATAGTCCAGATTTCATGAGCTGACAAATTTCTGCAGACCACAGAAATTTGACCTCTGCCATATACAAGAGGTCAAAAATCAGTTTCATAGTAGAGATCACCTTTTTTCAAATTTAAAATTTTCAGTTGGAGGCAGAAAGAAGTGAATTCGGTGTGTAATTACATATGCTAGTGAAATGAGAGATATAGGTTATATAGTAATTGCTATTTTGAATTTTTTTTTATTAGTGAGACACCATGAGGTACAGTTGTGGACTTACAAACTTTCGTGTTTGGGTTTCAGTTATACAATGATCAAGTACCCATCCCTCCACCAGTACCCATTTTCCACCACCAATGAACCCAGTTGCCCTCCCAGCCCCCCAACCTCCTCACCCTGCCCCACCTCTATGGCAGGGCATTCCCTTTTGCTCTCTCTTTCCTTTAGGGTGTTGTGGTTTGCAATAGAGGTATTGAGTGGCCATCGTGTTTGGTCTGTAGTCTACTTTCAGCACATGTCTCGCATCCCGAGCAAGTCCTCCAAACACCCTTTACTTGTTCCCTTCTCTATCTGAGCTGTATTTCTCCCAGGCATGTGCTACCGGCTTCCAAGCCGTGGAGCAGACCTTCTGGTACTTATCTCAACTATTCTTGGGTGTTCATCTCCCATTCTGTTACTTTATATTCCCCAGATGAGTGCAGTCTTTCTATGTCTGTCTCTCTCTTTCTGATTCATTTCACTTAGCATGTTATTTCCCATGTAGAACCACTTGTTTGCAATTTTCATGACTTCATCCTTTCTAACTCCTGCATAGTATTCCATTGTGTAGATGTACCAAAGTTTCTTTAACCCGTCATCAGTTCTCGGGTACTCGGGTTTTTTCCAGATTTTGGCTATTGTGAACAGTGCAGCAATGCACATACAGGTGCAGATGTCATTTTGACTATACTTTTTTGCCTCTCTGGGATATATACCCAGGAGTGGTATTGCTGGGTCAAATGGGAGATCAATTTCTAATTTTTTGAGGATCGTCCGTGCTGTTTTCCAAAAGGGCTAAATCAATTGACTTTCCCACCAGCAGTGAAGAAGGGTCCCTTTCTCGCCACATCTGCGTCAACACTGGTTGCTTTTGTTCTTGTGGATGCCATTTACTTTCAAATGTGCCACTTACATCATTTCAAAGTAGAAAATATTTTAACACAATGGAAAAGGTTCTCAGAACGAAAATTTTTAATGCAGCTAGGCTTTTAAGTAAATTTAGGGGTATTTGTTTCCCTTTGAGTCAGGCAAAAATTTTATGAAGAATTTTGTATGGTGTATGGATTAGTTAAGGTGATGTAGCACACATAGCGTTTACTATATTTAAAGCATTGTCCTCAGGATTTCACCTGGATGAGCTCATTTAGCCCCGCAGCATACAAAGTAGTTGCTCTTACTACCCCCTTCCTACAGGTGAGGGAACTAAAGCATAGGAAGGAAGATGAACCCTCCCAGGGCATACATCTGCTTAGTGGTAGGGCCAGAATTCTTATCTCGCCAAGTCTGACTTCACATTTCATACACTGAAACACATAATGTTTCTCATATTTAAGCTTCCTTTTCTACATCTAAAACTCTTTTTAGTTTGGCCCAGTGATTTATGACTGTCTTATTAATAGGTGAACAAGAAGTCTCCTTGCTGATCACTTAAGTATTTTTTGATAATTTTCATTCCAAACCAGAGAGTAACAATATGATTTTCATTGTAAAACAGGACTGTATAGACTTTTAAAAGAGGTTTTTCATTAGACTTTTTAAAAAGGTAGTTCATTGATTCTACAATTGAAATAGAGAATTTAGTGTTAAATAGATGACATGATGTATTTTCATTTATTTGTGTGTGCCTTATTGAGGTAATAGCCTACAGGACCATATATTTTAGGAGTACAGTTTATGTCTCTTCAAAATATGTATCATACCAAACCTACCATCAGCTACCAATATCCTTCTACCAAGGTCCATTCACTTCCCTCCCCGTCATTCTTCCTTATTCCCCCCACCCCCAACATCCCCTCATTCCTTCTACCCTTACCCCACTACTGGTAACATCAGGTCTACATTGGTAATTTTTTTTTTCATCTAGCTTTTTTTTGTTCTGGACCTGTGCTATAATAAGATTTTGGTGATTTTTTTTCATATGATTTGTGGAGGCTAATCTCTATTTTCCAACTAAAATTTAAAACTATGGAAAATTTATTTTAATTTGATAACTTTAGTCATCTAACAGTTTTTAAAGTTTTTTTCTTGAGAGCTATTGTTATGAAGGTGCTAAAACTTGGTATCTTTAGAGTCTAAATACACTTTAGGATGTATAAATAATAGCTCTACTTATAGATACAGTATTTGACCATCTAGTTGAGTGGTTTCCACACTGTAAAGCTAGAAGCTCTTGAGTATGGGAGAAGCACTTAGAGAACCCTTCAGAAACTTAGAGGGCTATTGAACTCTAGCTCTTTACTTCCGCTAAAAGAAGCATCACTTTTCATCTCTTTTATAAACAAATTTTGGGAATAAGTTTTTAACCAGAGAGTTGGATCAGTTTAGAAAAACAACAGCAGAAAACTAGAGTTTGGAAACCACTGATCTTGTTCAAACCCTTCATTTCCCAGATGATAAATAGGCCCCTTTGTTAAGTGACTTGTTCCAGATCTCAAGAAACGCAACATTTGTATAATGATTCTTTCTGTTTATAAAAAGTCATTCAGCTCACCTGGGAGGTGCATTGTATTCTGATCCACAGGGTGTTGCTCAGGTCATGATTCAGTCTTTTCAGTTGTCATCTTGTGCAGTCTTCAACGCCCAAATGCAGGATGTAAGTCCCATGTGCCTGTAGGAGGCTGCCTTCTGTTTCACCTGCCTTTTCTTTGGCTCACATGTGCCTTTTCATTGGTAGTTACATTTGCTGAAATCCAGAAGACGGATAGATGATGATGTCAGTAATGACAGTTAACAGTAGTAACCTGACATGAACCTTTCTAGTGTCATTGTATGCTTCAACGAGTTTTCACATTTGATTCTCACTGCCATCGTCCTCTTACAGGGATGGAGTGTAATCATTTTATAGATGGAGAAATTTAATCACAGAAGATGAAGTGATTGGCCTAAAGTTACAAAAGAGATTAATGGTAGAATTGGAACACTTCAGATGAGGTGTTCTTTTCTATCTACCCCGTCACAAATTGTAATTTTTCAAGAAATATTTAGCTTCCTAATAGTATTTTATGAGCTTTGCACATGTGAGAAATTGAATGCTGTGATGAAATCTTATTTTTTGTGTGAAGTGACATTTTGATTGCATATGTTTATGTAGAGGTTTTAATTGTGAATGTGGTCAGAAAAGACATATTAAAGTGGAGATTGGATTCTTTTTCATCCTGGTTTTCACTGTCCAGCTTGTCCGTAATGAATCCTGAGTTGCTATCCTACTTTCTGTGATTTTAAATGAATTCTGGAATTCCAAGCTGTATATCTCTCTCACAGTTTCTATAATAGAAACTTCTAGCTCATTTAACTCTATAACTTCTGTTTGATATAAACAGCTGGAATTGATAGAGTACAGATCAGTTTTACTCTGTCCTTTTCCCTCGTTTGAGATTAGACATTAAAAAAAATTATTGGCACCTCTTGGATTCTTTATATAGTTTTCTAACTAAGTAAATAAAACATTATTTTTTAATGTCATAACCTATTTCATTGTTTTCCAAAGCCCAAAGAATTATTTTTAATATTCATAGTTATTGACTATTCCTTACTAGAGGTTAAACTTGTACAGGCAAAGGACACTGATTTCATAATTTATGTATGCATTTAATAATTATTACTCCTAGGGATCAAATCCTACTTTGTTTTTAAAATTGAATATGGAGCTGGAGTGTTAGCAGAGCGGATAGGGTATTTGCCCTGCATGTGACCGACCTGGGTTCAATCCCATATGGTCCCCTGAATACTGCCAGGAGTAATTCCTGAGTGCATGAGCCAGGAGTAACCCCTGTGCATCACCGGGTCTGACCCAAAAAAGAAAAATAAATAAATAAAATTGAATATAATTTATGCAACCTTTTCGGAATACATGATCACTTTTCTTTTCAGTCTTAAGAGCATTTTTTTTTTATTGAATCACTGTGAGAAACAGTTACAAAGCTATTATGTTTGAATTTCAGTCATACAAGGATCGAACACCCATCCATCCACCAGTGCAAATTTTCCAACACCAGTGTCCCCAGTATTCCCCCCTGCCCCCAAGAGTTCCCACCCTTCCCCCTGCCTCTATGGCAGACAGTTTCCCCCATACTCTCTCTCTACTTTGGGGCATTGTGGTTTGCAATATAGTTACCAAGAGGCTATCACATTTGGTCTTTTATCTACTTTCAGCACACATCTTCCATCCCAAATGATTTCTCCAACCATCATGATCCCTTCTCTATTCCAGCTGCCCTCTCCCCCAGCTCTTGAGGCAGGCATCCAACTGTGGAGCAATATTCCTAGCCCTTGTGTCTACTGTCCTTGGGTGTCAGAGCAATTTTTAATTATAATTCCTTTAGGGATATACTTAGCTTTTGGAATTAAAAACTTTAACAAAAGCTCAATAATGTTAAAATTGTGCTTTTTTTGATGTATGTAAATAAGGTTGATACAGAACTGCTAAATAATTTTCAGGTTTCATATAAAAAACTCATTTGTATTGTATTCTCAACTAAGTAATCATCCAGATGGCTTAACTATCTTGACTCACTCTCCATTCTTATTTTACCATCTCGAACAGCACATCGAATTTCTGTCTGATTTTGTATAACAGGGTAAACTTTTTTATATTTGCTGCTTCAAGGCATGCTTCTGTGGTTTTTTTTTTTTTTTTCAGTCATTTGTTGTGTGGCATGTTTTCTGGACCTTTTATTCCTAGCATTGAGTTTTTTGTGGTTTACTTTTGAACTTTGGAAAGTGTGATTCTAAGGGAAGTAGTCCATTACTCTTATGTATGGACCAAAATGGACAAAACCAACTTAGTACCAGTAGAGTGGAAGGTTCTTAAAGGCAATATCTTTTATCAGTTAGTAACTCTGAATTAGTACAGTGCCAAGCCTTTTCTAAGTATCTGATAATGATTTTATTTAAACTAAATGCTTGTCTTATTAAGACAAATATAAAGTGTATAACCAAAAATCGCATCAATGATAAAGTGCATTTGTTTTGTTTTGGCTTATATTTATATCTTTTTTTATTTTCACATAAATATTTGCCTCACCTTGTAATCTGCACTGGATTTCTTTAAATCTATATATATATATTTTATTTGTTAGTTAATTTGAACCCATATTCCTCTCTATACACATATTTTTTGAAATTCCTTTATGCAAATCAATGGTAAAAATGTTGAACCAAGGAAAACTCTTTGATATATTTTCAGTTTAAGTTTATTATGCAGTATTAACATGAAAATTTTACAATGAAATTAGAGAAATATTTTTAATTGTAAATATTATTTGAAGAAGAGAAAACTGAACAAATTACTCTTTTTGTTACGATTACTCAAGTGATTGGCATGGAGATTTTGCATCACTTTAAAACTCAAAAGACCTTATTCTGGATAGTTGAACTTAAGTATTGATTGGACTATTTTTTTTTTCCTGTGATAGTTATAGGAAAAATGTGACTGTAGCCACATTGGTAACTGTATTTAATAGAGGCAATGTATTAGTCTTTTTGTTTCTTTATATTTATATTTTTATGCAAATAAAAGTGAAACAGCAGCATTTGTGACTCCCAAGTTACTTTAACAGGGAGGGTATCAGGAAAGGTGAGATCTGATTTTCACCTAAGACTTAGCAGTAGGACTCTTTCCACTGAAAGACTAGGCTGATAAAGACCCAGATCCTGCTAGATCTAGTTGAAGGAACTAAAGTATAATTCCATATGGGTCTGGGGATTTAATTTTGGTTATGCAAGAAGAGAAATTAATTATCGATCAAGTGCTTCTTCGACCCTACCTGGTGTTCTTAGTTTACACTAGATGAGAATATCTCGTAAACTAAATCAGAAACTGCCAAAACTGCCAGAAGAGGATTGGAGATACAGACTTGTATTGGCAAAAACATTTGGATATTGTTCCTTGCCTTCTGTGAATGTATGCTCTAGACCTTAGATCACTTTAATATTTCCTTTTCTTAAGTCTCCAATGGAGATGTTACTGGGCCCGCTCGAGCAAATCGATGAACAACGGGAGGACAGTGACAGTGACAATGTAGTTATTAAAAAAAATTTAAAAAGCATTAATTTGGCAATTGGTAATACACTCAGTAAATTTATTTGTTGAATGGATCCCAACATGTTGGTAGAGTTCTCTGAAGATAAAGAATTTTGTATATATGTTTATAAAATGTAACTTGTTTTCTTCTTACTAGTTTGTATTTCTCTAACAGTGCATTATTTCTCATTAAATCCTTGTATCATTAGACACAGGTAGTAGATACAAAAACTATCTTTGTTAGTATACCGTTGTATATCATATTACAGAAATTGCTTAGAATTCTGTTATTGTACTGATTTGCTCTTTAGTCACTTTTTTTCTGAATGGCATTTCTTATTCATGTTTTATATATTCCACTGTGGAATGAATCTGTTTGAAGCTAAATTTTTACTTCCTCAAGCATATCAGTGTAATGGGGCTTTTAAATTATAGGTGGGTTACAAACTTCTTTTGAGTCTTTTATTCTTGATACAAAGTTAAGAATATTACCTATTCTAGTAGTAGTGATTCAAGTCTGGGGGGACTTGATTAGGTAATTTTGGATTTTAATCCAGTTTTTAGAAATTTGTTATAGAAAACTTGTTAGCCATTACTGTTTAGAGTCATATATCATGGGTCTTTTGCTCAGGAGATATTTATTAACTGATGGTTAATTGTTTCTAATAGGAACAAGAGTTTGTACAGAAGCAACAACAAGAATTGGATGGCTCTCTGAAAAAGATCATCCAACAGCAGAAGGCAGAGTTAGCCAATATTGAAAGAGAGTGTCTGAATAATAAACAACAGCTCATGAGAGGTATGTGAAATTATGTATATGAAAAGTATACATACTTTTAAAAATTGCTGCAAATACCTTGGAAATTATTTGAATGTGCTATTTGAGTGCTAGAGGGAAAGTTAAATTGAGGTTAAATAAGGGGAGAAATTTATAAAAATTACAAAATACTGCAAGATGCAGAATTCCTTTAGGGACTCTGAAATAGTGGTGTTGGAATGTTGTCTACAGAAAACCCTATCATTAACAGTATTTTAAATAAGGGTGCTTCAAATAAAATTTTTTATAAAAAGACCTCTTTTTGTGGGCCAGGGTTGTGACTCAGCAGTAAAGTGCATGATTTGTAACAAAAGAGACCTGGGTTCCATCCTTGGCACACCAAAGAGGAAAAACCCATCTTTTTATCCAGATTATACTAGAAAAATACCTGAATGCTTTAATTACTTAAGTGCCTTTATAATGAAAGGATTTTGCTAGTGGGCATGGGACAGTCTCTGTTTATAACTTCAAGCAGGATGGAGGATGGTAGTAGTTCTTTAGATTGCTGATATTTCATTTATAGTTCAGAGTGCAGTGTGTAGAACACCAGAGAGTATTAAAGAAAAGAGCAAAGTGTGATTTTTGTAAATTGCTTTCTTGTAGCCCGAGAAGCTGCGATTTGGGAACTGGAAGAGCGACACTTACAAGAAAAACACCAGCTGCTCAAACAGCAACTTAAAGATCAGTATTTCATGCAAAGACATCAACTTCTTAAGCGCCATGAGAAGGTCAGTAAAGGAAAATTGATTCACTTGTTGGGTAGCTTTTTTAAGTTTGAAAAGCTACTTTTGAAACATTGTTAAAAGAATAATGATACATATTATTTTTTAAGTTGTAGACCCGAGTTTGCCCAGCAAGCTACCGAGAGTATCCCGCCCCACGGCAGAGCCTGGCAAGCTCCCCGTGACGTGTTCGATATGCCAAATAGAGTAACAACAAGTCTCACAATGGAGACGTTACTGGTGCCCGCTCGAGAAAATCGATGAACAATGGGAGGACAGTGCTGTAGTGCTAGAATTAGTTTATAATTTTGTATATAGGTTTCAGGGGTACGGTTTCTCACGTCAGCAGTTGTGTAGCATCCCCCACCCAGTGTCCATCACCATCTACTGCCAACCAGTGAACTCAGTGGTACTTACCTGTACCGTGTTCTGTTCTCCTCTAGTAATAACCAGAATTTCTGGATTTTCTTTCACCCCCAAATTTTTTTTGATGAAATTTGGAGTAGTTTTCTCTTGATCATGATTGCACTCTTTCTACAAATTCCAAGAGGGGTAATTATAATTCTTGAAGGCCTCATGTAGTATGATTTTCATCTTGTTTCTCAAATGTAGCTGTATAGTTTCCATTTTCCTGGACTTAGTAAAAGAGGGTTTTAATAAGAGACTCTTACTAGTAGCTTATTTTCCCCCAAAATTGGTTTTTTTTTTTTTAACTCAGTAGTTTGCTGTTTCATATGCAACAAGGGTGAGAGTAATTTCGGTTAACAGCAGCACCAGAGTGATATATTTGCATTTGTATGTGGGTACTTAGTATTAAGTTCTGTCTGCTTCACGGGGTTCTATTTAATATAAATTTTTTAGGAAACAGAACAAATGCAGCGTTATAATCAGCGACTGATCGAGGAATTGAAAAACAGACAGACTCAAGAAAGAGCAAGGTTGCCTAAGATTCAACGCAGTGAAGCCAAGACACGAATGGCCATGTTTAAGAAAAGTTTGAGAATTAACTCTACAGCCTCACCAGATCAGGACAGGGAAAAAATTAAGCAGGTATAGAAGCAACACTCTTCTCTTTTATGTGCAAATGTTTTTTAATGACCTTCAAAAGTGCCACATAGGGGCAGGAAAGGGAGAGGGAGGGGGAGGAGGAGGGGAGGGGGAGAACAGGTGATCTGGTTTGATCCCCAGTACCACAGGTTTCTCCCAGGCACTTCGGAGTGTGGCTCTGGAGGCCCTGAGGGCTTATCAGTGTTCGTTTTCACCTGTGGGCTGGGGCTGGGACTGGATGTAGGGCATGTGCCAGCTTAGTCTTCCCAGCTCTTGGAACGTCTTTTTAGTCTTGCCTTCACAGAGGACAAAGTGTACCAGATTTGGGGCTAGGTTAGTGCTAAGAACTGCTCTGGGAGTGAGATGACTTGGAGAGCTCACTAATTCAAAACACAACCTCACTGTACTTTACAATCCCACATCCCAAAGGCGGGATCCCAAACTGAGGTCACCGAAGAGATAGGAAGAATGTGGTGATCAGAACTTCCGCTTTCCCCACCAAAGCCGCCGTGTAGACTCCAGCTTTGAATCACAGCATGTTATTACTTGCAGCTCTAGTTCATTGTGCTTCAAGTTTGTTAAATTCCTTAATTACACCTTTGGAAGACGCAGAAATTACATGCTTGTTAACCATATTTATCTTTCTTTCTTATTTGTAGTTTGCTGCTCAAGAAGAGAAGAGGCAGAAAAATGAGAGAATGGCTCAGCATCAAAAACACGAAAATCAGATGCGGGATCTCCAGTTGCAGTGTGAAGCCAATGTCCGAGAGCTGCATCAGCTGCAGGTTGTGATAAAGTCACAGGAGGCCAGGCGGGGACGGGGAGAGGGGCCCCGGAGGCTGGGCATGAGAAAGTCAGAGCCGACCAGAGTTAACTCTGTTTTCCTCTTAGAAGTGCTGGACTGAAAGGTTCTGTTTTTTGTGTAGACCTAAGTGAAGATTAGTGTATTATTGTTAGCACTTGTTTAAATTCTTATATAGCCCTTACCAACAAACATGAAGTTAAGTTACAATCCAAGAAGGAAAGTCTTTCAAAAGCCTTACTGAGAATCTCTAATATATATGTATTTTTGCAAAAACCAAAAAAGTAATGGCAGGCAGCTATGTTATCATTCTGAATTTAAAATATTTTTCATTTCATTTGGAGGGAATAGCCATTTCAAAGTTTTTGAGAAAAGTGGCAGACTAAAAACATGAAGTGTTTTCTTGTGGGACATTTCAAGGTTTCTTTAGAGATAGCTATTTAGCTAGAGTATGTAGCCCATCTAATTTCAGGGTATATCTTTTGTCTACTCTCTATTTGCTTCATTTACTAGAGTAGCATGATTGCTGAGCCTACACTCTGGTACTGATGAAAAATACATGTACGATGCCCTCTGAAATGTCAATTATATGAGAAAACTTCAGAAAGAAAAATTAGGATCAGACTCATTCAAGTTTTTTAAATTCAGTGACAGCTCTGTCTTCTAAACTTAGAAAATTGAGACTCTTGCTTACTTCATAATTTTTTTGTTCTTCCTTTTTTAGAGGAGAATTTGGGCTTCAGTAATAGCTTGGTGTTTAATGTGTAACTTATTTTCTTGCAGGGTAATTTTATTTGTGAAAGTTACTTAGTTAATCTGAAGTTGTTTTTTTTTATTCCAAACTTTATTTGCAGAATGAAAAATGCCACCTATTGGTTGAGCATGAGACTCAGAAACTGAAGGAATTAGATGAGGAACACAGCCAAGAATTAAAGGAATGGAGAGAGAAATTGAGACCTAGGAAAAAGGTAAATTTAAAAGCTCTAATTAAAATATAATATTTTCATGTATCCATTTCCCTAGCTATTATCTCTTGATTTGATACAATAAGGAGTTAGAGACTGGCCATTCAAAAGTGAAGAGACTGGCTGGAGCCATAGTAGGGTAGGGTGCTTGCCTTACACGTGGCCAACCCTGGGTTTAATCCCAAGCATCACCAGGAGTGATTCAAGAGTTTGGAATCAGGAGTAAGCCTTGAACACTGTTGGGTGTGGCCCCCAAGCTGAAAATAAATAAATAAAAAGACAAAATGTTTGTCACCAAAATGTTTGGAATGTAATGTGATGAAGTTAGGGTTAGTAGGACTGAAGGAGATAAGTAGAAAATATAGAGGGGGGTAGCGCACAGACAAGAAAAGGAGCTCAATCTGCCTGGACAAGTCAGGGAAGCTGCAAGGAGGAGATGCGGGGTAAGCCAAGTGAGGCTCGAGGGATGAGTAAGAGCTTGCTCAGCAGACAGACTGGGGTGTGATGGGACAGTTAGGACAAGAGAATGAGCGAAAATGATGCGCATGGGAATCATAAGTAGTTCCATATCTTGGAAACGGAAGTGTGTGCTCTAGGTAGGGATCGGTAGGGAAAGAAGGAAGGAAGTGAGGCTGCTTAGTCTGGAGAAGTTGACTGGAACCAGATTACAAAGCCTCCGATGCTGTTTACGTTGGCACTCTAGTAAAGTAGGAGTGGCTTCCCTCCCCTGTCCATCCAGCTATCTTCCTTCTTGTGCTTTATTCTCTACCATCAACTCTGTTTTTGCTATCGCTATATCATCCTTCTCCTTAGTAAGTCAACCTTAAACCTTTATTTTCTCTTTGGCTTCCAGCCTCCTGTAATCATTTCACCATTTCCTTCCATTCATCCGATCAGTAAGAAAACACTGCATTTGAGTACATAACTGGGACAGATTTTATGCCAAGTTATTTATTTTTTGCAAAAAAAAAAAGTGGGATGTGACTGTTAAATAATGCTTTCATTTAAATTTTTACTGTAGTAGTACTGCTCTTTATTCAGTCATTGATTAAGGGTAAAGGTAAAGGCCCTCCCGTTGATCATCGATTTGCTCGAGCGGGCCCAGTAACGTCTCCATTGGAGACTTTGTTGTTACTGTGTCTGGCATATCGAATACTCTTGGTAGCTTGCCGGACTCTCCGAGAGGGGCGGAGGAATCGAACTCGGGTCGGCCATGTTGGCCGCTTGTAAGGCGAATGCCCTACCGCTGAGCTATCGCTCCAGCGATTGATTAAGTCATTGATTAAGCTGATTGAATTGGGCATGAACTTCACATTACTTTTTTTATTCAGAATGTTAATTTTTTTTGTTATTTTATTATTACTTTCCCCCCTTTTTATTGATTCACCGCGAGATACAGTTACAAAGCTTTCATGTTTAAGCTTCGGTCATACAATCATCAAGCACCCATCCCTTCACCAGTGCACATTTACCACTACCAAAATCCCCAGTATTCCCCCTCCTGCCCCCGTCCCTTGTTCCAACCCTTCCCCTGCCTGTGTGGCAGGCAGTTTCCCCCATACTCTCTCTGCTTTGGTTACATTCGATATTCTGACACCAGTCCCACCTCCAACTCAAACATGCCGAAAAGGCAATGCTAGATGATTTGTTTTATAAGGCTTGTTATTGATAGAATAGAATGTCCAGGAAGTTCTGTGTCGTTCTTTTCTGGGAGCTTTAGTTTATAGTCTCTAGGTCTTGGCTGTTGATAAGATTACATGGCACCAGGGGCAGTTTGTGGCTATGACTGCCAAGCTACTGGAAAACTGGGAAACTGGGGACATGGGGGAATGATCCAAGTTGGCTTGGAGATCTCAGTCACGGGTTTCCACATACCTGGGTTTTCCTGCCAGTCCTCTCTTTGGTGAGGTTCATCCTGTCTTGGATGAGCCTTGTCTCCTCTTGGGTGAGGCTCGTCCAAGTATGTGGAGAGTGGCTGTGAGCATGGCGGTGGTTGGGTTCTGGAGGTTTTCGGCTGCCAGGGTTCTGCTTGGGGTAGGGAGGAAAACTTCAACCTGCCCCCCTACAAGGTACCCTGGTGAAGACAGCCTGGTGCGGGGTCAGGATATTCTGTATTGCTCTCTTCCGTGAGCTTTAGTTTATAGTCTCTGGGTCTTGGCCGTTGATGACATTACCTGGGAGTGGGAGGGAGTTTGTGGGTGTGACTGCCAAGCTACTGGAAAACAGGGGACCTGGGGGGAGGAGGCCCAGTCCTGATCCAAGTGGGCTTGAGATCTTAGTCAGGTTCCTGCTTACTTCTGCGCTACTGGCCCTAACTGCATCTTTTGATCTCTTTCAAGATTTATGGGTCTCTGAAATAAGGCCAGTAAATGAGCTTATATAGCTGAGCTGGAAGTGACTTGTGGGTGTGGCTCCCACATACCTGACTATTGACCATTTAATTTCTTGATGAACTTGGCCCCAAGTTGTTGGGGTCTGGCTAGAGGCACAGCATCAATGTTGGGGTATCTGGAACTCTGAAGGCACCATCAGGCTGCTGATGCACTCTCCCTACAGGTACAAGTTGACCTGCTGGTAGCACCATACCCCTCTAAATGATGATTTTAGGAAGTACTTTTTGTTGTTTCTTTTGGCTACTGTTAATCAAAATTAGTGCAACAATTGTGTAGTGGCAACAATTATTCAGCGAAATAGGGTAATGTGTTTAGCACTTCCTTGTACTAATGATTTCTAGAGGAGGTGAAAAAACCCAAGTCAGTTGTCAGGGTGACTTTTTCATTTAAATATCATTAATTGTTATTTTCCGACCATTTCTGAATAGGTAGGTACATATATGTTCAGAATTTCAAATTCTTGTACCTTTCTCCTGTTTCTTTTTTAAATCTTTGTAGCTTAGCTTTTACCTCAGTCTCCCTGGTTGAACTTTTTGGATTTTTAAAGGCAGGCTCCTAAATAGTCCTCATGAGACTTGGGGGCCACTCCCAGCAGTGTGGACCCGATATTTTGGTGCTTGGGCCAGGCAACACGATGCTGCTCAGACCCAATGGTACGTGGGATCCTCAGGGCCATGCCTGCTCTGGGACACCACGGCCGCCCTGCAGCTGTTCAGAAGGGAGTCGACTGTGTGGTGCAAGGGATTGAACTCACGTGTTCTGCCACTTCAGTCCTATTCCTGGTCCCCTGGTTGAACTTTCTGACACTAGAGTCACAAGAGTTACTAATAAGAACATAGCATCATCCAAGTATTCTGGTTAAGAATCTTGTTTGGGCACTTGTTATACCCCTGGGGAGGTATATGGTTCCACACAGATTTTACTAGTATTTGTTCTATGTCCTTGAAAAATGTCATTGGAGTTTTGAAAGGAATTGCTCTGGCTAGAATGGATAGTGATTTTTAACATGTCAGTTATTCTAAGCCATGAACATGAAATACTTTTTCATTTCCTTGTGTCCTCTTGGATTTCTTTAGTGACTTGGTTTTTAGTTTATGTTTTTCACCTCCTCTGTTGATTCCTAGGTACTTGATGTTTTTAGACACAATTGCACAAGGGTTGTTTTTTAAAGAAAAACATTCTTCAGGTTCATTATCTGCATATAGAAATGCAGCAGATTTTTGTGAATGGATTTTGTAGTCTGCTACTTTATTGTTTCTAAAAAAATTTAGGTGGGATCTTCAGAATTTTCTTGTGTATATTATGTTATCTGAAAATAGTGATAGTAACTACTTCTTTTTCTAATTTGAATCCCTTTAAAGATAATTCCAAATTCTGGGTTCAGATCTCAGTGGTAAACGCTGAATAATTTTATCACTTAGTATTTCTGAACCTAGTTTTTCTCACTTGTAAATAAGGATGATGTTACCAGGTTAGGGGTATTGAAAGAAGTGATGTGTTTATAGTGCTTGTCCTAGTACTGAGCTAGGATCAGAGTTCAATAAATGGTTGCTATTGCTATTAATTGTTGTTTTTATAACTGTTGGTGTTTTATAACTGTTTTATGTTCTAAGCTCCCATTTTCTATCTGCTATTCCATTTTTTAAAATTTTTGTTCAAGCTTCTGTTCTAATAGAATTTCATCAAAGATTTATTTCTCTATATATCTTTGGATAAAAATTGTCTATACCCAGCCCTCTTAAATATATATATGTAACATAATAAGCCTCCTTGCCCTCCTCAAGCATCTTTTTATCTTTTAAAATTCTTTTATAACATTTATCACCACTAGACATAATTGTTTATTGTTCTATTCTTTCACAAAACTGTAAGCTCCTAGAAAGCAGGGACAGTATCTCTGTTCACTGCTAGGAGAAATTAGACTCAGTTTCCATAACAGTTCCTGGCACATTAGAAAGGATCATTACATGCCTGTTGAATGTTGACTGTAGAAAATAAACTCATTGGAGATAAAAGTTAAACTCAGCATGGTATTTCCCTGGTTTCCATCTCACTTTCCATCCTTTCTTCACTTCCAACCACAACAGATGCTCATCCCAATAACTCTCCACTAATAAATAGGCAACAAGCCTGAATTTTTATTTCCATCACACACCACATTGAAGCAGATAATAACATTAACCTTCTCATAATATTCCTTTTTCCTGTCTATACATCTTACTGTTGTGTGAAATTTTTCAGTACTATTCTAATGGGTCTTCAGAACCCCCGCTCCCTTTACTTTCTTCCTTCTTGCCTGCTAGCTCCAGAGTAATTATCCTTGAATGCCCTAGATATTACAGTATTGCAGAATTAGATTCTGTTATATAGGAAAATTAACTGATTGCTGTAAGTTTGAAGTCTTCATAATACAACACTTTGGCAACAGTCAACCTTCCTAGCTTGACTAGCCCATGTTGAGTTCATGATTCCGTATTGGATACAGTGAGCACTATTCGTAGCAACTCAGTAATTGCCTGCCTTGTATTATTTCAGCTCCCCCTGTCAGGCATGCTTCCTGCCTCCCACCAATCAAGTCCTTGTCTTTCCTTCAAGACCAGCTCATATTTCACCTTGCCTGAGTGACCTTTTTGTGTCCACCCTCCCTTTGTACTTCATAGAAACACTTATTTTCTCTGAATTGCTTATCCATCAAGTTGTTGATATCTCAGATATTTATTACATCTTATGACATTTTCTCTATTGTGGGGCTATAAATCTGAATCTGTTTTAGTTTTTACCCTTACAAACAGTTTAAATTCAGTGTTGAAGAAAAGAAATACACATCAATAATCAAAAAATAGAAAATACCAAGTTTTTGTCTGAGAGGGACAAAGATACTGTTAGTAAAAGTTGTTGGCTGAGTGCCTGCTGTGTGTTACAAGTATGCTTACCACATTTAATTCTTGCACAGAAAGCCTGTGAGGTGAGGGGCCTGAACCTCATCCTGCTCATTGAGTAGGATGCTTGCTTTGCACACAACTGACCCACGTTCCATTCCTTCTACCCCACATGGTAACTGAGCCTGCCAGGAGTGACCCCCGAAGGCAGAGCCAGGAGTAAGCCCTGAGCATTGCCGGGTGTGGCCCCAAAGCCCCAAACAAACAAAAAATAGTGATGTAGTTAGTCTTTTCACTACTCTACACAGAAGAGTAAATGATTCTGTAATTCACCCACATATGGCTGAGACAAAACGAAGTCAGGGCACTGCAGCCTGTACTCCTCCAGAGCAGTTTGGTCGCCTTTAGGGTAATATTCGAAGTGTTTTGGGCAAATTGTTTGTTTGTTTGTTTGTTTTTGCTGTCAAAGTAAATTCTCTTTGTAATACCAGAACATAATTTCTTTTTTTTCTTTTCCTTTCTAAGACACTGGAAGAAGAGTTTGCCAGGAAGCTGCAGGAGCAGGAAGTTTTCTTTAAGATGACGGGGGAGTCTGAATGCCTTAACCCGTCGACCCAGAGTCGGATTTCCAAATTTTACCCAATTCCTAGTTTGCATTCCACAGGATCTTAACAGTGGGAAAGCCTCTGCTGTTGGGTTTGGCTTTTAGAAGATGCCATTCTATCCTTCTCTTCTGCCAGGGTCTGTGTCCGAGAGCTCCTGAAGACAATCACCTGCTCACCTTCTGGGGGCTTTTCTGTTGGTCTCGTTTGTTTAGTGAAATAAAGAGAAAGGAACTGAGATAACTGAGACAGATGCTGGGTGGTTGGCAGAGAAGCATCTTGTGGTAATTCCCCAAGGTGATTTTGTATATTTAATCTTAAAAATTGTTTTTCTTAGAGACTGTTACCTAAAAAACTTTAGAGATGCAATGTTTAAAGTTATTTAAAGAGAACTGTTACATTACTAAGTATCTTTTTACCTAACTTCAATGATACCTAAGTTCTGTATTTTTTGAAACTCTGCTGTAGAGAGTTGGACTAATTTCCTTGGTGAATCAGCTCTCGTTTAAAAAAAAATCCATGAGTTGCGCAAAATATGAAAATTATTCAATAAATAAGTAAGTTTCATCTTTAGCAACAGACTCTTTTGAAAGAGAAAATTTTCAATAATGTGTCTAAAATAACTACCTGGTTAGATATGAGCTATAATTAAAGGTGCTAGTTTTATTAAGATAGTACCTACAACACTAAATTTCAGCTGAGTTTAAAATAGAATTTTCTCTTGATCCAACAGGGGCAGAACCCTCTTGCATTAAGCATTGTCTTTTTAAGAATCTCCTGTTACCAGCTGATAGAAATTTCATCCAAAAACATATGTTGTTCAGAGTTGGAGAGATGAACAAGTAAAGGGTGTTTTAAGTCTCCAGATTGGAAACAAAAGACTTACCAAATTGAAAGTAACTCAGATCTAACTGTCCCAACTGACTTTCCCAAATATTATCTGATTTGGTTAAATGACATCTCCCCATCTTAGGAGATTTGCAAAACATTGTCAGAGGCCTATAGACTCTGGGTTATATTTATAAATATATTTTCTGAAAATAATTGTAAAAGAGCATTTGTTCAGAATCCTTTAAAATTTTTCTTTAATTAGGCAAATGTGAGAAATAACTTTTTGTTTGTTATACAATAAAATCCTTTATATTTGGTTTGGTTTTGTTCATGTTTAAATTATTTACTTTGATATGACTGGGAAAAGCCTGAAACCTTCCTGTGATGCTTACATGTGAAATCATTAATGAAATGTTCACTCTTAGCTTCTTTCTGAGGCTTAGGATTTTAAACAGTCAGGTCAAACAGTATTATAAACTACCCTCTGATGTGTGAGACAGCTCACTTTTAAGTGATTTTTTTGCTGCCTGCCGTTTGCAACCTATCCTCTTGGAGAGTTCTAGGTCCCACATTGTATACATTTGTTTTTATCTTTATTACATTGGAGGCTGGTGAGAAGTTTAAATATAAGTTTGTGGGAACACTGATTCATATTAAGAAGATGTAAATATCTGCACTTTCATGCAGTTAATTGAAAACTTTGGATGCTGAACCTTCCTATTTTTGTCAGTGGTTTAAATGATTTTAAGATGCATGTGTGATTTTAATTTTGTAATTATCTTGACAAGCATAATTTACTTGGACAACTTTGTAGGTAGCCTTAACTTTTGGCCAAGTTTGGTTTTTAAATATAAATAAATATATATACATATATTATACATATACATGTATTATGTATGGTTGTATATTCAGACACTTATCACAATGTGTTGCTGTAAACGAAAACTCAATGCTTTATTCTCAGATGCTGGGTTGAAAATGTTTTGAAAGCCTTTTAAAATATATATCTTTATAAAGTAATATTCAGGATTATGATGAAAATTGTTTATATTATTATGGTAAAAATGGCAGTTGATGTTCTTCCCTGGTGTGTTTCAAGATTTGTTTTCAGAGGGCGAAAGGCAGAAGGCCTGCCACTGTCTCCTTGTGTTTGACATTCTCAGTATATTAGCTTTTTTAAATGAGTACTTCTAGGCAGTGGGCAATTTTTCAGCATCATTTCAGTGATACTCTGTGCTAATTGTGGCATATAATTAATTGGATTTGAATCTTTGATCCTCTTTTCTTCCTTTGAACTTGACATTCAGAGTACTGAATAAAGAAAACAGGCCCAAAGTAGAACAGCCGAGACTTTGGTAAGTTTATTTTACAGCTCTCCAAACTGGCCTGTGGACCCGGTGTTCATGCTTGAGTTCTCTTTCAACTACCACCGCATTCATATGGGTGCAGGATTACAAAAACGATACCTGTGTGGAGGTGACATACTCACTTTACTACTTAAAAGTTGCATAAATCTTTTTGAAAGATGTTTTGTTGTGGGCTATGCTGTGTAGTCCCTATTCTGGCCAACTTCTTGTCTTAGGTCCCTGTATTCAAATAGGTAATATCGTGATCTTTCTCTCTTGCATGAAGTGTACATGGGAGTGGGGGAGGGGCACAGGCGTCTCTGAAATCAAAGCATACAGTCAGATTCATTCCGGATTTGGTGGTTTTGTTGTGATGGCAGAATGTGCTACGAAATGCATAGAAGAAACTCCCTATGTGCATCCTCAACTGCTCAGCCTCCCTCTTCTCCTGTGTGCTATGAATCCACCAGGCCGCCAGATTCTGCAGGTCAAGCTCCCAGAGCATTTGCACCAGGTTGCCTTTCCTTGTCCTGTCAGTCCATAACTGGGTGTGAATTGATGAATTAGCTGCTATTCTATGTGGAGTCACAATTAAGCTTTCTCGTACCCTTTTCTATGGGGAAGCTATGGGGTGGGTAAGGAGGAAATTTAGAGTGCTTATACTTTGCTGACTATTAGAACTGTCCTGTGACAGGATTCAGCAAATTGTAATTAAATACAGACCAGAACCAGAGCTACCTCTAAGTAGTGTTTCCTCAAGCACAAAGCTCTCAGGCATACAAGACCCACTTTAATGGAGGGTCTCTGATTTCTTGAGCATCAGCGAGTTTCGAAGTGACTGTCTTTTTGTATTCTTCTAGTCCCTTGTAACTACACACTTTCCCCCATTCCACACTGTGCTTAAATGACAAAGACTTCTGAGAAGCCAAAATCTGTCCAGTGATTAGCTAGAGATATTGTCAATTAAAGGAAAACTGAGAACTGAGGTGGAAGAGGTGAGTTAGTTCCAGTTCTAACAGTCTTCTGATGAAATAAATCAATTCTTTTTTTTTTTTACCCTTCCTGGAAGAAACACCTTTTATAGGAAATGGGATATTTTAAATGCTTTTCTTAAGTTGAAAGTCCAACAGTTAATGCCTCTCTTGTTGCCATTCTGTGTCAGACATGGTTTGATATAGCTTTAAATTCTGTGCTACTAAGCTTGAGTTAGAATTTACACCAGTTTTAAATGTTGGCTGCAGCTTCTGTGATCCTTCTCTGATACGCAATGTAATAATCTCACAAGCTCAATTTTCAGAAAGTATTTTGTTTCAAACTATGCCTCTTGTTCTATTTGGGAGCAACATGCCTTTTCAATCACGGGGTTGACAAATGAAAAATAAAGCTATTTCTTAATCTATTCTGGCAATCTGTCTTTTATTGAGAATCTTTGAAATTAGATTGTCTCAGGTGAGAACATTTTGTATCTTTTCTGGTGTCCCAGTTACAGGTTCAAACTAGCAGTCCTCCAAATTTTCTGATTCCTTTCCAACTAATTGGTGTTCGTTGTCAACTGTACTTAGACATACACCAGTGCATTTTTTGCTGGGAAGTAGGGGGGGGGTGTCTTTCGGTATGCAAATCCCTTCTTTAGGAGGGAATTCAGACTTTTCCACCATCATATTTGTGTGCACATGTTTTTATTTTCTTTTTCCCCTTTCAATGGGTTATTTTCTGGCCCAGTGTTTCATAAATGATATGCCCTCTCTTCTGCTAAAAATAACCTCTTTACATCATCCATGTGCTCACGCAGGATTCAGGAGACTAGGCAGCAGCGTTTGGCAAGTGGTCAAGTTGGCTGGAGGGAGGCAGAGCACGTCACTTTCTAATCTAGGAGAGTTGCCCATGGTTGAGCTCATTCTAGACCTTTTTTTTTTAATGAAACAAAAGAGGCTCAGAGTCATCGCTGTCCCACTCAGGACCTAACTTTTAACTGGCCATTCTCTTGCTGGGTTCTGGCCAGGGATGGCAGCAGTTTTAGACTTCTAGCCTTTTAAAAATTCTCACAGAGCTCTATGAGGGCATTGGGATAACTTAGAAAGGTGGTTAACTAGGGGGAAAACTCATGTTTGATTAATCAGGATTAATCAGTATTCCTCTAATGGATCCTGATTAATTAAAGGGATACAACACTTGTGTTTGTAAAGCTACTAGTATAAAATTAAATGGATTTAGCCTTCTAATAAAACTATAAGCTATTTAAAAGGCGCAGTGAGGTATTCATTATATGCAATCCATTTTCATTAGTTTTTTTTTTTTTAAATCACTTGGAATGGGAAGGCCCTGACCCCTGTTTTGGAACTCCAAGCTGAGTCATAGCAGTAGCTGTCAGACCTGGTGAAGGAGACGGGCTGTGTAGCATGCTCAGAGCTTGACTGTTTAACTGCTTGGTGCAGTGAAAACAAATGGTGTCTTTATCTAGGGATGATATGCAAAATCCTTAATGAGGTGGAAAAGTCTTTTAGAAGAGTAGAAATAGAATTTTTTCCACCAAGTAGAAATGGATTTAATTTAATCCCATTTAAAAGTATCCAGCAGCTGAGTCACAGCTTGTAATAAGTTCACGAATTTGCCACTTTACTGTACATTTCTGTGGGGCATATGATACTGGTGTATTTTTCCTTAATAATGATTTTGGCTCTCACATATCATTACTTGTCCTACAATCATGACTCCTTTGCCCCGGATAAATGATTATATTAATTGCCAATAATCTTGTTGCTTGTCTGTTGCATGTGTGTTTGTTTCAAGTAACTGTCCCTTGGGGGAACCTTCAGATGCTTTGTCATATGCCTCAGTGAGAGAGTAGTTGCTGATAGACATCTGTCTTTGAAGAGCTCGGTGATTAAACGAGGTGCCAGAAACTATGTCTTAGAACCAGTTTTGTTTTCTTCTGTTGGTAGCAATGTTAGAGACAAACCCACCAAACCCCAGATAGTCCTTTCATTTTTACTGTGGCTAGACAGAGCCCCGTAAAACAGAACATTAAAAAAGAAAGAGATTTTATTGGAAACTTTACATTTGAAATGACTTTCCATCTAACAGACCACATGAATGTTTTCAGACATTGAAAGTGCTTAGAAACCAACTGCATGCGGTGCGGCCTGCCATTTCCCAAGTGCGGAAAGTGGGGTCATCTTCCCCGGCCTCAGGTCCCTGATCTCCTTCCCTGCCTGGACTTCCTGCCCGTTGCTGCTTTCCTGTCTGCTGCAGTCTAGTTTAGGCGTAGCTGTTGTAAACTCTAGCACGGACCTATCAACAAAGATTGTAGCTACAATCCAACTCCTTAAGCATTTGGAAATACGAAACGCAGCAAGAAACAGCTATTAAAACCCTGCCACCACCCTCTGGGGAAGTGAATTACTTAATTTTTTCAGTTGCAAGAGTTGCTGCTTAGCCAACTCTTTTCTGTGACTGAAAGAGTGCAGAATGGGAAGCGGGAGCTTGAGAGCACAGCCTTGCAGCATGAAAGGGAATGCCCCACCCTCCGCCACCCCCCACCCCCCACCCCTCAGGAAGGCCCCCCCCATCTCCACTTCCTGGATTCATTTCTAGGCAAAGCTGAAGGTCTTGACTGGACTTTTATGTCACCGGCTTTCCTAGGTTGGGGCTTGAACTGTGTTGAAAGAAGCCCAGCTGTGCAGCATCAAGAGAGCTGAGAAACAAACCAGTTTTTCAGCCTTCCGGGTAAAGCTGCTTCAGGTGTTCTCAAATCTCTCTGATAAATACGCATATCCCTCCAAACTCAAACAGGGGTTCTGTGTGGTCTCAGGAGGACACTGACAAACTCAAGCCTCCACCCCGCTGGAGAGATTCTGCCGGAAGTGCTGTGGCTGCTGTAAGAATTGATCCAGGGTCTGGTTCTGCCAAGGGCAGCTCATGGCTTAAGGGCAATACTTCTCCGTTTTCTCCCAGAGTAGACCTGGTCACCTGAAAGATGAAGGACGAAGTTAAAACCTTGGGCAAACACGGCAACTGTGACCACTGCAGAACTGGTTTGAAGGATGCCCTCTCCTGAAAGAACCGACCAACTTCGAGCCCCATTTTTATTACATTTATTACTGATTTTCCTTGTCTTCCTTACACTGGGCACTTCCTTTCTACCGGGCTGCATGTGAGACAGCAGATCAAACTGCCATGGCTAGAGGCTGCCCTTAGTGACTGGGATCATCTGCCTGAGAATCTGGACTTGCTCTGGGACAAGCTGCCTATTGTCTGTTCAACACAGACTCCCCAGCCCTGTGACACCATGGCCGCCCAGGCTTACCTTTGTCCCCTTTTTCTCCCTTGTACCCTCGAGGGCCGGGTGGCCCAGGCCGGCCAGGTGGCCCTGCAAGGCCCCTCTCACCTAGGAGGACAGAGGGGACACGTTTAGAAACTCTGAGTGGGCAGCAGTGCCCAATGCCCAGCACAGGACGGGCATGGAACTGCTCTCCTTCCAGCACGAGGTTGGCGGTGTCAGCATCTGCTACCACTTACCTTGGGGTCCTCGGCTGCCCACCTCTCCCTTCTGCCCGGGGGGTCCTGGAATGGCTCCATAAGCTGCAAGGAGGACAAAAGCTTGCCTCAGTCTTTTTTTTTTTTTTTTTTTTTTAGTGGGGATGGGGAGGTCACATCCAGCCTTGCTCAGGAATTACTCCTGGTGGTGCAGTCCTCAGGGGAACATATGGAGTGTTCGAGGACGACACCTGGGTTATAGATTGCTCGTAAGGCAAGCGCCCTACCTGCTGCCCACTGCCCTATTGCCCCAACCCTAGCTTGCCTCAGTCTTGAGATTCCCCCTGACACTTGGGGGATCGAATGATTCGCCCCAATCCAAGGATTGGCGGGAGGGGAGTTTGGACTTGCAAGAGAAACCCCAGAGTTTGAAACTGATCGGCCTCTCAGCCTTTGAGCTGAGAAATCAGGAGGCATTTGGGGGCACAGGTTCCTACGGCAGGCAGGGGGTACAGGGCACACAATCTGGGTGCATCCTTACTTCGGAAAAAGTCCATGAGATCCGCAGTCACGTTGCCATAGGCAGAGAAGACTTTGCTGACGCCAGGGGGGCCCTGAGGTCCGGGACGGCCAGGTGGGCCCTGGACAGTGTATGCCAACCCCTGTAGGAGCCCCTGACCTGTGGAACACGGAGGGGTGGTCACAGGAAGTGGGGACTGCTGGGCATCCTCTTCCCGGGGGCCCAGGGATGCTGCCATCAGAGGCGGTGAAAGCGGGAGCAGAGGCCCCGCATTGGGCCCACGCGGGGCTGCCCCAGGCGGGCTTCACCCTTCGGGGCCAGCCACGCTCCCACTGTCCCCGCAGAAACCCCGCAAACGGCCGTTCCGGGGCCCCGACCCAGTGAGGTGGGGCGCAGGGTCACGCCCTGACTGCAGCCCCCTCGTCCCGCGCCCACACTCACGCTGCAGACTCTCGGACACCCGCACGGCCAGCTTGTTGTAGTCCAAGCCTCCCCGGTAGGCGGCCCCGAACCCGGCCATCTCGCCGCCATACAAGGCGCCCTCATCGCCCAGGAGGCCGCTGCTGGTCCCCCCAACACCCATGGACGAGCTGTAGGACGAGTCGCTACTGGAGGAGGACGACCTGCTGCTGCGGCTGTAGGAGTTCTCTAGGGACTCCAGGCGACTGTCGCCCGGGGGACCCTGGGGCCCCGGTGGGCCTGGAGGGCCGATGATGAAGCTGCGCACATCCGGACCTGGGAGGGGCGGGGATGGAGCGGTGTCACTGGGCGCCCGGGATGGTTGGGGGCGGCCAGGAGGGTCTGTGCCAGGCACAGGCACCGTCGGTGGGGGGGCACCTACTGGTGAGGTAGCTGATGAGTTCGCTGCGGAAGCTGTCGCTGTTCTCAGCCGCGTATGAGGACAGGGCTCCTGAGACACCCTGTGGCCCACGGGGTCCGGGGGGGCCAGGGGGACCTGGCGGGCCCGGGGGGCCTGGGATGGACGACACGCCGGCGCCTGAGACGAGGCAGAGAATGCAGTCAGGATGCAACCAAGGGGCATGGCCGGTGGCCCAGGCTTGTCCGCATGGGGAGTGATGGCACTACTGACGGCTGCCCCGCCCCCAATTCTGGGCATTGCATAGTCCCGCCCCTCATCCCCACTGGCTCCTGAGTTCCCCCAGCACCCTTGGGAGTGCTGCCCCCAATACCCCCAGGGCAGGTGACCCAGAAGGATGAGGTGCCTCGGCTCAGGGCCCCAGCCCCGCCCCCTGCCCCAGACCTACTTTGCAGGTAAGATGAGAGATCTTCTGCACTGAGACTGGACCACGCACCGCCTGGGAGCCCTGGGGGTCCCGGGGGTCCCGGGGGTCCAACAATGCCTCTGTATTCCGACCCTGGCACCAAGGCAGAGCAGAGTCAGTTAAGGCTGTCTGGGGGTGGGGGAGAGGGAAGGGGGAGGGGGATCTGCCTTCCCGCTCTGCACAACACACCCCTGCCTCACCTCGGAGCAAGGAGATAAGCTCCTCATAGGATGTTCCTGGCAAGCCAGGGGGCCCCGGGGGTCCAGGAAGTCCGATGCTGACTCCAGAACCTGAGGAACAAAGCCCCCGGTGCCGGCGCGTGAGGGAGGGGCTGGGAGTGGCCGCTAGAGAGCAGGCCCGGCAAGCCCCGGGCAGCAGAAGACTGGGGGCCATCCAGGCGGGGTCCCCCAGCCCTCCAAGAGAAGAGGAAAGGCGCCCTGTGTGTATCCTGCTGGGCATGTTCCTGCACGGGCCTGTGTGCATGTGTGTGCACGTGAATGTCTGCACATGAAGGTGTGTGTATATGTGTGTGAATGTGTGTGTGGATGTGTATGTAGACGTGTGTGAATGTGTGTATGAATGTGTGTGAATGTGTGAGTGTGTGAATGTGTGTATGAAGGTGTGTGAGTGTATGAATGTGTATGTGTGTGAACAGGTGTGTGTATGCGTGTGTGAATGTGCAGAGGGAAGTGTGCACATGTGGTGTGTGGCCCCGGAAGTGCACGAGTGTGTGAGTGTGTGCAGACGCTCACTGCGGCTTCCCTGACAGGGTCCTCGATTCGCACCCGCAGTGCTGCCCATCTTCCTCCCATCCCTGGCCCCGCACAGCTGGCTGCAGGGGTTCCTTGGGGGCCGCACACCCCCACCACACCCGTGTGCCCCGCACTCACTCGACATGTAGCTGAGGACGCGTCTGCTCAGCTCCCCGTAGTCCAGGGACTGGAGGGACCAGTCGCCGCCGCCGCCGGCCCCCGAGGAGCCCAGGAGCTGGCGCAGGTACTGACGTACATCGTCACCTGAAGAGAGAGGGGGTGCTAGTGGCTGCCCAGCCAGGCCCCCCACGAGGCCCGGCTCCCCGGGGACGCAGGGACTCACGCTGCAGAGCAGCCAGGATGTCGTCGGATGAGGTGGAGGAGAAGGAAGATGAGGAGGAGGAGGAGGAGCCGATGCTGTACCCCGAGGCTGTGGGGAAGGAAATCTGGTTATGGTGGTGACTCCCCAAAACAGCCACCGTCTGAGACCCCGAATCTCTGTGAAGGCTTGGAAGGGGCTGCTTCGGGAGGGCTATTTGGGGGTTTGTTTCCTGAGTGAGCTTCTGCCTACTCCCGCTGTTGCCGCCCACCGAGTGCGCTGCAGACAGGTCCTGGCCCCCAGCGCCCCTCTGCAGGGCCCCCCACCCCACCAGGATCCCTGAGGGAAGCTCGGGGCAAGCGGCCCGGGCAAGAGCACGGCCAAGGGGAGACCAGCCCCTCGAAGGGAGCACCACCGGGGGACTCACACTGCAAGTAGCTCACGACCCGGCTGGCCAGCTGCGAGTAGTCGAATGTCTCCCCCGTGATGGAGGTCACAGGCCCTGGGGGTCCAGGCGGGCCAGGGGGACCCTGAACTCCAGAGAGGTAAGACCTAATGCTGTCACCTGCCAACAAAAATATCAAGGCTAGTCAAGCCTGTCCCCAAGATGCCACATTCCCCCCGCCCCCCGCCAGGTACTCGCCACCGGTGAGAACATGCTCCCCCACCACACTGGCCCCTGCACAACCAGCAGGGACCCTGGCACAGATGGAGAAACTGAGGCCAAGGCCTCTAGGGCCCACACTTGCAGGAATGGCATCCTCCCAATGTAGGGAGGGGGCACAGGAATGAGATCCGGGGGTATACACACATGTGAGGGTGAAGGTGGGTGCGTGCCAGGTAGTAACCAGGAAAACCACTACTGGGGCAAGGAGGGGGGAGCAAGGTGGCTTTGAGGTGGGCGCCAGGGGTGCTCAGGTCTGCGGCCATGGCACAAGGGGTGCACAAGCTGTTCTAGTCTGTCACACCTCAACACAACACAGTCACACACAGTCACACACAGCCACACACACCCCATCACACACACTCTCACTCGCACCCTAATAGTCACACAGTCCCACACACCTATACGCTCTTGCTAATGATCACAATCACACACTCTCACAAACCACACACAGCCACACATTCACAGAAACTGACACACACTAAGAGTTACAATCACACACACTCTCACAAGGTGTGCACAGTCACACACTAACAGCCACACACTCCCACAAGCACACAGTCACACACACACTGTCACAGCACACATACTCATAAGCACACAGTCACACACACACTCCGCCACACTCTCACCAGCACACACACTAGCAGTCACACACTCTCACAGGCACACACACTGTCTGTTACACACGCTCCCCCCGACCCCCACGCCCCGCTCTCTGCCCAGTGCTCACTCTGCATGTAATCGGAGATGTAGCGTCGGAGCTCCTGGCTGGAGCTGCTGAGGGAGCCTGGAGGCCCTGGGGGTCCCGGGGGGCCTGGTGGGCCCTGCACGAACATGGAGCTGGACGATCCCCCTGCAGGAAGCAAAGCCTCTGAACTGGCGTCTCCACCCAGGGGTCACAACACAAAGCGGGGGTCCCAGCGTGGCTTCCATACTCTGAGCAGGGAAGGTCTTCCTCTGCAGGAGAACTGGACAGTAGCCCAGGCTGGGCTCCCCCCAAGGATTGTAAAGCTGGGGAGATGGCTCAGGGGCGGCAGCAAGGCTGGGCCTTGGGTTCAAGCCCCAGCACCATTGGGCATGGCCCACCGCCCCTAAGAAATGATAAAGCAGCAGCAGTCTGAAAGGAACCAGCACTGTAGCACTGGTCCAGTTGTTCATCAATTTGCCTGAGCGGGCACCAGTAACGTCTCCATCGTGACACTTGTTGTTACTGTGTTTGGCATATAGAATACACCATGGGGAGATTGCAGGCTCTGCTGTGAGGGCAGGATACTCTTGGTAGCTTGCCGGGTTCTCTCAGAGGGGCAGAGGAATCAAACCCGGGTCGGCTGCATATAAGGAAAACGCCATACCCGCCGTGCTATCGCTTCAAGCCCCCCAGAGAAGGTAAAAAGGGGTGCACTCTGGTCACCCCCTTCCTTCACCTCCTGCTCTCCTACCAGACTGCCCCCATCTCCCACTGCCCCGGTGCCCATCTGTTCTGTTCCCCCTCCCTCACCAGCTCAGCCTCCCTCCCACATCACCGCCTCAGAGGCAGCTCAGAGACCCCAGCACAGGAGAAGGTCCCCATCCACCCCGTGTCGTCAACTGCCCGTTCGTAAATCAGTCTTGTCGTCGCGGTCAGCCTCACTTAAAGATGGAGAGAGGAACTTCGGTTCTTACCATGAGAGAGACCACCAGGAATGCCAGGAGCCCCTGGGACTCCAGGATCGCCTGAAATACAAAATAAAAGGTGCTGTTCACATCAGTTCCTCCAGGAAGCCTTCCTGGCTAAGCCCGAGCCCGTGTCTCTTAGTCTGGTTTCTGCAGTGGCTTCTCAACTCCCTTTGGGCAGGAGTTTCCACATCTTCCTTCTCCTAAACCTTTGGCCCAGTGGGACGGGCTTCCCTCTGCTGGGACTCTGGGGGACAGCCTTACTCCCACTCCTCAACATCTTCTTGGCTGTCTCCTCACTGACCTTTGTCTCCTCTGGGTCCCTGAGGGCCAGGCGGGCCTGGTGGCCCCTGCAGGTTGAATCCGAGAGAACTGGAGCCTGGAAGGCCAAAGGAGGGCAGTGAGGTGAGGGGGAGGAGAGGGGGAAGGGCCTGGTCAGGATGCGGGGGCGGCAGCTTGGCACTTACCTGAGGATGAGAACCCTGGGAGGCCTTGCTCGCCTGTGGACACAGAGGGGACGGTCTGGGGGGGGGGCTCTCTCCCACTCCCCAGCCACCCACCTGCCCAGGACTCATGATTGTTGGGGCTACACACCCATAGACACCCATGATTGTAGAGTTTACACCCTCTCCACACACATATCCACCCCCCCACACACAAACATACACGCAGATGCACACGCACACACAAGAACACACATGGACATACACGTGCACACACACAAGACACATAACTATGAGCAAATGCACTTCTCAGAAGCTTAAAGTCTCCTTTCATCTTGTGGCACCCCCTCCCCCCCAACACCACCACCCTTGCCCTGGGTTTGGTCTGACGCCCGCCCTCTGTACCTTGGTGTCCTCGGGGGCCAGGGGGACCTGAGGGAAGAAGGAGCACTGTAAGCGCCAGACCAACGAGCAGTTGTGGCTTTAAGGGGCCCATGGAACGCTTATGGGGGTGGGCGCTGGGGCAGATAGTGATCTTGGAGCTCCCAAGCTCCTTCCACTGAACCAACACAGAGGCTGGGAGTCTTCATAGAGCTAATGGGTGCATCCTCCCCTGCCCCCATCCCCCCAAATCAATGGAATGTAGCAGGAGGAGGGAGAAATGCCTGTTGCCTCGAGCCTTAGAGCCTTATCCGGTGCTTGCTCCCTGCCTCCACCAGGTAAGGGCGGGGGCAGGGGGGTGGGGGTGGGCAGGTTCCCGCACAGCCTGAGACACTCTACTCACCTTGGTCTCCCTTGGGGCCTGGGGGTCCAGGTGGGCCTGGAGGGCCGGAGAAGAAGGTCTCTGCAGGGAAAAGAAATAGTGTTGAAATAGTGTTGAGCCAGTAGGTATTGATGTCTGTGACAAGGCAGAGTTGAGGATGCTCAATCAATCCCTGTCAAATGGATGCGAGGATCAGCCTCTCTGAGCTGAGCTGTGCTGGCCTATTGCTGAGGGTGGTGTGAGACTGGTGTGAAGTGAATGAAGGGATAGAAGCACTCATAAAAGATGGGTGGATGGGGCTAGAGCGACAGTACAGCGGGTGGGGCATTTGCATTGCATGCAGTCGACCTGGATTCAATCCCTGGCATCCCATATGGTCCCCCAAGCACTGCCAGGAGTAATTTCTGAGTGCATAGCCAGAAGTAACCTCTAAGCATTGCTGGGTGTGACCCAAAAAGAAAAAAAAAAATGGGTAGATGAACAGCAGGGCAAGTGACAAATGGGTGGACGAGGGAAGGGGTCTCCTACTAGGGACAAGTCTGGGTTGACGTTTGCGCTCAAGGTATTTCCACAGGCACCTACAACACTGATCTCATCTCATGTGCATGAACAAAATGTCTCCTTTACCAGATCTGGGGTCACCAACAGGCTGGGCTCTGCCTAGTCTGCTCAGAGGGCAGGACTGGCTCCCTCTGGGCTAGTCTATTAGCAACTCTCCAGGGGTCTGGGTTGGCCTCACTCCTCTCTCCACATGCAAGAAGAAGTTGTTACAAACACCCCCAGGCCTGGAAGACCACAGCATGCACTGGTACGTAATCTCTGGGGGTAGGGAACAGTGTGATCCAGTTCTATCTTACCTGAGCTGCTCAGGGAAGATCCTGGTCGGCCTGGAGGCCCGGGCAAGCCTTCTCCTGCAGAAGAGAACCCCCATGACTTGTGAATACCAAGAAGTGCATGAGAAGTGCCAGAAAAGTTGTTTCCTGGGAGTCCTCCTGGAAGAGGGCTGAACTCTGGATCCCCTCGTTTGGCCCCTTCCCCCAGAAGCTCAGTTCTCACCTGCTGGGCCTCGGGGTCCCGGGGGGCCGGGGATGGCAGGTCCTGCAGAAGAGAGTGAGGAGACAATACTGAATCCCACCCGCTGTGTCAGGGGGTCCATCCCACCCATGGACACGGTCTTGGCTTCTCATTCAGGGCTGTGAGCGTCAATCTTCCAGGATTCTCCCCTTCCAAAGAATCTCTGAGACACTTACCTGGTGGTCCACGTGGTCCTGGTGGTCCGGGGGGACCTCGTAAATCAAGACCCTCTGAAAACAGAAACATGCAAGGGCTGTCATGAGACTGTTTCCCCTTGGCGGCACCCTTCACCAACATGAGTGGTGGGGGCACCAAGCTTCTGCCCACCCGCACACCACCCTCCAGCCTCCTGACATCCCATGTAGAGTGAGGGGTGAGGAGGCTTCAGGGTCCAAGCCAGGATCCAAGCCCCCCACCCCAGCCCCTTCTAATTTGTGCCTGTGGGCACGTTCTCACCTGCAGCCTTGGACCCCTCTCTGGAAACTAGGGGCCTTAGACCTAACCCCAAGTGCCATGGAAACACCCAGGGAGATGCCATGGTACTATGCCAGGCACATGGCCTCGGTGGACCAGGCCTGGCTGCAGCTCAGGGTCCCGGATCCCATTGGGGGGCCCTGGCCCCCAGCTCTCCAGAGGAAGCAGGAGAAACACTTCCAGCCAGGCCTGTCGCTGACAGCTGTGGGCCCTGGCATTGTGCCCAGTGAGTGGGGACCTCAGCCCTGCCTCTAGTGAGCCCCAAGGCGCATGCTCACTTCTGACCTGGGGTGACCCAGGTCCACTCTCACAGCTGCCCTGGCCAGTGAGTCACCCTCACTGCTGACAAGACCTCTGCTGTCCCTCTGGCTCTAGCCTGGTCTGTCAGAAGGACCGTCACCCTCACTGACTGGGCTGGGGATGACTCACTGGTGCAGCTGCCACTGTCCCGTCCTCCCTCACGCCCCCACAACACCTGCCCGGGGAACACAGCGGCACTCACGGGCCGAGAGGACCTCGGAGATGGAGCTGCCGCTGCTCAAGAAGGATTCACCAGCAATTCCTCGCTCTCCTCGTGGGCCTGTGGGAAGACACAGTGTGGGTGCGCTTGTGCCAAAGGCAAGCTTTTGCTCTGCAGGGGGTCTAGAACGGCCCAGGTAACCGGGAAAACTCCAGGCCTTGGGTGGAGGGGGCGGGGCCGGAGGGAGGGGCGGGGCTAGAGAGAATGGGGAGGGGCCTAGAGGAAGGGGCGGGGCCTACGGTAGATAGGCGGGGCTGAAGGAAGGGGTGGGGCTAGTGTGAATTGGGCGGGGCCTAGTGGAGGGGGGCATGCACCAAATTGGAAGTGGGGTTTAGAGGATATTGTGCCAGAGTTGGCCCCTGACTGCAGACAAGAGTCCAGGGGGCATTGGACCAGGTGTCCTGTCGGACAGTTCTGGGTGCTATTTGGATAAAGGGCAGGACAGCAGCACAATTATCGGAGGCCTGTGAAGTTATCTTGGTCTTGACAGAGAATCTTAGTTCTGCCAGGAGGCTTCTCCCACCTTCTCAGAAACATGAACAGGAGGAGGAGGTGTCTCTCCTGCGTCTGGGGAAGGACTCGGTTGCCCCGTTGTGGGGCTCTCGCTTTCCTTACAGACTGGCACCCCCCAGCCCCCTCATCCCCACCCCGTGGCACCCCTACCCCCTGCTTTCCTTTGGGACTCACCTTGTTGTCCTGGGAGACCAGCTGGACCAACAGGGCCTGGAAATGGGGTTGGGGAAAAAAGGCCTTATCATATTTGTAGAGAGACGGTTCTCAAAAGGAGGGTACACACATGGTTTCCTCCCATCAGGGCACAGTGGCCCCAAGTTCAGCCTGCTTACCAATAGCCATGAGCCACTGGAGACCAGCCCTGCAGTATGCGGGGCAAGACTAGGGGCCCCTGGCAGGGGCTGCCCTTTCAGTGTTGAGGGACATCCAGGCACTCCCAGTGTCCCCCCTCCTGCCACCAGGATGAATCAGGAGGGCAGACTGGTTGGTATTAGGTCTAAAATGCACGGACAGCGCTTGCATTCAAGCATGTTTTTCCACTTACATGTAAGAATTTTAAAACAATTTTTTAGAAACTTAAAACAAATATTTGGAGAAAAGAGAGTATCAACCATAATTCCTTAACTTTTGAGCATTTTTTTCCTTCCAACATTTTTCCCCACATTTTAAAAAAATCTAACTGCAGCCACAGAGCATGCACTGACCCACCCCGCCCTTTGACAAACACCTCATCTCCCAACAATTTTGTCTTTCTATCTCTGCAGCAATCTCCCTTTGGACAATTGGGGAGAGTTTCCGGGAGATTCCAAGCATTTTTGTTGCCTTGGATACATATGCTCACAGTGTCTTCCAAGAGAAGAAATATGAGGGGCGAGTGCTCTGAGCAGGTCATGCCCATGCTCTGGAGATGAGGCACCAGCTGGACCTGGGCCCTGGGCTCTGGTGGCCTGAGGTTAGTCACTGACATCTCGGCCTGCTTCTGTACTTTGGGGCCTGCGCATCTTGGGGACAGCTGTGATACCATCTAGCCTGGCGAGGCTATCTGGAGGGGCTTGCTCCACCCCCACCATCTTTCATCCCCAGGCTCCTGCCTGGGCTTCAGGACTGTAGTGGACACGGCCGTATAGGCAAGTGCAAAGGAAGTCTGCACTGACTCAGCACAGAGCAAGAAAACGAACTGACCTGGAGCACCTGGAGGGCCTGGGGGTCCCATGGATCCTGGAGGTCCCGGAGGGCCTGGGACGGTGAGAGTCGATGATCCCTCTGCAATAGAAGGTCCGGGAAGAAGTACTGAGTCCCATGTTCCCCCCCACCCCTTAGCCAGAGTTGGGGTCAGACACCTCCTTGCAAGTCCAGTATGAACCCTTCCGCTTGCCTACCTGAGGTCACGATTCTGCCGGGGCTCCCGGGGTCACCTGGGAGGGGAGGAGAGAGAGTGGTTGCAAGCCGCCCTCCCTTAGCGTCTGAGACCCACAGCCTTTGACCCTCAGGTTAATGGAGTTTTAATGAACTCAAGGGGCTGAGTTAATCATCTGTCTCTGTGGACCCTGAGGCCCCCTTAGATTCCAGAGAGTGAGTCCCCAGAGTAGCCTCATTCCTGAGCTCATTGAGTTTGTTTTCAGGGAGCTCAGGATGACTGGCACTCCAGCTTCTCCCCAGCCTGTCAGCGGGAATCAACTTTTTGGGGGAAAGTGCCCGGTGGCCACAGGTCTGCCCAGTGAGCCTGTAAATGGGGTGTCTGAGGAAGGGGGCAGCGGCTGTGCAGTGAGAAGGGGGTTATGTGGAGGTCACAGCAGGAGGGGCCCGAGGGAGTGAGGGTGAACAGATCATGTTTCTGCCTGGCCCACCAAGGCAAGCATGCTTGGAGGACTTGCAAGAAGAAAACAGTTTGGGGGTTGCAGCGATAATGCAGCGGGCAGGGAGTTTGCTTTGCACACAACCGACCAGGGTTCGATCCTCTACATCCTATCTGTTCCCAAGAACTCCCCAAGAGTGATCCCTGGGCACAGAGCCAAGCGTGAGCCTTGAGCACTGCTGGGTGTGCCCCCAGCCCCTCCCCCGCAAATAAATGAATTTTTAAAAGCAAGAAGAAAGAGTTGATTTCACGCTTTCCCACACTTCTCTTGGGGCTGGAAATCCAAACACTGGGAGCCACATCCTCCCTGTGGAGAGCGGAGGAGCCTCCCCTGAGGATGTTCTAGAGATCTCCTTCGTCTATTCCCCAGATCTGGGATCCTGGGATCCAGAAGAGAGGGCAGCGATGCCCTGCAGGAAGTGGAGGTGTGGACTCGGCCCAGGTGTCCAGTCAGGAGAGACCCAGGCCCATGAGCGAGCTGTTGGAGCACAGCTGGTATGAGCTGGCACGGCCTCTTGTGCCTGCTGTCCAGGGAAGCCTGAGAGGCCCAGACTCCGGAGGAGGGTGGAGCACCCAACCCACCAGTGTCTTCCCAGAGGCCTGTGAGTGTGTTTTATTCTGGAATTACCCAGTCCTGCGCTGGGCTGGAGCGATAGCACAGTGGGTAGGGCGTTCGCCTTACAAGCGGCCAACATGGCCACCCGAGTTCGATTCCTCCGCCCCTCTCGGAGAGCCCGGCAAGCTACCGAGAGTATTCGATATGCCAGACACAGTAACAACAAGGTCTCCAATGGAGACGTTACTGGGCCCGCTCGAGCAAATCGACGATCAACGGGAGGGCCTTTACCTTTACCTTTACCTTTACCTTTACCCAGTCCTGGAAACACTTCCTGGGCAGTGGCTTCCTATTCCCAGCCTCTCCCCAGGTGGCAGCGACACCTTGTGGTGTCTTAGCACAGCTCAGGGATGTGGGACCCACAGGGACTGGCTGTCCGGGAGCCTTAAGTGTTCCCAGGACAGAGTTGGGGTCTGATGATGCAGCGCTAGAAAAGGCAAAGAAGCCTCCCGTGGGTTCCTCTGACCACTGACCCCTTAGCGGCTGCCCTCTCAGAAGCATCTAGATGCTGCTTCCTGCATGTATATACCATACCCAGAGGACCCACGAAATCGAAAACCGAAGGTGATTCCTGTTGGCGGGGAGAGGAGTTGTGTGCAGGGGAACTTGCATCACCAGTGTCACACAGCAGCCAAGGGCCCTGCCATTGGCAAGCTAGGGTACGGGAAGGCTTAGGTAAAGGCAGTCCCCCTCCATCTTCCAAGGACAGCCTAGAAACATCTGGAGACCACCCAGGCCACGGACCTGAGCCAGGGAGGAGTGGGGGAACAACTGGAACAAGCCTGAGGCTCCCCAACTTCGCAGCCTTCCCTGGTGCCACTAGATGCCACTGTTGATCCAGACTTTGGCTGTAAGAGTCCCTCACCTGACCCCACCCCCACCCCCACCCCCTCACCCATCCTTCCCCTCCTCCACAACCACGAATCAAAAGCCCCTGGGAAATCACGCACCTTTAGTTCCTTGGCGGCCGGGAGAGCCGGGCAGGCCTGAAGGCATTGGAAACAAGAAGGTCAGGGTTGTAAGTTCCTGCCCCTGTCCTGGGGAGCAGGGGCGGGGGGGACTCCACTGTGTCCCTCCCCACTGTGTTCTGAACACCCCGTGGCCTCCCTTGCAGAGCCAAAGTGTCTCTCCTGGCTCCCAGCTCCACCTCCCCAACCCCAGGATGTTCTTCGGGTCAGAGGGAGGAGAGGTGGCCGGAGGGCACTGGGGCCATCCAGGGAGGCTGCAAGCGAGGAGGAAGGAGAGGCCGGGACTCACCCTGAGGTCCTTGGGGTCCTGTGAGACCTACAAGAGATAGGACACAGGGTAGTGTGAGGGGCTTGAGAGGCCTTCCCAGCTGGAGCAGCAGGTTGGAGGCTGGTGGGTGCAGCCTCTCCCCCTCCCCCCCCCGCCCCCCATCGCCCAGCAGACCCACTGCTCCATCGGGGCTGGCTTGTGCCCCCATGAGGCCACAGGCACTATGGGATTCAGAGCTCACAGGCACACACACTCCCGACCCTGAGCCCTGCCCCGGGTTCCTCCTTCAGTGCCTCCGCCTCTCGAGGCCTGGGGAGCCCCCATACCTGGCTTTCCTGGGTCTCCGGAAGGCCCTGGTGCGCCCCGGTTTCCAGGCATCCCTGAAAGGCCTTGTTCGCCTAGAAAGAGCATGAGGACATGGAGGTGTGTCTTTTAGAGCACGGAACGAGATGGACCTTTCAGCAAGCTCCGTGGCACCCTGGGGCTGAGGTTTTTGGGGCTCTGCTAGGAAACTTGCAGGCAGGGGGACAGGGGCAGCGGGTGGGACCTGGCCCGAGGAGCCGCCCCAGGACACCTGTGTCCTGTGTTCTTAGGGGACTGCAGGAGAGGGAGCAGAGAAGGGGGAACACAGCTACCAACCTCGTGGGCCTTGGGGTCCATCCGGGCCGGGGGGTCCTAGGAAGCGGGAGAAAAGCTCATTAGTCACTTGGGGAGCTGTTCTGGGACTCCAGCCCTCCTCTGCCCAACAGTGTGAGAGGGTTTATCCCCCCAGTGGGGACACACGCAGCCCCCCAGGGCCATGAACATCAAGAAGCCCACCTTGGGCTCCCTCCGCACACAATTCTCCTAACCCAGGCACAAGGGATCGAGAACTGCTCCAGCCCTGCCGTGATCCCCACTGCCTAACACCAGAGTCCATTCACCCAGGGGTCCTCTGCACCCCACCCCCACCCTGCCCTGTCTCCTGCTCTAGGTACTCCCTGCTGGGCTGCTGCCATAGGCAGCCCCTCCCCCTGCCCCCTACCTCCCCCCCCCCCAATTTCTCCCTCACTAGCTTGTCTCCTTGTCTCCCAGGAGAGTAAGCCCTGCCTGACTTTGCCCCTCATCCTTCCTGTCGGAAACCACATTATGTCTCAAGCAGCCCTTCTTGGCGCCAGGGGGATCCCCACGTGAACTAAGGCTTGGTCCTGCCTGAGGCAGGAACGAGGCCAGCTGTGGAGCACCACACACGAAGCGACGGGGTGAACCCCAGGTCTGGCTGTACGAGCTGCCACTTTCAAAGGACCTGCCACACTGTCCTGCACCCTGGGGGCTGGAGGGAGGGCCCGGCTGGGTGACCTGTCCTGCCAACCCCGCCCTGGATACAGACACACACATGCCACCCCAGAGGGAAGGATGCCAGCTCCCAGCATGGTGAGGGATGCCCGGCCTTGCAACGGGAGCCCTTGCCCGGGCCTGCACAGACCAAAGACACAGTGTGGCAGCTGGCGAAGGGTCCAGCTCTCTCAGCCGTGATGGCGGGGAGAATGGGGTGACCACGCATGAATTCTTTCGGTCCTTAGGGTCACTCACCCATTGCTCCTTTGGCTCCAGGCTCACCCACAGCCCCAGGCAAACCTCTTAAACCAGGCTCGCCTGTGAAGGAAACGGACCAGTTGGCTGGAGGCTCTGGAAGTGGGAGAATGTTCTACCTCTCCCTACCCACCTCACGCTGCACCTCCCTGACCACACAGCTAGGGGTGCCGACCAGAGGTCCTCTGGCTTCCCCGGGCAGGGGACACTGCAGGTGCAGGAGCTGTGCCCCAGGGGAAGGGCACGAGGATCAGAGTCACCTCTGGGCAACCCCAGGCAACCCCAGGCAACCCCAACCCTTGCCGTCTAGAATCATTTCAGCTCTCCTTAATACTGTTGTTATTTGGGGGTACTGGGAATTGAATCCAGGCCCTCACATGGGCCAGGCATGTGCTCTGCCACCAAGTCACCTCCGTGCCGCGCCCGTTTTCATATCACTCGTGCAACACTGCAGGAGGGAAGTAGCGAAGACAAGGACAAGCAGTACGGACTCCCCGTTTCTTCGGGAAGAGCTTAGCTTTCCCAGCTGGGTTCAGCTAAAGACTCAGAAGCCCTTGGACACTCTTCTGCTACGCCCAACGCGAGCTGTGCAGACGCCCCCTCTGAGGTGGGACTCAGAATGCAAACGAGGGAACTTTAGCCACTCGCTGTCTACTACACTCAAGTCCCCTGAAGGTCAGTACGAAGATTCTGTCTGTCGGTTTCCCCACCCCCAGTGTCTTTGATGGATCCAACAGATTCCGGCATAGGACTGACTGACCTGTGAGGCCACGGGGTCCTTTCTCGCCATGGTCACCTGAAACAGACAGACAAATGTGAGGGGGGTGGGTGGGGTGGGGGCGGAGGGGCAGGAAGCTGGCTCAGAGCAGGAATGTGGCACCCGTGCCAGGGGCAGGCAGTGGGAGGGTCAGCACTGAGTCTGCGGCCATGCTGGCCACAATGGACCAGTTAGGAAGTCCTGGGCCTCCCTCTCTGTCCCACACTCTGTCCCCCAAACATATCCCGGGTCCTGCTGTGACCTGGGAGGGTGGATCAGAGGTTGAACCTACAGCTGCAGCAGTGACCCTGTCCATCCCTACTCCCCCCTACTGGTCAGCACTGTGACACCACACACTCTCCTGGGTCAAGGAGGCCTACAGTATCTCTGGGATCTCTCTGTGGCCCCTGATGGGGGACACAAGGGTTTCTGGGAGTTGGAAGTCTGAGCAGCAGCAGGAGAGACATACCTTTGGGTCCTGGTGGTCCCACAGGCCCTTTGTCACCTGGAAGAAAATAGACACCTTGGTGCAGAGTCTGGACAGAAATGACCAAGGAGGGGCAACGCCTGCTGGTTAGACTTGCCGGACCCTCCTGTCCCCTGGGCTCTGCCTCTGGCTTACCTTTGACACCAGGAAGTCCCACTTCACCTCGGAGCCCTTGGGGACCCGCAGAGCCTATGGAGTGGAAAGCCCGCAGGCAGTGAGTGGCCACGCTTGGGAAGGATGGACAGGCCCGGGACCCGCACACACAGGCACACACACACTTGCATGCCAGCAACACCACGTACACACCTACATGTATGTGGTCCTCAGGCACACACAGGTGCGTGTGCACACACAGGCACACACATGCATCAGTGCAGCTGTGTACACATGTGCACAAGAGGCACACACATCTGGATGCAGGTGTGCGTGAGCGTGCACATACACACTCGGAGTGACGTGGGTCTCAGCCCATATCCCCGTCCCTGCCTGTCTTCCCTGCTCTCTCTATCGTCAGTGTGCAGCACCCTCATGGCATGACCACCCCTTGGAGACCCCACAGAGAAGCGGGTCCACAGGACAGTGGGTGCCGTGGCCCAGAACCCTGCTGTGGCAGCACAAGCCCCGGGGCTCACTGGGGGTGAAACTGAGGCACCCTCTGCTGGGGAGAACTGGGTTGGTCCAGCCCACAGGGACCCTCGGTCACTGGGGACACTCGGGGAGGTCTCTGTTGGGGGCCTCTCTTTATAAGTTCTCCATTTGCTTTACAAATGTTCATTTTCGGGGCCAGGGAGATAGTGCAGTGGATGGGGCCCTTGCCCATGGGTGGACCAGGTTTAATCCTCAGCACCCTGTGTGATCTCCCAAACCCTGCCAGGAGTGATCCTGGAGTGCAGAGCCAGCCAGGAGTGAGCCCAGAGCACCACTGACCAAAGCACAAAAAAAAAAAAAAATCCTTTTTTGTTTTCCCTTTTCCATCCCCTGTCAACCCAGAAACCACATCTGTATAGGAGAAACTGCACACTGACCTGGGGGCCCCTGGGGGCCAGGAGCACCGCTGGAACCTGGAAAGGCAGATGGGACAGGTTAGCAGATGACCAGTCCCCATGGGGAGAGGGAGGGGGAAGGCAGGGGAGAGGGGATGAGCACTGAGTGCAACCCCTCACACTCCCTCTTCACATTTCTTACAGGTCCTGAAGTGACTCCAGGGCAAAATCCTCCTCAGGGGGTAAAGCAGCACAGTTGAGGGGGGGGGGGAGGAAAACCCCTTTCTTGTTCTGGGTCAGATTTAAGCATGTGGTGGGTACCCGGAGGGGGAGAGTGGCCCCAATCTCACAGGCCTGGGCCAGGCTGCTTAGGGCCCGGCAGAGGTTGACTTGCTGAATGACTGTCTAGCCCGCTGCCTGCCCAGGAACCTGTACGAGGGCCACTAAAGACAGAGGGGGCATGCCCCCCACTTCACCTTGGGGTTGGGCATAGCCCAGTGTGACAGCAGGGTCTCCGAGTCATGCTGAGGGTATCAGGGACCCCAGTTTCTGGGCTTTGGGCAGCCACCCCTGACACGCCTCCCTGACAAGCCTGAGACCGCCCTGGGGCCTCCACTTACCTTTTGGACCCACAGAACCCGGGACTCCAGGTGGGCCTGGAACCCCTGGGCCGCCAGCAACTCCTGGGGAGAGAGAACGTGCCCCCTTGATCACCTGCCTGGACTGGTGTCATGGGGGAGCCCCCACCCTGCAGGTGGTCTCAGCCATCTGGTTCCCTGTGCACCCCTGAACCCGCCGAGTGCCCCTTCCTCGCCCTGTCTCTACCCGAAGACTCTCTAGTGCCGAGTTCAGCCCTTGATCGCTGGCTGAGCAGTTTTAAGATCGTGAAGTTGAAGGTAGAATCTGTTCGGCACCTTTGGGCGTAGAGAGGATTGCTTTTCTCTTCTTTTCTATCTTCCTTTTTTTTTTTTTTTTTTTTTTTTGGGCCATAACTGGCAGTGCTCAGGGCTTCCTCCTGGCTCTGCACTCAGGATTCACTCCTGATGAGGTTCGGGATGCCAGGAGCGAACTCGGGTGAGCCTCATGCAAGGCAAATGCCCTCCTGGTTTTCCGATTGCTCCGGCCCAAGAGAGGATTTCTGACTGGGCTTGAGCTGGGGATGACTATGCTTCCCTCTGGCTGGAGAGACCTCAAGTCCCACAGCACCCCCACTTCCCCCTCAACCCGCCTACGTGGTCCTCCTCTGGTGCCTCCTGGCTCCTTATCCAGCCCAGTCCTCTCACTAGTCCACTGCCTCTGCAGGGAATGGCATTACCCTGGCCCAAGGCAGCACCTGTGAATGCCTCTACAGGGCAGGAGAAAGCAGGAAGGTTGGTTTTTTTTTTTTTCTTTTTGGGTCACACCCGGCGTTGCACAGGGGTTTCTCCTGGCTCATGCACTCAGGAATCACTCCTGTGCTCAAGGGACCATATGGGATGCTGGGAATCAAACGTGGGTTGGCCAAGTGCAAGGCAAACACCCTACCCACTGTGCTATTACATGAGCCTCGAAAGCAGGAAGGATCTTACCTCTGTCCCCTTTCTCTCCAAACCCAGGAGGACCAGGTTCCCCACGTGGTCCCATGGGCCCGTCTCGTCCTCTCTGGCCCATGGGTCCTTCCATGCCAGGATCTCCTAAAGACACAGAGACCTCTCCGAGTCAGGGCCGGGCCACGTCACAGCTCAGGGCTCCAGACCCAGGGATGCAAGTGAAGGGTCGGGGAGAGAGTTCAGGAATGTGCCAGCCAGGTTCAGGCCCTTCCACTTCATGCCCTCCGATCTGCTAGTGTAGCCTCAGAGGCCCCTGACACCCCTGGGGTGACCCTTGTGGACCCAGCACCATTGAACTTTTGCCCCCGCTGACCATGTGTCACTGGGAGGGCCCCTGGGTTCCCCAAGCATCACTTGGGAGCCCCCCTCCAAAATAACAAAGAAAGTGCAAGTGCATCATATCCCATGTCAGCCCCCAATTTTCTAATGGCTTCTTGATTAAGAAGGAGAAGTTGAAGTCACTCCGAGGTGTCCAGAGCCCCATGACCCCTGGCTGTCCCCCAGTCCCTGGTGTCTTGGGGCTCCAGCCTGGCCTTTGCTCCCCTGCCCACTCTCCTCATCTGCCACTTTCCCTTTTCTCATGGCTTCACTCAGATGGGGTCGGGCCAGTGAGGTCACCTCTAAGGGTCAACTGTGATGACCCCCACCTCCACAGCACCCTCAAGGCTCCAGTAGCCTCTCTCTTTCCTAAATACCTCCCGATCCACCCCTTGCTCATCAATCTATCGTGTCTGTGTGTCTGTCTCTACAGTAGGTGAGTGAGTGCCCACCAAGTGGCGGATGAGGGTAGGAGTAGATGGAGAAGGCGATTCTTACCCACGCTGCCTTTTTGTCCCTTCGGTCCTTCTGGGCCTGGGTGGCCCAAGGGCCCAGGAATACCTGTGGATGCACAAGAATATCTCAGCCCGTTTCCCCCCTGGAACCAGAAGTCAGGACCGGTCAGCCCTGACTCCCTGCAGCGCCCCTGGGGGCTACATACCTGGGGTCCCTGGGAGCCCTCGATCTCCTGCGGGAACAGAGGACAGAGAGTCGGCCACAAGGGGAGTGTGGGGTGGGCTTTCAGAACTCCACCCCTCACTGATACCTAAACTGCAAATGTCCCCCTTCTATTTACCTTTAGGGCCTGGACTTCCCATGTCACCTGAAATCAAAGACAGAAAAATTGTGAGCAGTGGTAAGGGGTCCAGGGCCATTCTCTCCAGGGATTGCAGGAGCCGCTGACTGAAAAGGGGTTTCCCCTCGTGCCTGCCTGTCTCTTGGCCCAATCTCTGGGCTGCTCTGAGATGATGAGGCCCAAATTTTCTTGGTACTGTAAGTCTGGCTGGAAAGCCAGTTAGTTCCCAGCCCTCCAGACGGAGACCACAAGGTTTTCCCAGTGCCCGCCTGCCCTTCAAATGTTTGGGAAGGGTCTCCATCCTCCCCAGAACCCGGCCTATAGGAGGACAGGGCAGCAGGAGGGTGGCTTCATTCACTGCAGTACCTTTCGGGCCGGGGTTTCCTCGGAGATTTCCTGCAAGAGGGAGGAGCTCTGAGTTAGACACAGGGATGTGGCGCGCACACTCCCCCACATCCATGAACATGTGCACACGCACATGCATGTACACCAGGCATGCAAACATGCGTGTGCGCACACACAAATACACATACGCATGCTTGCACACGCATGTGCATGTAAACACGTGTGCGCGTGCACATGCATGTGCGTCCAGACACGCAAGCACATGCACGCTCTCATGCATACACCAAGGGGACCGCTGCAATCAGCCTGGTGCGATCCTGGTGTATCCTCCACCGGTCTTGGTTTGCCCACACAGGGCAATGGGACCTCAGGAGGAAGGACCCAGGCCGCCTCCCTCCCTCCTAGGGCGGAGATGGTGAATGGGGAGACAGTTCTTTGAGGACCCTCCAAATCCCCCACCCCACCCCCCAGGCACAGAGCTTCGGCCCTGCGGAACCCACGCACCGTTTTCCTGTTCTGTCATGAGCTTGTTCCTGACGAAGAGCCAGAGTGCCTCGTGGTTGCCGCCATCCAGTCCGGTGGTCCCCAGGCTGGTGCCCAGCCCAGGGCGCGACCCCTGCAGCTGGTCCTTGCTGCTCTTCTCCACCTTCTCCTCTAAATACAGCATGCTGCTCCGCAGCTTCTCCAGCTCGTCCACGCGTGCTTTCAGCTTCCGCACCTCCTCAGCTGGGACAGACCGACAGACAGACACGCTGTCAGCCTCGGGGGCCAGCTGGGCGCCTTCCTATACCACCACCCTCCTGGGGACTGGGTGCCTCTGTGCCAGTCATCGCTGCAGAAGCCACTGAAGTGGCATCCGGTGGGACCACCTCCGGCAACATCGCGCTCTGGCCTGAAAGGCCCCCCGAGCTCGGGTGCCACCCTGATGGGGCCAGCGCTCAGGCTTTGGGAGGTGGCGTGGGGACCAGCGTGGTGGCACAGGGTGTGGGGTGGAGCTGGGAAGCTGGGGGAAAGCCCGGCTGGCTGTGAGGGGCGGTGATGCTCCGAGCACCCTGGAGCTGCCTTCATTAGGGGTCCCCGCTCTGCCACCCCGCCACAGGACCTTGGCCTGGGGAACCTCCCCTGGGCCTGGGTGTCCTCATCTGCAGGAGCCCATGGTCTGCACCCAGGGACTCTCGCTTTCCCCCACCGGGCTTCCGGCCCCCTGACTGCGGGGGTCACGCACGTACCCAGCGCGATGAGACCGAAGAGCAGCCCGAGCAGCAGCAGCCAAGTGAGCAGCAGCCCCAGCAGCCACTTCCACCAGCTGCAACAGGAGCCGCAGGGGCACCAGGCTGGCGCCGCCCCCCACGCGCCCCCCTTGCCGCTGCCTCCGGCACCTCCGATGCCACCTCCACCGCCGCCGCCGCCTTTGCCGCTGCCCTGCTTGTAATAGTGGGATTCTGTGGAAGGAAGCAGAAGGGTTACGGAGGGTGACTTTTGCCCTCTTTCCTCCAGGCCCTCTGACTTTTTTTTGGGGGGGGGGGAGGGGGCACACCTGGCAGTGCTCAGGGCTTATTCCTGGCACTGCACTCAGCGATCACTCTTGCTGGTGCTCAGGGGACCCTATGAAGTCCCTGGGATTGAACCCGGGGCAGCTGCAGGCAAGGCAAATAAATGCCAACCCTCTGTGCTATGCTCTGCCCCCAAGTGCCTCTGTCTTTTGGTGACTTCCTGTGGGTTTGATCTAGGGGTGCTTCAGGAAGGGGCTGGTTCTTGGAGTGAACAGGAGGCCGAGGCGGGTGAATAGCAGACAGCTAACATTCCAAGCTCCAGTTGTGTGACCCTGAGATCTCTTTAGCCCCTCTGTTGCCTTTTTGTTTGGGGGCCACATCTGCAAGTGCTCCAGGCTTACTCCTGGTTCCCTGATCCTCCTGTCTGGGCTTGAGGGACTATATAGGGAGCTGGGGATTGTACTCAGGTCGACCACATGTGAGGCAAGCGCCCTATCCACTGTACTATCTCTCCACTCCCCACTGTGACCTTTTTTTTCAATGCCCTGGAGCCTGAAAGATTACCTACTGCCCAGGAGGATTTGAAGGAAGTGAGATAAAAGGTAAGGTAAAGGCCCTCCCGTTGGAAGGAAGTGAGAGGAAGCCTATAAAATAATCAGCAGAGGACACTCACGCAGGTCTGCTGTAAAATTCTGTGCATGTCTGGATTCTGAACTCTTGTCCCTCAGCCCACTGCATTGTCTTAGGCTTCCCTTAGAATGCTTCCTGTCCCCGCACTTTCGCGCTTTGTCATCCCCAGACACAGTGCCCAGAATGTCCTTAAGCATTTAGGGTTTATCAAGGATGTGGAGCGATAGCACAGCGGATAGGGCATTTGCCTTGCATGTGGCGGACCCGGGTTTGATTCCTCCATTCCTCCCAGAGAGCCCGGCAAGCTACAGAGAGTATACCGCCCACACGGCAGAGCCTGGCAAGCTCTCCATGGTGTATTCGATATGCCAAAAACAGTAACAACAAGTCTCACAATGGAGATGTTGCTGGTGCCCACTCAAGCAAATCAATGAACAATGGGGGGACAGTGCTACAGTACAGTGCAGCGTCTTTTAAAGAAGAAACTATTTTTAGTCCTGAACTAGGGTGATGCCCCTTCGTCTGCTGCTCTCACAGACCTGTACCAGCAAGCGAGGAGAGTGGGAAGGGTCGGAGATTCACATGGGGGATGGAGGGTCTCTAATGTGCTGGGGAGGGGGAATCCTGGATCCAGGGCAGATGCTGGGTGCCCAGCAGGAATGCCAGTCCAGTGAGCTGAGCTCCTTCCACTGCCCACCCAGTCCCCAGAGTGCCCCTCCCCAATGCTTTCACTGTCCCCTTAGCACCGCAGGGACACTGGTGACAGTGGTGTGTGTATCTGTGTGTGTGTATCTGTGTGTGTGTGTGTGTGTGTGTGTGTCTGTTTCTGTGTGTATGGGCTGCAGGCCAGGGGCTGCTCTGCTCCTCTCCATACCTGCCCATCTCACCCACCTGATGAGGTGCCTTTGCCCTTGGAGGAAACAGTCTTCACGCCTCCTGGAAGACAAGCATGCAAAACACCAGGTTCCAAACTGAACATTTCACTGTGCATAGGCGCCCCAAACGCATCGAAGTACTGGCTCTAACCTGAATTTTTGCATAGGGTCAACCCACAAGACTGTGCCCGGCTTGACCTGGAGCAGTGCTTTGGGAAAGCAGGCAGGCCCCTGGCACCTTGCTACACAGCCACCTTCAGGAACATTCTTTTAAACAGACCTCACTGATCTGACATCTGCAGTGACCACCTCCCACTCCAAAGATGAGACAAGTAATTAATGGCAGAAAAAGGCAGTGTGTGAGCTCTTTGACTTTTTGACCTTCCTGAGATCAATTATTTGGAGAGATGCCACAGGCTCTAGAGCATGTGAGTATCAGGAGAAAACCCAGATACTTGGTTTGGTTTTATTTGGGGGCCACATCTGAGTGTACCTAGGGCTTACTCCTGGATCTGTGCTCCGGGATCACTCCCAGTAGGGCCTAGGGGACCACATAGGGTGCCAGGGGTCAAACCTGGGTAGACTTGGAGCAAAGCAGGCACCATACCCACTGTACTATCTCTCTAGACTAGAACCCGATATTTGGGAAGAAAGAAGATAAAGTTCAAGTGCTTTGCGAAGTCTTAGTTCTGATCATTGTGGGTGGAGCACTCAGGTGGGTTAAAGGGGAAAGGCACTGCTATTTCAATGACATGGGCGAGCTTGGATGCACTCAAGTGCACCTGGGATCTAAGAGAGAACTGGGTGCTGTGGCCCCTCTCACTCCGCGGGTCTGGACACAGCCCAGAACCTGCATTTCTGGCAGACTCCCGTGTGTCGCTGGTGCTGCTGGGTCAGAATCATGACACTTTGAGAAGACCAGTGTCAGGAGACAGTCATGGAATGTGGAGGAAGTGTCACAGCCATCAGAACCACTCTTACCGTTAGCTTCTGCTATGAGGTGGGTATCGGATGAGTAGGCAGCTTGCTTCTCCTTTTTCAGGGTGTCATCTGAAAAAGAAGCTGTGCACACAACCCATGACCATGGGACAGTGTCTCCCCACTCCGTGCCCCCTCGGTCTCTCCTGGAGGTCAAAAGAGATCCCAGTTTTCCTGAAGTCTGCCTCCCACCCCAACCTCGTGCTTGTGGGTAGGAAGCCGGCTGCTATCCAAAGAACCCCCTGGGATGTCTTTGCTGAAATCTTCCAGGCCTGTTGGCATTAAGGGAAGAGCCTGAGATGGCTATTCATACAGGTTTGGTTTTCTTTTTTTTTTTTTAATGTTTGTTTTTGGGTCCACACCTTGCTGTTCTCAGGGTTTATTCCTGAATCAAGCCAGGCACAGTCTTGTGGGTTGACCCTATGCAAAAATTAAGTTTAGAGCCAGTACTTTGATGCATTAGAGATCAATCCTGGCGGGCTTGGTGGATCATATCGGGCACTGGGGACTACACCTAGGTTGTCTACATGTAAGGCAAGTGCCCTCCCCACTCTCCTATCTTGCCAACCTTGCCCCTAGTTTATTTTTTGGGGGGGTCACACTCAGCGATGCTCAGGGGTTATTCCTGGCTCTGCATTCAGGAATTACTCCTGGCAGTGCTTGGGGGACCATATGGGATGCCAGGGATCGAACCCAGGTTGGCTGCGGGCAAGGCAAATGCCCTACACACTGTGCTATCTCTCCGGTCCCAACCAGCTCCTAGTTTTGTTTTAAGTTCACGTCATTGTATTTGAGATACAGGAGGATCATGCAGCGCATGCAAAGCACGTGCTCCATTTCTCTGACCCGTTTGGGGCCTCAGGCAGGCATTGCCAATTGCGGGAGATGGTTGCACTTTCCTGACTAAAACACCACAGTTCCCGCCCTCCCAGGGGCCATACTTGCAGCCACACTGGCAGGGGAGCCAGTGAACACCTTCCCGCTGTCCTTGGTCATGATCAGCATCTCCATCTCCTTCTTGGCAGGCACGTTGTCTTTCTCCAGGACCAGGAACTTGCAGTCTTTGTGAAGGTCCTCGTTCTGGACGGCTGTGCTGCTGGCTGCTGGGGAGAGGGCGGTGAGGCCAAGAAGAGAGAGGCAGTGAGCAGAAGCAGGGCAGGAGAAGAGGATGGAGGAAAAGTTGGATCAGCTGGTATTCGGAGGGACTCTTGTCAACCTTGTTCATGTTTGTCTCCCAAGCACGTAGAATGTGTCTGCCTTGCGCAAAGTATGTGCTCAGTGAATATTCTTCTTGGTGGTGGAGGGGATGCCCAGGTGGTGTTCAGTCATACCTGGGCAGTGCTTGGGGTCACCAGGGCCATCCCCTGACTGTGGTTAGGGGCCTTCAGGCTATACCTAGAAGTGCTGGGGAGGAGTGTGGTACCGAGAAACGAACTTGGGGACTGCAGGTACCAGGCATGTGCCCCTGAGATTGGAGCCATTTATCTCCTCAGACCCAGTAAATATTCTTTGAGCCAATGAGCTGCTGGAAGGTTGGAGCTGCTCCAGGCACCTCCAGGATCTTCTAGGGAGAAGTTGCCCACTGTGTATTATGAGTTCATGCTAGGGAAGATTCTACAGAAAGTGGGAGGGACTCCCCAGCTCTTGCAACAGGTAACATGATAACAGGTACTATGAGCCAGTCAGGAGCCTCCAGCTAAGTGGGGACCCTTGGCAGATATGCAGAAAGGGTTTCAGACACTCACGGGTTATCTGCTGCCCACCCCTCCCAGAGACCCTTGACACCATGTAATCTTTCTCCCTGGGTGCTGGACTGACCCAACAGCACTCACCAGCTGAAGTGGACACTCCGGTGCTCACCACAGTAGTACTCTGGGGCATGTTTTTCTTCACACCATATGCTGCAAGAGAGGGACCCTGAGTGAGCTGGGCTGGCTGGGAAGGCGGCTCTGTAAAGCTGAGAGCAGCCTGCCGAGTCCCAACTCCTCACCCCACAAGAGAAGTAATAATTATGAGTCATAAGAAAATGAAAAACAATGTTCTGAAATCATAGGGGTAGCAATCATCCTTTTCTTTTGAGACCTATTCCAAAGGCCACCTCCTTCAAGAAGTCCTCTTAGATACTCCCACAACTTTTTAGATTCTGAATTCCTTGGACCGTAACACCTGCTCTGTACAATTTGATCTGTATGGTCTTATAGGCTCCCCTGATTGTTTCATGTGGATTAAACTAGTCTCTTCAATCAAAGTTGTAGTTTGGCTTGGTCTTGTGGTGCCACGGATTGAACTTGGGTTCTCACACATGCAAGGCACATGCTCTGCCATTGAGATATATCCCCACCCTAAAGTTGGAGCAAGGAGCCCCACCAAGAAGCAGGTTACAATAGTAAAACAAGAGCAAAGGCTGAGGCAACACATCTTGGCTCTCCCCTCTCACGCATCATACAACTAGGCTGATGGATGATTTGCAGAAGTGGCGAATTGTCTGACAGCAGATGACGTGAGCTCTCCATGGGACCGCCCCCAGCCCAGGCTACCCACCTTGGCGTCTCTCATTTCTAAGCCAGAACAATCCAACCTCTCTGTGTTGGGGTTGGAAGGCAATTTCTTTGGTAGGAAAGGGCAAGTGATTTTCCAACCTCTCATCACTTATTGAAAGGGATTTGTGAGTTAGAGCCAAAAGATGCTATTTCCCAACCCCTAAGTCCCAAACCAGGGCTCCAGACCTGTGGATGTGGTGAGCGTCCCATGGGACAGGGCTGCTGAGCTGGGGGCCAGGTTGTTCTGCATGCCAAACACTGCAAAAGAAATTGAGCACAGGGTGAGTGCCGCTTCCTAGAGGGACCGCGGCCACTTTCACGATGAACACTGTTGCATTTGACAGAATCCCAAACACCACCAGTTGCATGGAAATGATCACTCTGGACAAGAACTGTGCACCGAAAATCTCCCCAGCCCAGGCTCAAAGCTATGGTTGGTCCCATTTACTGCGTAGTAGGTCCACACACTTCCTAGCCTCAGCTCACACAGAATCTCCCCTTTGCTCCTGTGTCTCTGACACAGTACTGCCCTCCCGGCTCTGGCAGCACCCAGAGTGCCATGGTGCTTGATGTGGGAACTGTGAATTTGGCATGCAGATGCAATGGGGTGACATGGCAGAACCCTGGAAAGCCCCACCAGTTCTTCTTTTCCTGACACAAACATAAGAAAACGCCCTGTAGGCCCAAAGGCTGGAGGGATGGAGGACGCACAGACACTCTGCTTCCCTCAGCATAGACTCTCTCCTTTCCTCCTCTCTGGAGTTTGAACTCACGATCCTGGGTCCCACAGTAGCCCACCTTCCTCTGTCAGCACTTGGGGAGCAAAATAGCAAAGGGAGCAGAACTGGAACAAGAGTCCTGAGGTTCCCGGAAGGGCCAGAAGCAGAAGGCTTCAGCAGAAACGCCTGCTGCATTCTTAAAGAAGGCCTGTGGCATGCATCACTCTCATTCCTCGTGATGTTAAACGGAAGACAGCAGACTCCTTGAAAGATTGGTGTGTGCTGGAAACTGGCTATTGAGATGTTTGGTACAAGGTGAGTGAGCAGGTCTTTAAAATGGTCACAGAGTTAGGACAGAGAAGGGACCAGTAAGACAATGATAGTTGGAAATGATCACTCTAGACAAGAGCTGAGTGCTGAAAGCAGGTAAAGGGACATACATGATAACCTCTCAGTACCTATATTGCAAACCATAATGCCGAGAGAGATAGAGAGTGAGAGAGAGAGAGAGAGAGTAGTGAATCTCCATGAGGTACAGTTACAGACTCACACACTTTCGTGCTTGCGTTTCAGTCATATAATGATCGAGTACCCATCTCGAGTACCCAGCAGTGCCCATTTTCCACCACCAATTGTCCCAGTATCCCTCCCATCACCCCCATCCCATCGCCTCTACCCTACCCTGCCTCTGTGAGGGGAATTCCCTTTTGCTCTTGTGAGAGAAAGTAAGAGAAAGAAGAAAAGTGTCTGCCATAGAAGCAGGCCAGGCAGAGGGGTTGGGGGGTTAGAGGTGGAGAGGGTGTCAGGAGGGAAACTGGGGACATTTTCTGTGGGAAATGTACACTGGTGAAGGGATGGACATTGGAACACTGTATGACTGAAACCTAATCATGAACAGCCTTATAACTGTGTATCTTACAGTGATTCAGTAAAAAAAAAAAAAAAATGGTCCTATCTGAATTGGAAGCTAAACAGTCGCCTTATTTAACCCTCCCAGGGATCACAGTTCCCAAGGAAACACTGTATTTACAAAAAGATCTGAAGAGCTTCTCCCTACCTTTTACCTGCAAGTGCCCCACACTCTCACTTGGCCTTTTGACTTACATGTTCTGCATTTCACTGAGGCTGGCCCAGGGCCTTCTAACGCAGCCCAGGGCCCACAGCTCTGGCTGCTGCGTGCGGGTAGCTCATTGCTCTGGGAACCCTTTCGTTCTCCTCATCACCAGCAAGCATCCCTCTTTCTGGAGCACACTGCCTGGGGAAGGGCATTGCATGCTGGAGGTACTGACCTGAGGAGCAGGTGCTGATTCCGGGGTGCAGAGTTGGGGAGCAGGACGCCATGTTGTTGGGAAGCCCAAACACTGCAGGGGAGGAGGGAGGCGGTGAGAGGGACGCGCAGGCCAGAACACTGGCCCCTTCGAGAAGCAGGGAGAAACGCCAGGTGTGTCCTTTTACAGTTTGCACAATCCTTATTCATTGGAAAAACTGAGCATATTTTCACGTCTTACAGCCTGAAACTAGGCATCAGTCTGGGTCAGGGCCAAGGACTAGTCTCAGGCAGCTCAGGCCTTGATGGGCAAGAAGACACGGCACCCCTTGAACTGAAAAGACACTAGAATCCCAGAGAAGTCAAATGACTTGTTAGTGTTCCACGTTTAATCCTTGGGATGTGAAATTAGGTCTCCTCACTCTGTTTTCATGTTCTTTCCAAGGATAGTTTTTTGGGGGGGAGGGGTCACCCTGCTTCAGGACTCTGGAGGGGAGGGCTGGGGAACAGGAAGAGTCACATGCCACCTACCGGATCCTGAAGAGTAGGCGTTGGTGTGCAGGAGGGATGAGCTCTGGGCTGTCATGTTATTGTGGTAGGTCCCCATGGACGAGCCGGCTGGCAGGGTGGAGGACCACATGTGGGGTGGAAGGTTGGCGTCCAGGATGGCAGTGTCATAGGTGCCCGACACTGCAAACAGACACACGCACATCCCCCGGGTGAGATGCAGGGACAGCCAGGTGGCTCGGTCTGCCTGGCCAGGACCCTGCAGGAGGGACTTTCCAGCACTCTGTGTCTGGCACAGAGGAGGCCGGGAGCAGTGCCATGGTGTGAGTGAGTGAATGGACACCACTGATGTCCTCAAGAGTCTTCATTTGCAGAACCTGCTCCACACAGTCCTGGGAAGGCCAAGAATATGGCATCGAATCTTTGGGATCTGAAAGTATTTTTTCTAAAAGTATTTTTTCCCACCAAAGTCCCCTTCTGATTTTGTTTTCTTCCTATGACTCCCCCCTACCCCCCACCGGTTTATACAATTGTCACCCTTTGGATGTCCTGGGGGCCCACAGGGATCATAAGGCTCCTGATGAGAAAAAGCTGTGAGCACCATAGTGGCAGGATGAACCAGGCCTGCCCCTCACTGCTGCGGCACTCACCAGACTGGGAGCTGGCGGTCACCGTTTTGGTCTCCACGGTGCCTTTCTTGGGGATGGGGAGGGTGTTGGAGGAGTTGCGGGTAGGGCTCACGCTGGCTGAGCGGCTCCCCTTGAGCAAGCGCTTGACATCATCCAGTTCTGTCCCTGGGAAAGAATCCCCCCAATTTTCCATCATGCCCAGTATTCTTGCCAAAGTTTGACAGCCCAAGAAGGGATCTCAGTGGTTTTGCCCAGGGGGGATCTTTTCCATTCGCCGAATGCTTTTCACACTTGGTTTATCTGTAACCCCTCTAACCTGCGACTCTGTCTTATGTGTGGCCTCATCAAGTGGCCCATGTCTTAGGGAGCTGCTTCAGCAGACACTCAGAAATGAAGCTCTGGGTCTAGGTGGAGGGAGGGCACCCTCAAGAGTTACAGAATCAGCATGCAGAAACGAACAGCTCAGCTGTGGCCTCAACATCAGGCCAGGAGGCTCCTGTGTGGGCCCCTTGCCTTGCATTTGGGAGGACCATGGGATTGGTGGCAAATGACTCCTCTATATCATACTGCTGTCCCGTGATTAGTGCCAGGCCCCTGTGGCCGACACTATTTGCAGCAACTGAAGGAGTGTGTGAGCAACTCGAGGGGTCCCCCAGCCCCCAAAGCAAGCAGGACCAGAGGTGGGCAACATGGAATGGTGAACAGTTGAATGGACACATGCCCCCTCTCCCTTGGGAGTGCCATCCTTTGGATGCAGCATCCCTAGGTCTGGAGAGACTCAGGTGAGAGAGCAACAGGCCAGACCCACAGCCCCCCCACAACCCCCTACACCCCTGCGCTGAGCTCTTTGGGCAGCCCTAGTCTGTGTCCCACCCCTTCCTCTTCCTCTCTTGTATGTGGCATCCCTAACACAGGGCTCATTTCAGTGACCCCTGACCCCTAACAGGAACAGAGGGAGTTAAGCATGGACCAACACCAGGGACCCCGGATAGCTGAGATAAAGTTCTAACTGTCCCATCTGCCGCTCTTACAGATGCGTTTATATCTCCCCAAACCCCTCTACCTTCAGCCACTCTGAATGTCTCAGGACCAGCCCAGCTCTCACACCCAACCGTCCACCCTCAGTCTCTGTGTCTGACCCCATCTCCTCTGCCCCACACTCCCCCTGCCCCATCCCTGCTGAGTGCCACGATCTCTCCACTAGTCTAGGGGACCAGCAGGGACTGTGACTAATTTAGCTCCTTACCCTTATCACCCCCCACTCCCCCAACCAGTCTTAGCAATCTTCTACGGTAGAGCAAATGCAAACATGTGCTCATGTGTGCACACACAGACACGCACACGTGTGCACATGCAGAGAGGTAACCCTGGACTCCTGACTCCTTTCAGCAAGACAGTGACCACTGGGGTTGGAGCTATAGCACAGCAGGTAGGGCGCTTGCCTTGTATGCAGTTGACCCAGGTTTGATTCTCAGCATCCATATGTTCCCCCCCTCACCCTGCCCCCGCCAAGCACCACCAGGAGTAATTACTGAGATAGGAGTAACCCCTGTGCATGGGTGCATGGCTGGGTGTGACCCAAAATGCAAAAAAAAAAAAAAAGACAGTGACCACTTACATCGGGTGGAGGGCGATGCACTCTGTAGTCGAACTCGGATCTCGCTCTCTGTGCAAGGGAAGAGATGAAGGCCGTGAGTGAAGGGCCTGGCTCCGTGCTAGACGCAGACTCCCTTGAGCACCCCATGTCTTTCTGGGCTGCCTGGAGATCTCCAAGTCCCGGGAACAGGAAGCCTAGGGCTGCTTTGAAAGAAGGGTCCACTCCCCATGTGAACCTGCGACCCCCGCCATCCCTGACACGGGGAGCTGGGGATGGGGGGCGGGTTGTCTAAGGAAATCACAGACCAACCCTCGGGCTCTGTCACAAATCAGCCAGAACCAGACTTTTTTCCCAGCTGCGCTCCCGCACGCAGCAAGGGTCCAGACAGTTTGTCAGCAGCTTTCCCAGGCCTGGGCGGACACCAGAAGTGCAAAACTGCCCCAGAGTTCCTCAGCCATGCTTCAAGTGCTAGGGTGCCCTGGATGTCAGGCATCAAACCCGGGCCATGCTCATGAAAAGCTTATGCTCCACCATTTGAACTGCGTCCCGGGCTCAGAAAATACTTGTGGAAAGAATTGAACTAAACCCAATTGCTGTACTCACCTCGGGTCTGGCTCCGGCCTCTGGTTGCAGAAGATGCTGAGAATCGAAGAAAATCATCTTAGGTTTGTAAAAGAGGGGGCAGGCTGAATATTTTTTGTCATGGAGCTAGATCTCTTGGGGTGTGAGGAGGAAGCTTATAATCAACTCCTTTATGAAGGTCCATTCTTAGTAATTGATGACTCCTTAGCCCAGGGGCAATCCCTTCTACCCCAATGCATGGAGGGTATTAACTCAATGAACATTTAATTATCTTGCCCTTCAGTCTCACGTTATGAACATTAAATTATCTTGCCCTTCAGTGTCATGTTATCGTGTGGAAGCACCATCCCTTTGGACTGGCTGAAATGTATGAAAAGATGGCCATGTTCTTCCTTTGTTTTTTTTGCTAGAATGAACAAATTTTATTTGTTGAAGTCGTTTTATTTATTTGTTAGTTTTCTCACAAATAAGTAAAATTAGCATCACTGTACAATCAGCGATTATATCAATTCATGTACACCTGGGGATCCAAGAACAAGACTCTAGGCCAAGTGAAAATGCAGCTTAGTTTCATGGGAACTGAGAGCTCTGGAAGCTGGCGGGTGGGGGACAGCTGGGCAGTCCGGCAGTTGTGTGTTCTAACACCTGGTCATCTGCTGGGTGGTCTCCATGCGTCATGTCTGGGGTGGGTGTCCCTATGATTGTTGCTTGCCCCTTGAGTCTTGGGTGAATATCTTGCAACTTTAGGAGAGTCATGAGCAAAAAGACCAGGCCAGCAAATTCACACCCCTTAACAGGAGCAGGGGTCAGGGTTTTTAGGCACTTTGGAAGTATAGAGAGGGTATAGATGTAGAGATCTAAATCACAGAACCAACCATACTATAAACATAAGATTTAAACTATACCCAAATTTCACACTGTAAACATAAGATCTAAACTATAACCAAACTTAAAAATGTGCCTGTCCAGGGCTGGAACAATAGCACAGCAGGTAGGGCATTTGCCTTGCACACAACCAACCCGGGTTCAATTCCCAGCATCCCACATGGTCCCCCAAGCACTGCCAGAAGTAATTCCTGAGTGCAGAGCCAGGGGTGCATTGCGGGATGTAACCCAAAAAGCAAAAAAAAAAAAAAGTGCCTGTTTGCCCAGTAGGAGGACATCAAATTATGAAAGTAACAAAGAAGCCAACTAAGTTCAATAAACAGAACCATTAACATTAACACAAAAGGACCAACTAGCACCAGCAGCTTAGGAAACCCTCAGACAAGGAATTAATGACCCCATGGTGAGATACAACAATTTTCACAAATTTTCTTTTGCTGAAGTATTTTTTGGTAATTGCACTAGCCACTTAGATATAATAAACAATAGAGAAGAAATTATTTTGTGCCTGGTGGGCAGGCTTGGGAGTGGGCTGGAGAAATGGGGACAATGGTGGAGGGAAGGTCACAGTGGTGATGGGATTGGTGTTGGAGTATTGAATGTCTGTAACAAATCATCACAAACAACTCTGTAAACAGTGGGGTTTAAATTAAGGGGGGAAATGTACCTGTCAAGGGGAGGCAGGCTGGGGGGCCAGAGGGAGATTCGGGTGCTGGGAGGGAACAAGGGGAACTGGGGGTGCTGGTGAAGGAAAGTCAACACTGGTAGCAGGATTGAGGTTGGGACATTGTGTGCCTGAAATGCTAGCATGAATGACTGTAAATCATGATGCCTTAATAAACAAATCTCAGAATTTTTTAAAAGATGTTTCTGTATAAGGAGAGAGGGAAAGCCGTCTGCAGAGGCCAGCTCCTCTAGAAGAATCTGTTTGATAAGACAAGCCCTGCACCTTGGCACTGTTCTGGGGCTCCTCTGACCATTTCTCCAGAAAGCAAGGAAAGGACATACCAAATTCCTTCCGCGGGTACTCTGGGGAGGAGTTGCCGCTGGAGCTCCCTGGGGAGGAAAGCAAACATTAGTGTAAGGGTCTGATGCAGCCCCCCAACTCCCACCCACTTCCCAGAGGCAGCCCCCCACCTCCCACCCACTTCCCAGAGGCAGATTTAGATTTATTGCGGGAGGGATGGAACCTTTGGTCATGGTGAGGCTCCTGGACATGACTCTGACCAACTTGGGTGCAGTACAGTTTGGACAAAGGGAAACTGGGGCTTGTACCCCTTTGTCCTTTCCTCCGCGGTATGTGCTCGGATGCAGAAGTGGGGCTGGGGGCCTAACCCTGACCCATCACCATGCCTCCGCACTAGGCTGCTGCCTGAGCTTGTGAAGCTTGTCCCAAAAGTGACCTCATGACAATAAAAAAAATACCAGAAACCCAGAAAACACTCGGATGACTTGATTCCCTGATTGCCCCATACCCACTAACAGTCCCAGGATAAAGGCCTTCACCCCTTGATCCTGCTTCTCCATCGCTAGAATCCATCTCCACCCCTGCGCCCTGCGCCCTCCCCCCTCCCCCCCCCACACACGCACACCACCAGAAGGTCCTCTTGCTTTCTCCCGTCTGTTTCCTCCTCTGGCTGCTTCTACAGATTATCAGAAAGCCCAGAACCTTGAAAGCAGAACCCAGGTATTTTCCTCCCTATCTCCTTCTGGACCCCCAACGCCCTCTCACATGGGCTCAAGTGTTGTTGCCTGTCCTTGATTTTTCTGACTGCCCAAGAACTTGACTGGAATGTGCTCTGGTGTTGCCTTTTTCTGCCCCACTTCTGTTTTTCTCAGCTCCCTCTGCTGCTGCAGTTTCCCAGCTTCTGCTGGCGTCTCATGCAGGACTCTACACCAGGGTCCTTGGGTTTAGTTCCTATGCATTCCACTGTCTGCCTGGTCCCCCTAGCTGGCAGCTGTGTGAGGTCTCTGTACTCATCCACGTGATGGCCTCCACCTGTCTGTGTTTCAGGGGGATCCCTGCCAATAACCCAGCTATCTTGTCTAAAGTCTCAGTGGAATCGCTAAGCCCCCTTTCTCTCCCCTGCCCCCCCTCCCCTCCACACACACACATTGTCAAACCTGATTCCTTTACCCTCCAGCTCTTTCTCATTCCAGTCAAGTTTCCCTTTCTCAGGTCTGCTGCTCCCCATCTAACCTGTCACCGAATCTAGCCTCTTTCCTTCTTTTTCTTCTTCCCGAGTCTTGGACATCAACTATGACAGACTCATTTGCTCAGAAGATTCTGTGGCTGCCCATGAGATGCAGGATCAAGTCCCAGCATCTTAGCCCAGTTCTGAATCTGAGTGTTCCCGGTCCTTGTTTACAAGCACTGTGCTGCTTGCAGGCTGCACCCTTGCCCTCCTTCACTTATGTCTGTCTGTCTGTTGCTCTCACAAGTTGGGGTGACCCATCTTGGCACCCTGTATCAGAGGCTCATATCAGTTGGTACAGATATCGCTAAGTACCAACTCAAGTGGGCACAGCGGATAAGGCATTTGCCTTGCATGCGGGCCAATATGGTCGACCCCAGTTCAATTCTTCTGCCCCTCTTGGAGAGCCCGGTAAGCTACCGAGAGTATCTCGCCCGCACGGCAAAGCCTGGCAAGCTACCCGTGACTTATTCGATACGCCAAACACAGTAACAACAGGTCTCACAATTTGTTGTGAGACGTTACTGGTGCCCGCTCGAGTAAATCGATGAACAACGGGAGGACAGTGCTACAGTGCTACCAACTCAAGAACTCAAGAACCACCTTCCTTCCCACCTCCCTCCCATTGTTCCCTGGATACACAGCTGGCAAGGAGTTAAGTTGTGAGCCCTTGGAGGAGCAAACCCAGTTTTTGTTTGTTTGTTGGACCACCTCAGGGCTTACTCCTGGCTCTGTACTCAGGAATCACTCCTGGTGGGCTCAGAGAACTGTATGGAGTGCCAAGGATTGAACCCAGGTTGGCCACATGCAAGACAAACGCTCTCCCTGCTATACTATTGCTCCAGCCCCCAAGAAACACACCGGGTTCTAAAAGCTTCTAGAGAGTGATTGAAGGGGAACCAGCTACCTTCCAGGCAACCTCTGGACTAATTGTTGCTACTTACATCAGTCCCCACACTATGGATTGGAGACTTTCACCTGTCACGGTAGCCTGCATATTAAACTACAGTCCCCATAGCGAGGTCTAAGTCTGCTTCATTAAATGCCCACCAAAGGATGCTGTATATTGTTAAACACAGCTTTTAACGATCTGATGAAATATCTAATTGTTTTATGATATTTTCAAAAATATCATTTTGATAAATATCATTTGAAAGAGTGACTAAATAGATAAATGAAGGGATGGGTAAAACTAGAAATATCTCCAACCAACATGAGTCCATAAAAGAAGCAGGCGTTGGAGTGATAGCATAGCAGGTAGGGAGCTTGCCTTGCATACAGCTGGCCCAAGTTCAATGCCCAGCACCCCATATGGTCTCTGGAGCCCACCAGAGTGATAGGCACCATGAGATGTAGCCCCAAAACAAAAAAATGGTCTGGAGTGATAGTACAGTGTAGGGTGTTTGCCTTGCATGTGGCCAACCCAGGTTTGATCCCCTGCACCCCATATGGTCCTCTGAGATCGCCAGGAGTCATTCCTGAGCACTGGCAGGTGTGACCCCAAACCCAACCCAACCAAACCAAACCATAAAACAAAAAAAGCCACACAAGAAGCAAGAAAGAGCAGAGAGGTGAAGGGCCAATGCGGGGGGATATGGGGGCTGAGAGATAGAACTGTAGCTCGTGGGACTGATACCTTCGTAGGTTCCATGGCGAGTGGTGTGAGTCTTCCTGTCAAAGGTTGAGCCTGGTGAGTTGGGCAGAGTGGAGGCAGGAGAATGAGCTCTCCGGTAGCTGGAGGTGGAGGCGTGACCCCGGGTGCTGCCACCTGCAGGAGGGAAGCATGGGCATGCTCAGCACGCGAGGAGATGGGCATCTGGTCCCCCAGCTAAGCCCCCTCAGGTTGCTCCTATTGGAAGAGGCTCCTGGGAGCCTGGTGGTGAGCACTGCACAAAGGGCACCTCACAGGGCCTCTGTGGCTTAGGAATGCAGGTGCTTCCTTCCCAGATTGACCGTGGGAGATGAGGTGCCTTATGGACATGGTTCCTATGTGAGGTGTTGGCAAGGTTCTCCTGAGGACCTGGCATTTCAGGGTGGAGCACTAGTGGGGTGACAATAAGTGGAGGACAACTGGCCATGGGGCAGGACTTGTTGTGATTAGCCTGGCCCTGGGAGCTTCTCGGGCATCTCTCTGAGCTGCATGAACAGCTTCAGGGGCATGTGCTTTTTTGTGTGTGTTTGTCTGCTTGGGCAGGGTGTGGTTGTTGTCAGTCTGAGAGCTGCCACCAAAGAGGGTCTCGCTGGGGACAATGGGCCAGCCTGCTGCTTGGCGGAATGGCCCAGGGCTGGAGTGGTATCCCAGGCAGCCTTAGCCCGGTGACCCAAGGGGTGAGTGTCTGTCGTTGTGAATTTAAGTTGTGAGCCCTCGGAGGAGCCCATTGGCATCTAGAGAGAGATGGGAGGGGGGAAGGCCGCCTCCTACACAACCTTCTGGATGAATTAGTGCTACTGACATCAGGGCTTGGTGCAAAGGGTCTTGTTGTAGTGAAGCAGCTACAGACAGGAGGGCAAAGGTTCACCTGCCGTGGGCTGTGTGTTCTTGACCAGTCTTGGGCAGTAGAGCCAGTGACCCACAGTGACACTGTCTCACCCCTGGCCTGGCCTCTGGCCCTCCCGCCGGCAGGCACTCACTTGCATTGATGTAGCTGCTGCTGCTGCCTTGAATCAGACTCTGTTTCTCCATTCGGCTCCCGCCGCCCAGAGAGCCTGTCTTTGCGTAGCCATTGCTTGTGGAGCCTTCTGCGAAACACGTGGGAGGAACAAGGAACGGGGTGAACTCATGTTCTGCTCCATGCGAAACTGCCTTGACATCTCCCCCACCACCTCTTGGTTGGGGGATCCCTTCCCTTCCTGCACTGCACAGAGCAAACTGCCAGGCCCTTGTTTGGTTTATTTGGATTCAATTGTCAAGAGCACAGATGGGGAAAAAAATGAATTTTGGGTGGAGCCTAGCAAGTTGCTTATGAGAAAAATCAAAGTATTAGAAAAGGCAGCTGAAGGCGATGCAGCTCTGTAGACACCCAAGCTTGGGTCCCACTTGTTTCCTTTACAGTTCAGCTCTGTACCCTCGAGGGGAAGCCACTAGAGTTATGGGTGCACCCCCACCACCCCAGATGCTGGTGCCCTTGTGTGCTGATGGCTGGGCTCCAACTTCCCTGGGAACCAGACCTTCTGGGAGGCACTGGGTGGGGAAGCCTGAGGAGTCCAGTCTCCAATATGGTCTACTAAACTTAAAGATTGCCTGAGAAAAATGTGAACCAATGAAAACAAGGGGCCCAGCCATAGAGACAGACTGGCGGTCGGCGGGGGGGGGGAAGGAAACTAGGGATATTGGTGGTGGAAAATGGACGCTGGGGGAGGGAGGGGTGTTGGATCATTGTATGATGAAACCCAATCATGAACAGCTTTGTAATTGTATATCTCACCGTCCGTCACTCAATTAAAAACATAAAAATTAGGGGCTGGAGAAATAGATAGCACAGCAGGCAGGGCGTTTGCCTTGCATGTGGCCGACCTGGGTTCGATCCCCAGCATCCTATAAGGTCCCCCAAGCACCGCCAGGGGTAATTCCTGAGAGCAGAGCCAGGAATAACCCCTAAGCATTGCCAGGTGTGACCCAAAAAGAAAAAAAATACCCCCAAAAATCAAACAAACAAACAAACAAGGGCCCAACCAATGGTTCCCTCCCCATACCCCAGACCCAGGCTGGGCACAATTTCTGATGTCCTAGAGAGACAGAAAGCAGGTGGGTGGTTTCAGGAGTCAGGGTGGGGGATTGAGGGAGCAGGCAGGAAAAATGGGGAGGGAGTACTGCTTTTAGGATTTTGCAGTTTATCAATTCCTATGACCATGATTGTGAAAGGGATTTCAGAAGGTTGGGATTTGCTCAGCTCGAGAGGGAGCACAGTGGAAAAGGTGACAGCTCAGGGCTCGTGAGGAGAAAGTCACTTACTTGGTGGTAAGGATGTTAGTCTTGTGGTTACTGTTTCTGTGATAACTAGAAAAGACCAAGGAAAGATGAGATCTCAGGTCAGACTCCAGAATGCTGTATTTTGACCAACGTTTAGACTCAGCATGTCACACTCAGACTTAGCTCCTAGAGTCAGTTCAACCTAGATTTTCACAGAGTTGTGCTAAATGTCAAGTAAGCCCTTACCTACTGCACCAGAAAATATGTATGAGAACATTGGGCCTTCGTGTTTCTGGAAAATACACTTATATATTTGGAGAATCGAAAGTAGTTACCCACTGATTTGAAAAATAAATAGTCTAGGCAGCGCTGTCTCTCATTTTAGCAGTCAGAGTCAGGCCAGGCCCCGACTTGCCGTTGGAGGCGGGGCAGGACCCTGAGTCATTCTCACAGGCCTCGAGCTGCCGTTTTTTTTTTTTCCTGCATGGCTCCTTCTAAAAGATTCGGACTATTATTATTACTGTGGACTTTATGAATTGGGGAGGGGGGGTCTTGGAAGGACTCCACAGTTCACTGTCAAATCCTTAGGGCCATCCCTGAGTGTGAGAAAGTGTGGTTGGGCAAGTCACATTGGGCGCTTGATCAGGATTAGGCAAAGCAGGAGTCAGAGTTGAAGGCCTGGTTCTTTACCCCAACCCCCATCCCCCTAGTAGGAAGTATTTCTAGAACACAAGGGATGGTGCGTCTAGACGTCATCAGAGTTTCCAACTTTGTTAAACATTGGCCAGAGGAAAGGGCTCTTGCATTCCTCAGTCCTCAACCCCTTGGAGAGGTGGGTAGATGCCCCAGACCATGGTGGGCTCAATTTCATGTTGTCACTTCTACCATGGCAGCCCACTGGATTAGGTGCAAAGAAGCTTCGATCAAGCTGAAGTCGCTGGAGGATGCTGTTTTTACCCTGGAAGCTGAGGGGCTGCTGATGGTTTTGTCCCTCCACCCCTACCCCACACCAGTCTTAGTGCTCTGCCCCACACCCGGTCCATCCTTCCTTCCCGCTGCCTTTTCCTACACAGTTTGGTTGTCCTGGCAGGAACACAGGGTTATGAAAGCAGCAGAAAGAGCTTTCAAAGCATTTCAAAACAGGAAAGGGCTTTTTTTTTTTTTTTTTTTAGAATGTGACAGCTTGACTTGTATAACAGTCCTTGAGCTTTTCCTCAACCTTTCATTGGCTGGACCTTTGGGATTCCTTGGTACATTAAAAGAAATTATTTCTTAACCTAAAGTCCCAACTTGGTAGAGCCAGCACTTTATTTTGGAGATTAATGATCATCACAGGTAAGTTAGGGTTGCCAAGGGGACAATTTAAATATCTCTGAATTTATCATTTGGAAAGTTTCGCCAAAGAAATGTATCTTTTTGGCCCCATTTCCAGTGTAGGTTACAAAACGATGACACTACTGTTATTTCAACTCTCCTCTGCAAGGACGGGGCTATTATTCTTAGATGTTTTGGTTGTCCTGTATCTTTAAATAAGGAAATGGTTCAACAAGATATGACAAATTCATCCAACAAAGTATCATGCAACCATTAAAAATGCAAATTATGGGTATTTCAGTTAGAGAGCTCATGCTTTACAACATGTTTGAGGCCCTGGATTTGATCCTTGGCTCCACTCCCCTCCCAAATGTGGATTATACAAACAATTTATAAAAAGAACAATTTTCCTCTTAAAAGAAGAGGAGAACACACTTTATTTACAAGTATCTCTTGTTTATTTTTCCCTTTCTTCTTTTTCTTCAGTGCCAGGATGGAACCCAGGGCCTCATATATAGAGCAAGCTCTCGAGCCCCCTCCCAAGACCTTTTACTTCTATACTGAGGCATGTGTAACGCTTACGTCTCTCGGTGACTTCAGTGCCTTCTCGTTTGTTTTTCCTGTTCACGTCCATACCATAGCCACCTGCAGGAAAAATGCCAGAAACCATGAAGGGCCATACCTCTACCTTCACTTTTATTGAGGTCCCTTATACAATCTGAGAACCGCAAATAAAGTGATTCCTAGAATTCAAAGCATAGTTCTTTCAGGTGCATATAAGTGGCTTTTTAAAGGAGCTATTTAACTGAGAGTAACTGAATAGCTGTATTTTGGATGCTATTCCTTTGTGCTGGGTTCTTAATTTCCCAGATAGAATTGATCAGACCGCCCTCTGCTCAGCGCTAAAGGGCTTACACAGAAGAGCTGGTACCAGGCTCCTGACTATAAAAATCCTTGTTCTTTGCCAAAGCAAGAAAGAAATGAAGGAGAACTAAAGGAGGCCTGTCAGAGCACTTAGAGCTTCCAGCAAATTTACGGTAATGCATCCCGTACTGTGCGGTGTCCTAACAGGAGTTCTAGGAAATAGTCATTTTTAAAAGTTCGGATGTGGACTGAAGTGATAGTACAGTGGGTAGGGCATTTGCCTTGCACGCAACCGACCCGAGTTCGATTCCCAGCATCCCATATGGTCCCCTGAGAACCCCCAGGAGTAATTCCTGAGTGCAGAGCCAGGAGTAACCCCTGTGCATCACCAGGTGTGACCCAAAAAGCAGAAAAGAAGGAGTTCAGATGTGAAAATGATCTCTGGTGGATCTCATGAGGATAAATCAGGTGCCAGACTTGCAAGGAACTTGACCCTTTTAGTAATATAAAACTTTCTTTTTTTCAGCAACCAGTCCTAGCAGGAGTATTTGCAGACAAAGTAGTAGGAACATATGAAGAAAATCAGTGTAAAATCTACTGAAATATGCAAGAAGCTTGTATTTCTGTGTCATGTTTGGTTTATTTATTTATTTATTTGCTCTCTACTTCCAGGAAGGAAAATCACTGAGCTCTTGTCTGCTGAGGACAAACCAACAACTGGAAGTTCAGGGCAGACCCCAGGGGTCCTGATGCCGTGGGGGTGGACTTTGAGACTTAAACTCACAGAGTACAGCAAGCATTTCCTTCCCAGCTGTTCTGTGTTTTTTGGTTGTTGTTTTGTTTTGTTTGTTTGTTTATTTGTTTTTTGCTGTGACTCTCAGCAAAAAAAGAAGGGACTGAAAGAAACGAAAATTTGCTTGTCCTGGCTTATTTTAAGGGGGCTTTCAAAAAAGATTCTGCCGCAATATACTTTCACTCACAATGTGCCTTACTTAAAGATCTCTTCTTTCAGTCTTTCCCCCTGTATGGTGTCTTCAAAGGGCTACTTTCACAACAGGAGCAACGGACATAATATCTAGATGCATCCTATTTTAAGGAATACTCAAAAGCGATTTTTTTTAACCAGGAAAAATTAACACAGTGCAAACAATATGTATATATTGTAATTAATTATAATAATGTAATTTTGTTTCATTTTGGGTGCTCTATGCTCAGAGCTTACTCTGTGTTCCCGGATACTCCTGGCAGTGCTCAAGGGACCATCATGCACTGCAGGAGATCAAGTCCTCACCAGCCCTAGGCAAGGCAAGCTCCTTAACATGGTACTATCTCTTCAGGCTGTGAAATGCACTGTTGGAAAGTTTATTTGTTATTGCTCTACCACAAAAGTGTCTAGAGCCCATACAAGTCACTCCCTCCTGGTACTAAGGTTGTGCAAGGCAGCATGTTGGCTGCAGGGAGGGACAAAACCAGGACAGACAAGGTTAGCTTTAGGGCCTTGTGGACGGTGCCAACTCCTTGCTCATCAGAATTTCTAAAACGCAGCTCTAGGCAAGGAAGGAGCAAAGGCTCTGGGCTGGCTGGATCTGAGACACCACAGAAGGTCTCTGCAGGTATGTATCCTGGTGCCAAGAGGATTGGCTCCATAAAAGGTTTAATGAGTGAGCGCAGCTTCATTAGGAGAGCCAAACTGGACTGTGACTCCATCTGTGTTCCAGTTATTGCCTATCCAAGGGGCACACGAGCCTACCTGCACATACATGGCTGGATACCTCTTTGAGATCCTTTGTTTGGGCATTAAATGCCTCTGTGCCTTTGAAGCACACTTCCGCCTTTCTTTTTGTTTTCATTCATAAGCAGGTCCTTAGCAGTGGGCCAGAGGACATTTTGGAAGAGAACCATTCCGAGGTTCCTGGCTGCCCATGGGAGCCACCAAGGCTGACATGTGAACTGACAGACAATGCTGTCCCGACAGGAACTGTTCAAACAACCCCTGGAAACTCTGGTTCCCCACTCGATTGCTTATTGGCGTTCCATAATGAAAGCTGCAGCCAGCAGCTATGCTGATCCCATGGGCTGGGCTGGGTCTGACCACGGGTCTGGGGTTGCCCGCTGACAACACTCTTAGCTAAGCTTCTCAGCGTCCTGCACCAAACTTTGCAAGTGTTTTCTTGTTTCTGTGCCCAGAAAAGTACCAGACATTTCTAGGCATTCCTCCTCCCAATCTCCCAGCCCCAATCTTTTACTTAGCTCCCAAAGATGGAGGTTTTTTCCCCAGCCACATAGGAACAAAGCCCAAATTCCAGCGGGCGCAAAAAAACAGCCTGCGAAGTTGGCAGATGGCAGGGCCCATGTGGACGAATCCTGCCCACCTGAATTCCTAAGCGGGTCCTTGTTTTTCAGCCCTTCCAATGTCTGTTGTCCCATGGTCCTACAGATTGATTTCTGGAGCCTGCAATGTATGGATTGGGACTCTATTGATTTCCCAAAGATTTTACAAAACTGAGAATTCAAGAGGTAAGAATATGTGGGGAGGTACAGGTCTTTACTTTATTCATCCATTTGGTTAGTTGTGCAGACCACATCCTGTGATGCGTGGGAGGCCAGGGATACTCAGGTGTCATTGGTCTGTTGGGGGCCAGGGGGAGGGTACTCAAGGCATAGTGCTCTCCCCCTCACCCTGGGAGATGGAGACCTTTAAACCAAACTCAAGAGACAGTATTCTATAATGTAGTTTCCAAAGGGGAAGTAAGGGGTTGAGGCCACAAACCTGGCCTGGGACCAGCCCACAGGTCCACAGAGTTCCCACAGGACTTCCTTTCTAAGCCTCACAAAACTGATAGTTTTGAAATTTCTAACTTCAGGAGAAGGAGTGTTACCTGGCTGGGTACCTGCCCGAACCTGCCTCTCCCAGCGGTGCTCATGAGCACATGCTCTTCTTCCCAAAGCTCTACTTTAATGGAGGCATGGTTAAGGGCAGAACTTTTAATTTCTCGAACGTTTGGGTCACTTCACTACAACAAAGGATGAACAGGTCATTCAAACTCTCGATTCCAAAATTATGCCCCCTTCCATCCATAGTCTGAAAAGTCTCATTCATGGTATTCTTTGGAAGTGGTAAAAATGGCCGTGTCATTTTCTTATGCCAAAAGAAGTCAATTCATAGCCCTTTGTCTACTTATATGTGATTTTAAGTTATTGTGCCATCATTTGAATGAAATGGATATCCCCTCTCCTTTATTTTCTAATTTAAAAACGAATGTTCCTTATTCTGTCCAGCAATTGAAAACATTTTTGCTGCTTCTATAACTCCAATCACTGTCCACTTTAAAGTAAGAAATTGTACATTTTAAGATCAGAAGTCAGAGAGACAGTCCAGGAGGTAAGGCACTAGCCTTGCAAATAGCTGACCCTATTTTGATCTCTGGGACTTCCCTTTGAATGCTGCCAGGAGTGGCCCCTGAACACAAAGGAAGAAGCCCACACTGTGAGGATGTGGCTTAACATCACCCTAAATTAAAGCCAGACAACACAACACAATGTAGCACAACCGAGTGTGAGAAAACCATCTATTTTCTGCTGACCTGGTAACACAGAGGGGCCAAGAATGGGTGCCCCAGTGCCAAACCAAAGCAGATGATTTTATAGGCTTTTGTCTGAACAATCCCCCAGCTGTGGCTTGCCTACTTAAGGCATTTGGCACGCTGGATTTTCTTAACTCATGGGTGGGGATGTTGGACTTCTGTTTCAGGATTATTTGGGCCACTTTACAACCACATTCTATTGAGTTCTGTGGTTAATAATGGCAAAGGAGCCAACTCAGGCAGACACGGACTCTGTATCCAGCACAATCTAAAGAACAAGGTTAGTTCAAGGTCAGATCACTTCACCAGAACCCCTACCCTATTCTCTCGAAGTCTGAATCACAGCCCTTCATTTTAACTGCCCTTCCTTAAACACTGATGAAGTTTTTGTGGGTGAAGGGAAGCACTGAAAACCAAGCCTCCTCAGCCCTCACTGCCTGGAATTCCCAGAAGGGCACCCTCATTAGTTTGGTCATCAGATCTGTCCTCAGCTGAAGCCAGAGCAGAAGGGCTGAGAAGAAGGAGAAGAAGCAGTTCTGATCCCCACATGGACAACTTTAAAAACCAACCAACCAACAAAAACCTAAACCCCCCCCCCCCCCCCATATGTTATGGACATAACCATTCAAGAATGAGGCCACTCAGTAAGAACTATTGTACCGGAAGTTTTGTCAACACTTGAAAAAAAATGGAAGGTGATTTTTCAATTTAACAGCACTGTCCAGTAAAACACCTCAGCTGGTAACTCTCACCCCCAAACAATTTGTTTTGACTCAAACTGCCCAGTCAAAGTGTGTCCAAAGATCACATTTTCTTCTTTGTCTTTTTGCCTTATTCCAAGTTTGACTTCAGGAAATTCCTGCACTAATCATATTTCTCTTTACTTTAGATTAACAGTAATTTAGAGTCTGATAAACAGTGCTGGTCCAGCCCGTGGGCTTAGTCAGAAACTGCCTGTGCACCAGGAAGCCCAGTGTTCAGAGGGGCTGTTTCCAGAAGCCTCCATTAACCTCCACTTTAACTTCACCTGCAAATTATTCTCTGCAATCCAGAGGAGCAAGAGAAGTAGAGGTAGTTGGGGTGGGGTGGGGGGAGGGCCAGAGTGAGACAGGAGGAAGGAAGATCACTTATCATAGTCTAAATACAGCAATATCACACGAACCATTTTAAACACAAACTGAAATTA